TATTATTTTAACCTAGCCTTAAAGATTTATATAGAAATAGATACTTTAGGATTTATAATTATAGGTATAATTTCCTAGCTTTTTAGTAAGAGAGTAAAAGCCAGATAATATCCTATTACTTTCTATTTAAAAAAGATAACTATAATTAAGAGTAAATATAAGACATATAACTTTAAACTCTTGGCTATTATTCTAGTATTCCGTATTTAGTAATATTACCTAGTATATATCCGGTATATTATTATTATTAAGATAAATTATAATAACTTAAAATATTTTATAACTAAGAGAAAACTAAATAGTTAATAAATAAGATAAGTAAAGAAGCTAGCTATCTTTAACTTCGTCTTAGAGTACTAGCCGGGGTATAGTAATCCTGCTAATAGGCTATTAAGAAGGCCAGATTTTATAGTAAGTATAAATAAAGATATTTTATTACTTATACTTTATAATAAGCTATAGAATATAGAATAAAGAATCCTATAAGTAATAGTAATAGAATACTATACTATTCCTATAATACTATAATATAAGGCCTAGGAAAGAGAAGATAAGTATTTCTTAATTAGTAAGATATTAAGGAATTCCGAAAAGGAAATCTATTTTAGTAATAAAATAATACTAAAAATACTACTATTTAAGCCTATTACTAGTATAGCTAGTTATAAATAATATATATTATAAATTCTAGTTATATAAATAACTAGGTCCGAAATAGTATATAAGAAAAGCAAAAAGATATTATTTAAACTATTATTATAATACTAAAGGCTCGATTTATTAGTATAATATTAGTAATATAAATAGTTCTTAAAAAAGATCTTTACTAAAGCTATTAAGATTTAGGAACTTAATATATCTGGGTTATTAAGATATTAGGGTACTATTTATATACTAAATAAGCTGGCTCTTAAAGAAAAATTACTATAAGCTAACTATAATAATCCTATAGGTAGGCATTTTAGTACTAGTAAGATACTAGAGATTCTCTAGAGAAAATACTTCTAGTAAAGTATAAAAAAGAATATAAAAGATTATATTAGAACTTGTCCTATATATTAATAAACCAAGGTAAAGAAATATCTATTATATAATATACTTAGTTTATTTCTCCTCTTTTCTAAGCCATAGTAAGAAATTACTATAAACTTTATTATAGGGCTACCTCTTTCTAGGTTTTATAGTAAAGTATATAATTCTATACTTATTATTATTAATAAGTATATGAAAATGACATAATATATTCCGATTACTAAGGAGGTCTTAGCTCCTGAGCTAGTAGAGCTATTTATATATTATATTATTAAAGACTTTAATATATCTATAGGTATAACCTCTAATAGAGGATCTGTCTTTATAAGTAAGTTCTAGTTAAGTTTATGCTTTTACTTAAAGATTTAATAATAGCTAAGTATAGTATTTTATTTATAAACTAATAAATAAATAAAGAATTTAAACCAAACTCTAGAATAATACTTAAGGTACTATACTAGTTACTAGTAAAATAACTAGATAATAAAGCTTATTTTTATAGAATTCATATATAATAACTTTATATATTTAATAATAGAAATATCCTTATTTTATACCTTATATAAATTCTATTCTAGTATTAAACTATATATTAAGGATAATATTCCAGAAAAAGAAGTACTAGTAATATAAGAAAGAGTATAAAGAATTCAAGTAAAACGGGAAGTACTAGAGAAATAATAATAAGAAGTAATAGATATATAAAAAAAGTACTATAATAAGAAATATATTAATAAGAAGTTTAAGATATATAATAAAGTTATGCTTTATATAAAGAATATTTAATAGCTATAATCTAGTATAAAGCTAGCAAATAAATATCTCGGCTTCTTTAAAGTTCTAGAAATTATAGGAATATATAAATAGGTATATTACTTGGAATTACTACTATTATATTAGATTTATAATATTTTCTATATTTCTCTTTTGAAATTATAATACCCGCAAGCTAGTACTATAATAAAACTAGAGCTAATTAAGATTAAGAGTAAAAAGGAATTTGAGATAGAATTTATTATAGCTTATAAAGAGGGCAGAAAAGAAAGAAAGTATCTCATTTATTAAAAGGGCTATTTACTAATAAATAATATATAGGAATTACTAAGTAATCTAGAGAATATAGCTTAAGAATTATAAGAATACTTGGAAAAGAATAATATTATAATACTATTAGCTAAACGGAGATATAAAAGATAAATACTTTTATTAGGAAACTATTAAAAAACCATATATTTATTCTTAGAAAAACTATACGAAAATTATTAAAAACTCTAATTTCTATATCCCATAAATACCCTACCCTCATAACTACTTTCTATTATTCTTATTATTATTCTTATTAGGATTCTCTCGAGAAATAGGTAGTAAATTAGCCTATAAAGCTATTAGCTATTAGTAAGAAACAAGAAAGAAATAAGTTTACTTAATACTAAAAAATATTAATTATATTATTAAGAGTACTTTATATTTATACCAAGCTAGTAAGAATTACTTAACCTATTCCTTGAATTATTAGGAGAATTTATTAGCCTTAAATAATAGCTTTAATACGAGAAGTATATATAGTTTAGTATAAAAGAAAAGTAGTAATAGCCTTCTCTCTTTTAAATAAAGAATAAGAAAGACGCTTATATATATTAATAGCTTAAAAAAAGTAATTTAATTATATTATATATACTTGAGGAATCTTAAATAGTATTAGAATAAGAAATAAAAGAAGAAATTTGTAATTTATAGGATTATATTTCTTATTCTTAAAGCAGTAATAATTATATATTAAGTAATTATTATTCTTAATATAAGTAAGGTCGGGAAACTTAGTAATATTCTTAGAATATTAAAGATAATAAGAGCAAATTAAAAATATAGGAATATTAGCCAAATAAGTAGTAATAGGCTAATAAGTACTAAGAGAAGTATTTATCTTAATAAATAAAGAAGTAAAAGAGGAAATTAGAAAGAGACTTAAATAAAGCTTAAATAAGGCTTAAAGGAGCTTAAAGGAGCTTAAAGAAGGCTTAAAGAAGGAAGGCAAGGAACGAGAAGAAGCTAGGTATAATATTATGGTTAAGGAAAAGGAAAATTAGTTAGTGGGAAAAGAGAGGCCTTTTTATAATACCCTCTCCCCGAATAGTAATTACGAATTCGGAACCGGCTCTATACCAGGAATACCCAGAAAATTCCAAAGAAGGGATTTACGAATAAACCAGAAAATCGGATTAACTTTTCCAAGCTCTTGGGCCTATAAAGTAATAATTTATTTGCGAATAGAGGCTAAGTTAGGATTTACGAACTAATTAGGAGATTAGATAAGCTTTATATCCAATAGTATATGCTATATTCATACTACCTTTACGAGGGGGAATCGCTAGAGGCAATTTGCGAACTAGCTAGGAAGGGTTAGTGAATTATATCCTCAACTCCATTACCTGGTATAATAATGGGGCAATTATGGGAAGTCTTTAGGGAAAGCCAGTGGCCAGGAAAGTTTCAGGGAGACATTTATAAAGCTATTCGCAGTTTTCCCAGGCCTCTTGGGGACAAGGGCCCAGAGAGGGGGTTAATGTAATAGGTATACGTAATGGCGCATAGACAGGTATCAGATGTCATGGATCTAGTTTCCTATTTTGGGTATAGCTTGCGATCGGAATCATATGGATCGCATGGGATTTCCTAATTAAGTAAAGGGCTTCGCATGCCTGGCTAAGCACTAGGGAATATATAGGGAGACGCTCCTAGCTTTGGAAGGGGCATCGATTAGTCTCTTGTTAGAATCAATTCTTGGAATCAGTTACACTTGCAAGCGTCACTCCGCAGCTTACTTACCTTGACTACTTGTATATCACCCTGCTATTACGTGCCTTACATATAAAGAGCTTTTAAAGCGTCTGCGAACTCCAACTTCTCCTCTACGGTACTCTTTACTAATTTTACCTTCTTCTCCTGGTTTTGCTACCCTGCCACCCCGTACTCCTACTCACGAAGACTGGGCAGATTGGCCTATACTATTAACATTATGTACGCGAAAACAAGGCATTAATTATATTAAAAATCGTATGATATAATTAATAAATGGTATACCTATTACTTCTTCGGTTTTATATATATAAGAGAAGGTAGAAGCGGTATTAGAGAGGTCAATTTTAGCTGGTACTCTTGCTAGATAAAGGGTACTAGATCTGGGCCTTGCGGAGAAGGAGTGTTTAGCTAGGAAAGAAGGAGCTGGTAAGATTATTCAGAAATATGGGGAGATTACTGTGGAGCAAGGAAGAAAGGATATTAAGGCAGATAATGAGGATGAAGCTCGGGTGGTTAATATGAGGCATGCTAGGCTAAGTAAGCCTTGGAGAAATAAGTACAAAAAAATAATGCGAAGGTTTGAAGCTGATTACTGGGACGTAATCAATTAGAAAATGAAGGCTACTGATTATGATTTATGGGAAAAATAGGGGTTGTGGTGGGCTAAAACTCCATGGTTCTATATATATAGGGAAAAATTTGCGTATTGCTGGTTTTTACGTATTGCCCTCCCTCACCTGGTAAGCGTGCTAAGCGAGAACCAGGTGAGCCCGGCCGAACGAGTACAGGGCACATACGCTGAAGTCGCATGACTTTATGCCGCAATATTCGTATACCGTATTAATTAAAGCCTTAGGCGTTAAGAGTCAGCTGTGGCTGGGAATGGGAAGAATCTTTTCCTAAGGCTGCAAGGCACAAGTTTTGAATGGTCCGAGAAATCGGCGATGCGATTTGGCTGATTAGGTAATCATTGGAGGAGCCCTGGTGGCCTGCGCCCGCTCATCATCTTACCACGATAAGGCCCCAACCAAATAGAAGCAACCGCACGAGCAATACCCAGCATGACCGGCCCAGGCCATTGGATTCACAGTACAGCGGAGGAAGAGCAGTACATGGCTTATGGAATGGTCCGTAGTTGAACTCTAAACCTTGGCGGCCCTGATCTAGTAGTGAGGGGCACGTGGGGCAGGTCTTGGCGCGTAATTACAGCCTCAGCTGAATAGCCTCAGCTGAATGGCCTCGCATCGCCCAGCGCTTACCGTACCATCAAGACCTGCTCCAATCCATCCCTCCCTATCGATTACATCTGAACTATACTGAGAAATCTAGCCATGCAGTAAGCAATGTCGGCACAACGTAACGACGAGCCAAATCCCCTGGACAGCACAGGGCTGTGTCTTTTGTCCCTCGATGGCGGAGGTGTGCGCGGACTCTCAACGCTTTACATCCTGAAGAGCATCATGGATCGGTTGAACGACAAACGTAAGACTGCCAGTCTGCCACTGGCAAAGCCCTGTGAAGTATTCGACCTTATCGGAGGGACTAGCACTGGCGGGTAGGCAATCTAGCTATAGAGCGAGCTTCATACCTGTTGACCCTGATTTCAAGGCTGATTGCTATTATGCTCGGTCGGCTCGAGATGGGCGTAGATGAGTGCATTATAGCATATACTAAACTCGCAGAAGCGGTATTTTCCCAGAAGAAGTCTCGCCTGCCATTCAGCCTGAAAGGCAAAGTGAAGGCGCAATTCGACTCTTCGAAGCTCGAGAACGCGATCCGAGAGACTATCAAAGGATCAGGTATCTCCGAGACAGATTCGTTCAATGACGGCAACGAGCGAGGGTGCAGGACGTAAGTGTCGTGAATGCACAAAACGATAGATTACTTATGACAATAGCTTTGTTTGCACTGCCGACCAGAATACCAAAAGCATTGTCCGCCTTCGAAGCTATGCCTTATCCGACGAGTCGAATATCCCAGCTAGCATATGTCAAGCGGCGCTCGCGACGTCTGCTGCTACCACATTCTTCGAACCTGTTCGTATTGGAAATCGAATATTCGCAGATGGCGGACTCGGCGCAAATAACCCGGTCGACGAAGTAGAGGGCGAAGCGGCAAACATCTGGTGCTCGGAGTCTGGAGATCTGAAGCCTCTAGTCAAGTGTTTCCTTTCAATCGGGACTGGAAACCCTGGGATCAAGGCATTTGAGGAGAGTATCTTTAAGTTTCTAGGTCAGACTGTGGTTGGCATTGCAACTGAGACAGAAGAGACCGAGAAGCGGTTCATAGCCAAGTGGAGAAAGCATTTTGACGAAAATCGGTACTTTCGTTTCAACGTCGATCAGGGTCTACAAAGCATTGGGCTCGACGAGTACAAGCAGCAAGGCGCGATGGAGTCGGCAACAGAGAGGTATCTGGTTAACCAAGCTCAGAAGAATCGAGTGCGAGACTGTATCAAGAACTTGGAATTAAAACAGAGTGTGTATATCATGGATTTTTCGTAGCTATAAAATTGAAGAACAAGCTGATTGCTTTAGACAAAACCGAAAAGTCTTTTGCTGCTCTTCGGCGTGTAAGTAGCGTCATCATGGTTAGTTGAACTCCACTAACTCTAGCTAGGAATTTGAAATCTCGAGGATTCGGCAACAAATTTGTATAATCAGCATCTTCTATTTTGTCTTAACCAAGCTGACTGTAGTGTAGTCGCATGTAATGTCCAATGGTTTGTGCCTTTCGAGAAGAATGGTTGCTTCACTGGCCGGGAGTCGGAACTGATCCAAATAGAGGAGCTGCTATTTACAAAGGGTGGACCGACAAAGATTGCTGTCTTTGGACTTGGAGGTGTTGGGAAGACGAGTCTGACGATCGAGCTCGTCTATCGTATCAGGTTAAGCTACAAGGATTGCTCAATCTTTTGGATTCCTGCAACGAACTTTGAGAGTCTCCAACAAGCGTATCTCAATATCTGCCAACAGCTTCAACTTCTTGGACGGGACAAAAAAAATGAAGATCCGAAAAGGCTTTTACAGAGCTATCTAAGCCAAGCTAGCGCGGGTCAGTGGCTTTTGGTGTTTGATAATGCTGATGATATCAGTATGTGGACTGGGAGCCAAGGATCTGACCAGGTATCGTGCCAACTCATGGACTGTCTTCCGATAAGCCAAGACGGGCGTATTATCTTTACAAGCCGTGACAGGAAGACAGCCTACGACCTTGTGCAGCGAGGACATATAGTCGAAGTGCCAGAGTTAAGTGAGGACGTGGCAATAGATTTGCTGCAAAAGTGCGTACCTAGACATGACCTTGGTAAACACGAGGACGATGCAAAGTCCTTGCTCAAACAGCTCACCTATCTTCCTCTCGCTATTGTTCAAGCAGCATCATATATCAACAAGAACGACATATCACTTTCTGAGTATTTGTTACTGCTCGCAGATCAGGAAGAAGAGGTGATTGATCTTCTTAGCGAGCGCTTTGAGGATGACAGCAGATATCGCGATAACGACAGATATGTCAAGGTGAAGAACCCAGTTGCTACGACATGGCTCATCTCCTTTGAGCAGATTCGGCTTCGCGATCCGTTGGCAGCCGATTACTTGTCGTTTATGGCTTGTGTAGACTCGAAGGACGTACCGCAGTCACTGCTTCCTCCAGGTCCATCGCGAAAAGGGGAAGTAGACGCATTTGGGACTTTACACGCTTACTCGTTTGTCCAGAAACGAGCAGAAGGCTTAGCTCCTGAAGACTCAGCTCTTGATGCCCATCGTTTGGTGCATCTAGCAACACGGAACTGGCTCCGGAAAGAAGAATTGCTTGTTCAATGGACTGAAAAAGTAGTAGGGCGATTAGCGGACGTAATCCCGGATAATAAGAACCAGAATAGAAGCATCTGGAGAAGATATCTAATCCATGCTAGTTACGCTCTAGACTCTCGACTGATTGACCAGGATGGAAAAAGAAGGATCGATTTGGCGTGGAAGGTCGGAAATTGTCTTAATAGCGATGGACGGTGGAAGGAGGCCGAGACTTTACTTGTGCAAGTAATGAAATTTCGAAAGACGACCCTCGGCGAAAAGCACCCTGATACCCTCACGAGCATGAACAACCTCGCCCTTCTCTTTCGTCGCCAGGGCAAGTACGAGGCGGCCGAGCCGCTCTACAAAGAGACACTACGGCTATCAAAGAAAGTCCTCGGCAAAAAGCACCCTGATACCCTCACGAGCATGAACAACCTCGCCCTTCTCTTTTATAGGGGCAAGTACGAGGCGGCCGAGCCGCTCTATAAAGAGACGCTACGGCTATCAAAGAAAGTCCTCGGCGAAGAGCACCCTGATACTCTTGTGAGTATGAACAACCTCGCCAGTCTCTTTTGTAGCCAGGGCAAGTACGAGGCGGCCGAGCCGCTCTGCAAAGAGACGCTGCAGCTGAGAATAAAAGTTCTCGGTGAAGAGCACCCTGACACTCTCGCGAGCATGAACAACCTCGCCAGTCTCTTTCGTCGCCAGGGCAAGTACGAGGCGGCCGAGCCGCTCTGCAAAGAGACGCTACGGCTATCAAAGAAAGTCCTCGGCGAAGAGCACCCTGATACTCTCGCGAGCATGAACAACCTCGCCCTTCTCTTTTATAGCCAGGGCAGGTACGAGGCGGCCGAGCCGCTCTATAAAGAGACGCTGCAGCTGAGAATAAAAGTTCTCGGCAAAGAGCACCCTGACACTCTCGCGAGCATGAACAACCTCGCCAGTCTCTTTTGTAGCCAGGGCAAGTACGAGGCAGCCGAGCTCAATTACCCTCGTCAAGATAATTCAGCTCTATAAATCTTGTATTATATATTTTTTATAACTTTGATAAAGAGGGGGTTGGGGAAGTCAGTATTAATATACTTCTTCAATACTTTACTTGCCTTAAAATCTGATTTCTAAGCATACATATTACAGTCTCGAGATTATTCTAGAAGGCTCGCACGAATGCACTAGCCTAATTGTATTTGGTTGAATAGAAAAGAAAAATTGGAAGTGAAAGCCGGAAGTGAAAAGTCGGAAGTTCGTCGCGACAGCAGCATTGTTGGCTGCACACAGCGCAACTTTTTGCTCTAAGCGGAGGATATCGGGAAACGGGAATTTTCCGGCAAGGTACGCATAGCCACACATTTAGCAGCTACAGATTTATTATATAAAAATGCAATAAGTTTTACAGAGATTACTGTAACCCATGACGCAGCTGACCAGGATCCTTGCTCGCTTGATTAGAGGAGGTATCAGCCCGTGTGGCGACGAGACCGCCCCAGCCGCCACAAGACTGACAATAGCTTTTTAGCATTAGAATAAAACCTGGATATCCATATTTAATCGTTTATGAGTTTAAAAGGTGAAAAAGCTTAATGGTGGTGTTGCGAGTCGAGGGGGTCTATTATAGTAGTAAAGGAGGCACTCTGTAAATTCAAGGGGGCGGCGACAACGCGATGATAGTTTTCGGAGTTAATAGGTCAGGAGTGGTCGGGAGAGGTATATGATACAACTGAAATAAAAATGAATAGAATTTTTAATGGGTTCATAGATTTAAAGTCGCTTGAGCTAGAAGTACCTACGGTTTGTCTCGTTACAGGGTGCGTCTCGAGACGCAGGGACAGACGTTACTGTAATCGTGCGTCAGGACGGGCTGGTTTAGTGCGAGCGTCGCCGCACGATTAGTCTGAATGAAGAAACACTGAGATCGATCAATTCGGGACTTGGAGTCATTTTGGATCCCCCAAGATACCCTTCCCCTGCAAACTGGTGTGAAACGAGACATGGGGTGCCATTCAACCGTTGGCGTCGGCGAGCAAGCCGAGCCAATCCGTTGCCGCCGAGTGGCTAATTTTGGCATCTAGGGTTACACAAAGCTCCCCGAATCTCCGATCATGCCACCCCAAAGATGAAAGGCAAAGACCGACCGCCAACAATCACCAACATTCCAAAACACTACCTCCGTTCCTCCGTTCAACTTCCAAGAACCTTCTGGTTACTCTTAACATGTACCTTATTCGCGATTAACCTGCGGCTTCCATCTTCACAAATCCTTCTCTAGCATTATGGAAGACTCGAACGATCTTGGGCTGCCTTCGTTGCAGAAGCTGCAGTCGACTGAGCAGATGGAACTCCTGGATGTCGTCGATTCTCTTCGTGCTTGCGGTCTGAGCGAGATCGTAGATTTACCACAAATCATTGTTTGCGGAGACCAGTCCAGTGGCAAAAGCTCGGTGTTGGAGGCGATCTCAGGAATTCCTTTTCCAAGGCAAGAAGATTTATGCACTCGGTTTGCCACCGAGGTTATCCTCCGCCGAGCTGCAAAAGACGAAATCAAAGTTTCTATCGTGCCAGGAGAAGACAGGGCGCTGATAGATCGGGACCGGCTACTGCGATTTCGCCGCGAATTGAAGACCAAAGATGATTTTGGTGGCCTGTTCAAGATAGCTGGCGAAGAAATGGGCCTTTCGTCGATGGGGAGACCGTTTTCGAAAGATATTCTGAGGGTTGAATTCTGTGGGCCCTCCCAACCTCAACTTACGCTCGTTGATCTTCCTGGCCTCATTCATACAGACCTGAGTGATACGATATCGAAGACTACTGGGAATGTGGAACTGGTTCAAAACCTCGTCTATGGTTATCTGAAGAGCCCTCGAAGCATCATATTGGCAGTGGTGTCCGCGAAGAGCGACATTAGCAATCAGATCATTATTCGCAACGCTCGAGAAGTCGATCCACAAGGTCTACGGACACTTGGAATCATCACCAAACCAGATCTCTTGGTGGAGAAATCAAAGATGGAGGAGTCATTCATGGCCCTCGCCAGAAATGAAAGTGTCAAATTCTCTCTGGGCTGGCATGTGGTCAGGAATCTTGATTCGGCTAGAAACCAGAATCAGGACGATAGAGACAGACAGGAAACTCTCTTCTTCCAAGAAAGCAATTTCAATCGTCTTCCTGCTCACACAACTGGAATCACATTTTTACGGGCTCGCCTGAGCAAAGTCCTCTTCAGTCAGATACGGAGAGAACTTCCACGCCTTGTTGAAGATATTCAGATCCAGATCTCAGCGGCAAAGACTGCTCGAGATAAACTTGGACCAAGTCGAAGTAAGCCTGAGCAGCAGCAGGAGTTTCTCATGTCGCTCAGCCAGACGTTTCAAAATGTTTGTCGAGATGCTGTGAGGGGTGACTATGAGCACGAATTTTTCCAGGGTGACGCGAATCCCGAGAGACGACTTTGTGCGAATGTGATGAATATGCATTTCAGCTTTGCAAACAACATGCGAAAGAATGGTGCTTCCTGGCTTATTGATGAGGATGTCGAAGGTGACAAGTATCGATCACGGGAGCAGGCGATCAAAGAAGCATGCATGCTGCTGAAGAGGAGTCGCGGGAGAGAGGTAGGCGGGATTATCATCTCTGCAGAAATTGGTTAAGTTGGTAAGCTGACTGAATCTTCTCACAGTTGCCTGGCCTACCCAATCCACTCCTCGTCGGTGAACTTTTCCGTCAGTACAGTCGGCCATGGGGAGACCTTGCTCGACTGCATATCAAGAACGTATGGGACACGACCAACAGGTTCCTCGAGCTTCTCCTTAGACACCTCACCGATGAAGATGTCTGTGAGAATCTTTTCCGATTCTGGTTGCATCCCATCATGGAGGAGAAGCTGAACTTAGCATATTCTAAATTGGATGAGCTCCTCGAAGTCCACAAAGATTATCCCATGACGACAAACTACCACTTCATGAATACCAGCAAAATCCCTCGGCAAGATTCTAGCAAAAGAAATTTGGAAGCTATGTTGAAGGACCGTTTAGAGTCGGGGCAAGATATGAGTGTTGGAGAGATTACTCGGATGATGTCCACTATTTCCACAAACCCCGACTTAGATATGGACATGATGGCCGCCGAAGAAGCGTTTGTTAACATGAATGCGTATTATGAGGTATGGAACGATTTCATTCCTAACACAATTTACTGTCACTAAACTGATGGCTTCAGGTTGCCATGAATCTATTCACAGATAATGTCCCAACTCTTGTTGTACAAGCACCGATTATCAGAGAAGTCCCAAAGATTTTCTGCCCGACCGCAGTATTCTCGATGGATCCAGACGTCATAAATCGGATTGCAGGGGAGACAGAAGAACAGATCATGGAAAGAGATTCCATCCTCCGCAGATTGGCAACCTTGGAAAAAGGTGCTCTCATTTGCAAGCAGTACGCAAAACGCCCACAGCTTGGTGAATAGCTCCGAATCCCATTCTTGGCTGATTTGGGTTAACAGATCTAGTTCCCAACCTTGCGTCAAATGAAATTGGCATGTCAGAGCTACCAGTTCCTGGCTCCCAAACGCCGGGAAAAGAGAGCAGGAATACCCCAGGAAAGCCACCTTCTACTCCCAAGCACTTCCCTGAGTCACTTGCCAAGGATGGAAGCTTTCCGAATCCCTTCAGCCACCTATTGGTTCCATCTCAGGCAGGAACTCCAGGTCCGAGTAATGGGAAATCCCCAGCTTCCGTCCCTCAAAAGGACAGAACACCTTCTCCGAAGCCTTCAAGTACAAAGCCAGGACCCGTAGTGTTCAGTTGGGAAGCCACCAAACTTACCGATTCAGGAAATCCCATTCCAAAACCCAGCCAGGCATTGTTCGGATCGACGAGCGGTAAGTCAAGTGGGGATGCCCCCAAGACGCTATCTCCTGAACGGCCAAGTGGAGAAATAGCGGATACGAAACCACCATATAGCGGATTGTTCACATCACGGCCGCTGCCAAACACATCAGCTGGAAATAATCCCTTTGCAAGCGCGCTCGGAGATACAAACAGCCCAAAACCTAGTGCTTCTCTGTTTGGGAATACAAAATCTACAACTTCGTTGTTTGCAACAACTCGCGCTCAAGGACTTGGGAGCGCTTCGGCGGCTACAGCAAGCACTCCCACAACTGGAGGCTCGGGTCTTTTCGCTGGAATTGCTCCAGCTAAGAACGACAATAGTCTGAGGCGAGTGATGCAGAAGTTCATCAGCTCTCTTTGGAAGCCCCTGCTAATCTTTACAAGCCAGTTTCCCGACCGATAATCATAGGACCTCGAAATCTCCCGTTAAATGGACTCTTGGGGTCACTTTTCAGCCTCTTGTGTTCCCCGAATTCCATCCGGAGACTAAAAATCATCTTATTTCTTTCCAACATATTTGTGCCATGGCTGAATTCGTCGAATTTTCGTGCGAGGTAAGATATTCCGCTGATTAACAAATTGTTAGGAGTATGCATTTTCGTTTTCTTACATATTTTCAGGAGCTAAGACTTAGTGACTATAAATTTGGACTTAGTCCGTGGTGGCGGGGTTCAGGGATGATAGTAGATAGGTAAAAATCGCTTTGCTAGCTCTCCGTGTTTTCACGAAAGTCCCATGATCACGGGTCACTCAACTAGGATGGAAACACTGCTGCTTAAGTCTCATAATGTCCTGTTGGACTTCGCTGATCTCAAAGATATGTTTATCTCGTTCCTGCTTTCATGGATATTTGCTTGCGCGGAACAACACTTTCCAAAGAGGAAGTCTCAGAAGCTCAATATATTTCGAAGTGCAACGAGTGATGCTATTGGTTATCCCACACTATATATTTGCCCAGTTTGGCCATATCCGGAAACCATGTAATGCCTCCCATACTGTGGGAGAAGTGTAGGCTATTTTGAAATCAATTAAGCACCTCCATCGCCGGCTAAAGATCATCTCTGCCCTTTAAATTTCATTTATTGGACCATGTCATCTGCACACCCTGCAATTCGCCATGTCGTGTGCGAGCCAGTTTTCGAAGTCCCGAAATTCTGCAGTTGCGCTCCCGAGTTTTGTCCTCGTTGCAAGCCAGGATTATCTCGTCCAGAGCGTCTAGTCCGTCATTGTGTTAGAAAGGAATTTCTCGAAGATGCAAAATCTTAGACCAGAAATACCAGGTCTCTGCCAGACTTTTGAGATGTCGTTCCAACTCCATCGTTGCATCGTAGCCAAAGACCAGAGTTAGGGTATTGGTCACTGAACCGTCCTCCATACGTGTGTTTGACATGTTGATGAACAGAATATCTATTTCGTAGTTGTTCAGTAGGTGATGGAAATTTCGGATTATCCATGGTTGCCAGGTGTCTGTTTTGAATATCTGGGAGTACGAATCTCTCGCGATGGAACGAGGCTCCGAATTTGCGGAGAGGAGAGCTGGAATGCGTGTTTTGTGGATGATCCAGGCGCCTCTGATGTGAGAATATGGGACGAGTGAGGCTTCCATTACTCTTGGGAAGAGATGGATGGCAAAAAGCCAGATCTGATTCCGGATTTCGGGTGGGAGATTTGGAAATAGATGAGGGATTTTGGTTTCTAGCATGCTGCGGTTTCGGTGTTGATATCCCTGTCTCAAGTGTTGAAAAGCTTGATAGAAGGAGGAAGCATCTAGTATTTCAGATCAGAGAAGTAAGCGCTTTGATGCTCTAAATCATGCGAGGATCCTCGAGACTTGTCAATTCAGGGAAGCTCTGGCAAGAGCTCCCAGAATATTTGAACGCGTTTTGGACATCTTTCAAGATTCAAAGACCCTCCAGCCAGATCCATTGAGCTGAGCGTCTTTATTGTTCTCTAGCAGGGCCAACTTCGATTAAAAGTCGACTTCCACCTTCGAGCTTTCAAGCTATTTCCAGACTCCAACAAGTGATTTAACCTAAGCCCCTCTCTTATTTGTACCATTGCCCTCCATACATTACGTCCATTGTCCCGAAGCACCATGTTTCCACCATCTCGGCAAAATAGGGGTTCATCACGTGATGACCTGTCTCTCGACCTTTCTCGAACTCTCCTTCGCTTGAAGCACTATGCAAAGAGCCAAACTCGCTCAAACTAACCTTCAATTAACTACATCTAAATAGCAACACATAAGAGCAACGTGCAAGGGCCAGTGACCTTCATTTTCTGTGTCATTTATGCTTAAACTATCCACACACACTGGAAATGCCGAGTAGTCCCAAACTCTTCTGCTCTCATACGTTTTTCCCTAAGTAAAGAGAGGTTGGAGTTGAATACGACTATTAAAGATGCATCTTTCTTCCAATGCAGTGTCGGACATCACTCATTTGCAAATCTCAAGTGTCCAATTGGATTTTCCTCGACTAAGTCATCCAAGTTTTACTTTTAATCTCATTGGAACATTAATGGAGGCACGAAGACTTCGTGATTCGTGCATTGGTAGAATCTTAGCTTGTAGAAATATACATACTCAGTTCACATCACCACGATGGTTCAACTGTGAGTCGATAGCTTAACGATCCCTACTCGATTATTCTCTCTCCCTGACTTCCAAAGCTCTCGACTTCCTCTCTCCACCCTCCCTCGACGATCTCTTAACCCGATTCGTATCTCTCATCTAGACAATTCCTCCTAGCCACCTCAAAAGGTTGACATACTTCCCTCAGACGTACTCTCACTTGTTGTGGAGGTTGGCATAAAGTCCCTCTACGTACTGCCCTGAAATAGTGTGTGATCTCATCCACCAGATCCCTTCGAAATATCTTACCGCCGGACAACCGCATGAATAGGGCGTTATTTGTATTTGACACACAGTTCTTATTTAAAGTGCTTCCTGTTGTTTTGGAAGACGATCTTCAAGTTTTGTATTGTGATTGTTTAGTTTGACATATGATGGTGGAAGAAGACAACGGGTTGAAGAGACATTTTCGGCACAAGGTATACCTCGAGGAACTATGTGCATTTCCCAGTAAGTCCATGAACTTCCGTTCTGATGTTTCCTGTTATTCAGTTGACTCATTCCCGCAATCACGGCATTCTCATTTTATTTGCGCCGAGATATACGTAGTTACAGTCATGTGTAAGGTGTGAATCTATAAGGAAGATTCTCCTACGTACAAAGCGAAAGTAATTATTCACACTACAGCAGAAACCGGACTATAAATCCACGATCTGAGATCAGAGTAATCCTTCGATATTTTGAATTATCCAAGAAAGCCGACCGGTTGATCTTCCAAACTCGTTAATCATGAGTTGTTGAACTTACCGATCAAAATTTCTTCGCTTTCGGCACCATAAGAGGACAAGCGACAACTGGGCTCGTTCGTGACAACCTTCCCAAACACCAACCCGAATCAAGAGCTAACAACGCGTCGATCAAGTCTATTCGAGCGTCAACCTTGTCCTATAATCAAAAACACGTCGATCCTTCAACTCGTCAATGATATCAGGCAGCATGCCTTCTGACAGGCGCGGCCAATGCACGAAGGCACAGGAGCCAGAATTTCATCTCTGTCCCAAACTTCCATTGGAGATACGAACAATGATATGGGCTCTCGCCCTCGAGCCTCGGATTTTCCACCTCTCCCTTGACTTGATCGTTGCTCAATCAGCCTGTTTGGGAAACGGCGTGCCAACGTCGCAACCTTCTCTACACGAACCGAGAAACACGCTCTGAGACTATTAAAACCGTCAGACGTGACAACCAACCTTTCCACAGCAAGCTCGTTTCAACGTTAGATATCCCCGGAGTAATGGCCGGTGTTGGAGCGCTTCATTCAACAACGGCACAGATCTAGTTTATATTAACATTTCAGAGCCTTAGATGTTCAGTGAAAGAAATATGAACTTGCAATTTGGTGGTATCTTCAAGATCATCTTCAACGAGCAAGTAACTTTGAATGGTAGCATTATGAACCTTGCAATCAACCATGCGCTCTTTAACGCCATGTACTCGAGAAAGTCCCAGGAAGCAATGTGGAAGAGTCCGCTCTGGAAATGAATGCATCAATTGGTAGTCATCTAAACTTCTGGGGAAAATAAGACTATGAAGGAGGCGGTTATGTTCAGAAAGATGCCTGATGATTATACCTGGTTTTGCGAGGTCACGGATACATCCAAGGTTTGCGAGAAAGCGTACCGGATTTGAGGAGCCCAGCAATCGTCGTGGCGCGAAGACAGTACTCAAAGATATCTGCTATGTTGGGGACACATTTGATGAGGCTGCGGAGTCATGGGGAGGCTTGACTGGTTCTGCAAAGTGGAAAGGAGTTCACATATAGGTGTGGATGATATAGCATGCAGAACCTGTTCTGGTGGAAGTGCCGCGATAAGGTTGACATTTATTGACGGAACATCGACACTTCTCCCCGCACTTGGGCCCTCGCGCAACTTTGCAAAGTATTGCAAGGATGCCCTCCTGCCAAAGACCTTCTCCAAGTTCAGTTTCCTTAGCGACTCGACTGTGTCGCCTTGTTTTCATGCTTTCGTGACGCTACGAGATGTTGTGGCATTGCAGCGAGTGCTGTGCCAAGACTTCGAACTTCGTTTTCCCGAGGCTTTCTTTATGAGGTTGTCCATAATGAACATTCTCGCCAAATCAAACCAATAATGGAACTCGTTCTCGGTCAACAAGTGTGACCGGGAGTGCTCACAAGATCCAATTGGCCGAGTGACTCAACGCGGCCCGAGCCTGTTCTCGTCTTGCATGCAGATTTGCTCAGGGCACGAGGCATGAGCTGCATCCTGCAGCCTATAGAACGAACCAAACAACGCAATTCATTTCCACTGTTGGCAATTGCCGCAAGCCGTCAATAAAGCCCCATTACATGAATTAGGGGTCCAGACAATGAGGCTGAGGCTCAAAAGGAGGCAATGAGCCAACCACGAGGCTTTTTCACCCTGCATTTTGCTCCGCGAAATGCCATTTGTGCGACTCTTCGTTCAGCGCCCAAAACACGGGATTGTGGAACGTGGTTTCTTTCTTCTGTGGCGACAGGGCTGAATCTGGCACCACGATGTATATGAGGGGGGAACAACCTATGGTTTTCTTGGTAGAGCCTTCTCTTTTCAAACTTCATCACTCAAAATGTGTGACCATAGCGAGTCAACTTACTCTATTAAGACAGCTACGCAGTTGAGGCCCGAGCCAAAGGATCCCGAAAAATGCCATATTTACTATGTGCACCAAAATGGGGAAATCCTTTGCGAGCCCGATGTTCAGTTCAAACCTAGCAAGAATCCTGCTCAACAGGTCACGAGTCTGAAAGATCCGGACAAGAAGAAGGGCGATATATTCTGCGGAGAGGATCGTCTGACTTTAGTGTATGTTCTAGCTGTATTCAAAACTCTGCGAGCTTCTTGCTAACCCTGTCAGGCACCTTCCCGCGAACGACTTCAAAAGCATTATGGATCTGGATATCCCGGAAGCAGACTCTCAAACGCCAATCAATTGGCCAGACCCGTCTTCAATTCCAATGCCTGAGTACTTCTGGGATAAGCTCAAGAATATATGCCCCTATTGCAAATGTAAAGGTGGCATTTTATGGCGGAATCTTTATCGAGCTGAACCACACTTTGATGCATGCTTCAGATATTTTGACGGCAAGCCAACGGCAATCGCTGATTCAGCCGACCTGGCCGGCCTAGCGGCGCCTACAGAGAAGATGTCACAACAAAGATGCTTCTTGAAGCGTGGGTTAATGTTCCAACTTGCTGTGCAGCTGCTGACAAGCACAGTTTACACTCTCAGGGTTCCATTTCTTGCCTGTCCACCAGTTGCGTTGTCCTTGGTTCATCATGTCAGAGCCGAAGGCAAAAAATTCGTTCCCGCCCGAGAAGGGAACGTCAACCAGGAACATATATTTGGATTCATCGCCGGTTTCACCAGCTTAGACATGGGACGAATACTCACGGAACTTTTTACAAGGTGGCAGGACATCACTGGAGACCGTAAGGATCATCCAGCGCCTTTCAATTCTAATTCCTCGCATAATTCTCCTCTTGCCATGCCCCTCGCAAGTCTCCTGTACAATTGCTTTTAATCAGCTTGCTCTGCGTGGAATTTACTGACTTCCGGATTTAGATTTGGTGAAAGCTACTGCAGGAATGACCCCTCGATTATTCATGGCAACAGTTCTCTCCCAATACGGTTCAGTTGTTGCCCAAGAAGTCATTATATCAGGAAGAACCTTAGTTCGGTGCGACATGAAGCTTCAAGCTGCTCTGGCAAAATTGAGAGATGCAGAACCCGGCTCCTCAGACGATGTCACAGCCGAAATTGGGCAAATGAACGAAACTCTGATCAATATGAATATCAAACTGACTGGTACCCGTTCTACAATGCATTATCTTGCTGAAAGCGCGCACACACTGATCAGCGGGGTTACAACTTTTGAGCAGTATATTCACGCACGGTTGTCAGAATGGAGAGAGAACGCCGACTCCCAGGATTTGATGAAAGCTCTGCATGATATGGACAGCTGTAAAGAGTCAATACGAGACAACGACAAGCTAGAGCTCGTACGAAAGACCATGGGACAATACAAAATGGACATCAAGTCCTTACAACAACATATTGACATCAGCGTTGGAATGGCAAGTCGCCTTTCGCTCTTCCGTATGTTTTCAGCTACTGACATTCGACCGACAGGTCCGCAACCTCATTGCTGAGCGAGATAAGGTCATTCAGAACGTTATTGCTGGAAATACATCTAGAGATGGATTCGTAATGAAGATTATTGCTGTACTAACTGCGTTCTTCCTTCCGGGAACTTTCATGGCAGTTTGTTTACCCCTCTTTCTTCCCAATGTTCTCTGCTAAATAGCCTGCAGATTTTCTTGACGGGTCCAATGTTCGACTTCAAGAATACCGAAAGCGTTGTCGTTGATTTTCCAACTAAGCTTTACTGGTCAATTGCCGGGACTATCACTGTTCTTCTCTTGATCGGTCAACTTTTCCTCACCTTCCCAGAATGGACCACCAATACTATTGATTTCATGGGTTGGAACAGGCTCAAAAATACGAGGCTGTATACTGAGGCAATGAAGAGGGAGGGCGAGAAACAGAAATCCATAATGGAAAAGAATAGTGTAGTGAGAAGGGGAACGGGTAAAAGTGGCCTTTCAGGGAAAACCCAGAATAGCGAACAGAGGCCCGGTAAGGAACCGGCAAATGGGATGAATGGACCGAGAATAGAGAACGGAGTACAACAGAAAGGACAGTGGCAGAATGCCTCTTCGCTTTTCGGAAGGAGAAGTCAGCCGACTCACCAGGTAGAGAAAGGTGAACATGCGGTCTAGGCGTTATGTGAATTATTTTCCTGCCGATATATCCCAATACACGTGAGTTATCACCATCGCCTAATATATACTTTGAGCTCAAATAACTCAAGTCTTTCTGAATGTTCGAGGGTTATTAGGAACTTTGAAGTGATTCGAAGCAGCAGACATTTTTTGCATAAAACTCTTCACGAAGAGATCAACCCACGCCAGTCCCAGCAAACTCCAACCGCAACATCAACCCGCAACAAACTACTTAACAAGCACCATGGCACAGATATTCATTTTCTTCTCACTTCTACCTACGGAACTGAGACTCAAGGTATGGAACTACGCTTGTAGCTTCTCCCCACGAGTAATCGAGGTCGCTCCACAAATTCTCAACCCCGTTTACCCTGAGCAGTATAGAAGGTGGAGAGCCATGGCAAGTACCATTCTCCCCCTTTTGCAAGTCAACCAAGAAGCCCGATACGAGCTGTTGCCACGATACTCCGCACCGTTTAGTCTTCGAAAACTCGATCCCTACCACCCCGCCTACCTATTGATCAACCACGAGGTCGACACTTTATACTTCCGAGTCGGCGAAATGTCGCTTTTCCGCCGGGAGATGTTCTTTCAAGTCCTTTTTGAAGATGAGGGGGTGGATTTGAGGAACAACCTGAAGAGCTTGGCAGGTAATGAGAAGTTCTGGCATACCATGGTCCCGCAAGCCCTTGGCAATCCCAATCCTTGCTTTCGAGACTTCGACAATTTCACAAAATTGAAGGAAGTCGTCGTTGTCTCTTACCTTGAGCAGCGACTTGATGATTCTGATGGCGCGCCTAGACTTGCCAGGTTAGAGGAGAGTGTCCTGGGAGGTGCGTACGAGAGGAGATACGAGCCATGGCTCAACGAAGGATTCAACAGCATACCGCGGAATATTCCAATAACCGTCAAACAATGTAGAGAAGTTGCAAAGCTAGCGTTGGCTTCTGCATTATAGTGCAAGAGATAATTCGAAGAGTTCACGTAATACAAGTTTCTTTCCAATGTCACTCGCGCTTGACATCATGCTACCAAGAACTCATACTGCCTCATTTTTTTCTTCATCAAATTTCCACATACAATTATACACAAGAGCAATGCTGTCGCTCCAAGTGACTCTTCAATGGTCGGTATCTACAGTGGGTCGATTTAATCCCACCATGGCTAACGAATTCAAATACTTTTCTCGCCTGCCCTTCGAAATACGACGGCAAATTTGGCTTTACACCGTCGACCTCTTCCCGCAAATATTGCCATTCCGCCCATCACTGCCACTGTTTTTACTTGTTTGTGGGAGACTTGATACCGGACGATGGAGGGATTGGAAAGTTCAGCCCGCAAATATCCCCAGCAATTCTACACGTCAACTACCAATCTCGTCACGCGGTTCGGGCCAATCACTTCCTTCCTTCCCCCCAAACGGAAATGGAACTGGTAGAAGCAAGGGTTGCGAACTGATGCTTTCTAGCAATCTTATTCCTCGGATAATGTGGAAATGTTGCTGGTTCCAAGTGGGTGACGAAGTTGACGAGTTCTGAAAGTGGCCCGGGCGGGGAGCTTGGTACATGAGAGTTGCAAAGCGTGAAGGACAACCATTCAGTAGTAATCTCAACCTATAGCTCGGAAAATAGTCGTTAGACATATTTGTGAATCGTTGATTTCCTCGATTATTCAGCATCTACACTTATTGTTCGCACATAACATCACAGGTTTTGTTCCCATGAACTCGGTAAACTTGAACCATACTGAGAATACATTTCTCCCCATGCAAACCACTATACAACCAACACTGATAAAGGAAGCGTTTGTTAGCATGCGGCACAGGAGAGTGGCCACCCCATTTACGCTCTTCCCACGACTACCCTTCAATCTTCGAAGCAAAATATGGAGCCATTCTCTCCCGCTCTTCTCACGAATTATCGAACTCAAAAGTCTAAGCTCAATCCATGAACTTCGCAAGAACGAACCTCCACGTTGGCTTGCTATCCCCACCTCCAAGCCAACATTGCTCTCCATCAACCGCGAGTCTCGACGAGTTCTATCGCCATACTACGCAACGCCATTCCAAGCTCGACGAATATCTCCTCATTTTGGAATCGAGGGTCTTCTGATCAACTACAAAATCGACACCCTATTCATCAACATAGGTTTTCGGTGGCCAACTCATTCAGACGTGCTGTTCAGTGACTTGCTGGGGAGCAACTTTGAAGAGGTCAAAGACAATTTGAAGCTACTTGCTGGTACTGAGTATTTCTGGGAGACCTTGTCAGAAGAGGTACGCCAAAGGAAATCAAAGGGAAACAGGATGCAGTTTATTGCTGAGTTCGGCAGTTTGAGAGAAGCGATAGTAGTTGCCAAGAATAGATTTCCAGAACGAATTGTTCCATGGAGGTTGATTCAGTTTGTAGATTTGCATCGGGGATCCGAGGAAAGGAGACGTGTGCAGCAGGATCTACCACACTTCTTTGATCCTTATCGAAAGAAGAGATACCCAGAGAGATTGTGTGCCAAGATTGAGAAGCCCTCTGTCTTATGGAAACTGAAATCAAGATAGACTGTAGCCTTCGAGAATACTCCAAATTTTAGAATCGCTGAGTGGAGAATGTCCTTGACCTGGAGTCTGTGAATAGGTTGTGATATGTGACTCGAGGATGCATCAACTCACTCTACTTTAGTTTGAACCTATCAAAAGCATCAAATAGACCCAAGCCATTGAGGTAATCACACTCTATATTGCAATGGTGCTCGTTGTGAATACACAGGACTTTTTCAGTGACTAGGAGAAGAGAAACCCAAAATGCGAAATCTGAACCCCAGTAGCACCTCTTCTAATTACAATTTCATGAAAGGTTCGGGAGAGTCCAGAACTACTACACTGACGAACAATGTCCATGGATAAGTCTTTCATGCTTTTCCCTAACCTTCCCACGGAGCTCCGCCTCAAAATCTGGAGGCTGACGTTACCCCTATTTACTCGCGTGCTCGAAGCGAAGCCACACAAACCCTGGTCAACAACGACCCAAAGATCCAGAACTCCAAAATGGACTATTACCCCAACAACAAACACGACTCTCCTATCAATAAATCAAGAGTCGCGAAACGAGCTCAAGAAGTTCTATTCTGCGCCTTTCAACCCAGACAACGTCTTTCCCTCGTACGGGTCTAAAATCGACTTCCGACTTCACTGTCGGGTTGGTCCTGATACGGAACCGTACTCGGAGATTGCTGGTCTTCGCTTCAACTACGAATTCGATACCTTGTTTCTTGATATCACGGATCTTTGCTATCTATGGCCTAGAATCTACACGTTTTCTACTCTCCTGGAAAGTGTTTTTGGAGACTCATATCCTGAAGCTCAACAAAAACTTCGAAGCCTCGCAGGGAGTGAAGACTTCTGGGATACAATCGTCCTGCAGGAAAACGAGTTAGAAGAAAAAGTGCTGGAGAATTTTGTTAGCATGGAGGAAAACATCGTGGTCTTTGAACAAGGCATCTTGGGTAGAGATGACATTCTTGTGAGGTTTGAGGATGTTGAGGAGATCGAGTGGGCCGGGCAGGAGAGGCTCTATCTTGATCAGTTTCCGAGAGTTGAGGGGGTTCTAGTGAAGTCTTGCAGAGGCGTTGGGAATAAGGAATTGGGGCTGCTGGAGGTGACAAATAAATGGAATTTTGGGAGTTTTGGGCAAGGGGGAGGAAGCAGTCCTGCCTCTTCCGGTGTTTGAGGAAGGTTGAAAGGTGGATTACGAGAATACTTTTTTGTCCTTGGCTATTGCGTTGTATAAAAAGTTAACAATGGGCTCCTTTTTCTTGTAACATGGAGTGCATGCAGTTCTTTGAGATGGAGGTGATAACAATGAACAGTAGCTTTGAGACCCTTAAATTCCCATGTATTTCGATACCTAGAATCGTACGGCAGCCATTACTTCCACCCAACAACTTAGTAGAAATCTCAAACAAATATCACAAACACCAATATCGCGAATAACACCAACTCCTTAAAATAAAGATGACTAGAGCATTTGAGCAGTGTCCAGAACTCCCACGACAGCGTCGAAACACAATCCGACGAATGACCATTGCACTCTTTACACAAACCATCGGAGTCAGAGCAATCCCGATCAAACCTCGGGTCGGCCATACGAAGTTCCTCGATCCCGCTGGGCCGTCACCCCGGACTACCCTCTCACTCTACTACAAGTGTGTCATAAGTCGTTAGTACTGAAGATCGGAGATTTGTTGGTCAGCCTTGATATTCAACGCACTGTTCCACATTTCGTGAAAACACCATTCATGTTATTATTCCCAACAGGCATAATATCTTGTGGCGCGTTGGCGTTTCTAAAAAAAATTCATCTTCATTAAAGGATATTTGATTTGAATCTTTTGAGGCGACGAGATAAGATTGACTGTGAAACAGGCTGGCTTAACCTCAGTTTGTCACAATAAATCTCTAACCGCACAATCTCAAGAGGATCTTGAAATGAGTAGAAAAGTCCTTTACCTCCTTGTGAATTGTCAAGGTTGCAATGAGTCATTTACCTAATAAAGTTGGGCATGCTTGTTCTCCTTCCTGCTTCCAACAAACTGCTGTCTCCAGCAGACAAATCGACATTCGACTGGCCTCTACCAATTAACTGTCAACAAATGACCTACTTGAACAATTACTTAGATTTTATTCCACGGTTCGACTTTCTTTAATAGAGAATTGATCGACTTCCGTCTGTCTGGAATTGCTCTCCCCGCCACCTTCCTCCACCGAGCAACCTCAAACAACACTGACGAAAAGTGCATCCTTAGTACTTCATGGATCTTATCAATTTGCTTGACTTATTCCGGATCAAGGATATCCCCAGCAAGAGCCACCATATTGGTGGTGTCGGCGAGCCCGCTGCATATCTCTGATGATATAATATTTCCCGTGCAAGCGATTTCGGAGGTTCTATGGCCTTGCAGGCATTCGAACATGCTCTGTTTCCAGAAAATTGTCAAGTATGTCCCCTTTTATCCTTTCCCTCCCGCACTGGGTCATTGGGGATAACGAGAATACTAGTTCCTGAAACACCCATACGCTTGTGGACCATTTTTCGGTCAGGATATGGCCGGTATTTAGGTAGCAGTATTCGTACGTTCCATCTCGTAGAGCAGCCAAGCAAGTAGGTTCGGGACCCGTGCTGGCAGCAGGCCAAGGTAAATGATGGTATGTAGTGCCCCAACATTAATTCTTCCCATAAAGTCGATCTGTGTTGCCTTCTCCACATCAACTGCTTGATTGATGCAGATTCCGTCAGCCCATAAAGCAGGCTTCTCTCCTCATTGTGTAAACCAAGAAGTGCTGAGCTGAGATTGGCCGTGATATCAAGGCTCTTGCCATTGACTAAGAATCCCCTGTTCTTCTCTGGGTTGCCCCAGGCGTAAGAAGTGCGGTGGAATGGCCAAAGATATCTGATTGTAGCATAATGAGAGCCGGGTGTGGAGTAAATCACACTTCAAAGGGGAGAGGCGTCTTAAGAAGGCTGTAGTTCGATCAGGGCGAATGCTGTTCGGAGGCCATTATGGTGGTTTCGAAGCGGAAGAAAACAAGTGCGTGATGTGTCAACGCGGAAGAAGGGGTCAAGTAGGAAGGAAAGGGTGTGGGTGGGAAGAGAAGGAGGAGGTATTGGCCTTCAGGCTGGAGTTGCCACGCTACGAGGTCCACTCGACCTAGAAAGGAGAGGCAGCCGTGTGATGCTTTTTTCTTCTCAACATCCACAATCAGCGAACTGAAGGTGACTAGTGGGGTGACAGAGAAAGCTACACCAATCTTCAAAGTCTTTAAGCTGATTTGGCAAATCATCTGGACTTGGACAGAGAGGATACTGATATTTCAAAGACTTCTGAGAAATCCGAGGAGTTGACTTTGAATGTATGTCAATCTAAAGGAACATTCGCGAGGGATCTTCGTAAACAGGATGTCGCTTTTCTTGCCCATCTTTGGAGGAGAGAGTGGAAAACTTCCACCTGCTTGCAAAGATAAACATGTGTACCCAGGCATAATTTCCCACTCATTCACATGTCAAGTGCAAAAGGCCATTCAATGGACGACGTTTGTTATTAGCCCGTAGGCGCTATCATACATCCATAACTAGAAAACCGCATCTCCTAGCAATGAGCGACCAGAAGCCATCTGATACCCAAAGAACAATTTCATCCTCTAATTATTCACCAGACTCGAAGGGAGGGTATCGTGAGAATTTATTCGGTGGTCCCCTTGGTCTTGCCAGTCACAGTATCGGCTAGCAGATATTAGTATCGCATCACACATAAGAGGTAGGAGCATCACTTACCAGCATTGGAGAGAGTGTTGGATGTGGACTCAGCGGCGCCGCTCAAAGTGTTCTTGGCAGAGTCGAGGTAGCCGGAGCTCCCGTTTTGAGCGCTGTCTACGTTGGATCGAGTAGAGTCACCGATCTTCTGGGTAGCGGACTTCTCCTCGGCTAGAAAGTTGGGTCAGCACGATGATATGCTAGGTGATTTGATAGATCTTACTTGGCTGGAAGGCACCAGCAACCTTGTCGGTAGCACCAGTGACATTCTCGGAGAGGACTTGTCCGGTGGACTTTTGAGATTGAGGGGTGACCTTCTCACCGACCTGTTCGCCGAGACCTTTGCGCCTATTGTCTGTAAGTGGCCACGTCCAGAAAGCCTGGTGGACGCATCCTGAGTTTTTGGGCGAACGGAGCTAAGGAGAAAAATATTGAACTTACATGGAGTCAGACATGTTGATTGTTTTGATTTGAGGTTTTGATGTGAAAGTATAGTTTGATTTGCTTTTGATTTGGAGTTGATGGACAAGAAAACTCTCAGTTAAGGCTGGTTCGGGGATTTATGTAGTCAAGAGAAAGCTCCAAGATTTCTTGATATCCCTGGAGAGGTCTCGTGCGATTGCATCTTTCCAAACGTCATGGCTGAACAGGAAACACACTCGCCACACCCTTCCATTGTGGCTGCCATCTACTCTTATTCGTGGTAGGGTCAGAGACGCGTCACAGTGAGAAGACTCCCCGATCGTAGACGGGATCTAGTATGGGGCAGGGGCCATGCAAAGGGCAGCTATGGGGTCTTCAAGATTCCCATGTGAAATTTGTTGAAGATAAAAGATATCCAATCAATAATCCATGTCACCGGGAAGAGAGCTCCGTAACCTCGAGACACATATGCTGCTTTTTCTCATTTGCTGAAATGATGTCATGGTAGACATTCAAAATGTGATGTCACCAGAGAGAGAAGCGGGAGGCAAAGAAAACTGACGAAAGTTCATATCAGGTAATAAGACTGGGTACCTCAGAAGCACGGCATGTATGACGAGAGGCTCATGTGAGCACAACCCGCATATGGCGACAGCTCAAAAAGGGGGGATATCATGTTGATCACGTGATGACTAATCACGAGAGCGAATTTCGAGCTTCCAAAACACAAATGTACTACCCCCCCCTTGAATACTTACAGTGGGTCCTGGGATAACACCACTCCTGCACTGACCAACTCAAGGGTGTATGGCCAATAGCGATTCTAGAGAGCACCTGATATTTCCTAGTTGGGGGTTATAAACGAGGTTTCAGGGTGGCGTTACTAAAGGACCCACTGTAAGTATTCAAGGGGGGGGATAGTATAAGAAACACATGAACACAAGATGTAGATCGATGGTCATTTACTTGAAGCGGTCCCTAACGGTCAGAATTTGGTTCTCAAAATCGCGGCAAATCTTTCGCTGCGGTCCTTTTCCGCTGGCACTTCGGTCTGCAAATTTGAGACGTCAAACTCTTGAGGCTGTGTCCAGTACATTATAAGACAACTCTGAATTGGAAGCACAGGAATTGAGATGGTGTTCGTGAAACTATTAACGATTTTGCTAGAGTCAGAGTGAGGTTAAATTGAGTAAGCTGGAGTAAAGTTGTAGGCTGCCGCGGCTGTTTCAGGGGGGCAAATAAGGTTTGATTAGCGGAACGCTAAGTCCCAAAACACGAACTTGGTTGCTGTGCGACTTCCGTGTAAACAAACCCCACCCAAACACATCCCGGGCACTGCATTGCAGTTGCCTCCACCATCATTTGATGATCTTTGCTGCAGGCACATCGTCCATCCGACATTCTGCTCGCTGCAGCTGATCCCCCTCAATTGCACCCCAAATCCTCCTCCACTCAATCCTCTCTCGCTGCACGACCAAGTCGCGTTCCTCACCGACTTACAGCTTTTGCACTGGTGGCAGCCGCTGGAGAACGAGAGGCCCACGAACGATTGCTCATCATGTCGAGCTTCATTACCAACTTATTTCCTTCTTCACAAGGAGGAAAGCACGACAATATCATGCCCGTACCGCCTCCTCCTCTGCATACTCGCTCGAGCCAAAATGAATCCTTCAACAACGAGCGGCCGAATACCCCAAATCGAAACAGCTTCATCACTCCAGTCTCGACTCCGCAGGGCAGCCCGAGCAAGAATCGAAACCCCCCTGGTGCTAATGACCTGCCAGTCGCTTTTGAGAGCTCCCTGAAACTTACGGCAAATACCTTTGGCAGCCCAACGAAGGGTGGCCGCTCGCAGGCAGGCACTCCGTTATCCCTGGGGAGGAGTAACGCATTGGCGATTGACGATTCCTATTTCGGCAACTCTCCAGGCAATATTGATGATAGCATCATCCACAAATCAGCTGCGATTTCTCCTGGTAGCCCACTGCGGAAACAGGGCAAGGAAAACACACCTCCGACCTCCAGACAAGGCCTCGAGTCAAGCGCCCAAAACCAAGCAGCCATCTCGAGGCAGGAGCTTTATCAGCCACGAGAGCAGCAACCTACGAAGAAGTACAACACGCAGCGAGGCTTGACTGCAGACGAGCTGGAGATTCTGAGCAAGCCCAATGTCAAACGACTCGCCAACGTCACACAGCTCTGTAAGTAGGGGTCAAGAAACGGCTGTACTCTGATCTAATAATAAGCAGATTTCCTAGATTACTATTTTGATCTCTTGACCTACGTCAGTGCTCGCCAGAACCGCCTTAATCACTTCAAAGCCGAATTCCCCGAGCCTCCTGCTACTGACGAAGAAACATACAATCCTGTCTGGTCAAAATACGTTGGTAGAGAGCGCGCCAATCTCCGAAAGCGTCGAGTTCGCCTTCGGCAAGGCGACTTTCAGATCCTCACGCAAGTTGGACAAGGTGGATATGGTCAAGTTTTCCTTGCGCAGAAAAAGGACACTAGGGAAGTCTGTGCGTTGAAGGTTATGAGTAAGAAGTTGCTATTCAAGCTGGACGAAATTCGACATGTTCTTACGGAGCGTGATATTTTGACCAATGCTAAGAGCGCGTGGCTCGTTCGGTTACTCTACTCGTTCCAGGATGATAAGAGCATTTATTTGGCAATGGTGTGTGCAACGATTCACATGGAAGCGTCGAGACTAATGGGATATTTAGGAGTATGTACCTGGTGGGGACTTCCGAACACTGCTCAACAATACTGGTGTCCTTGCAAACCGCCACGCCCGTTTCTACATTGCGGAAATGTTCTGCTCTGTCGATGCCTTGCACCAACTTGGCTACATCCATCGAGATCTCAAACCTGAGAACTTCCTAGTTGATTCAACAGGCCACGTCAAGCTTACGGACTTCGGGCTTGCTGCTGGATTCCTTGCTCCGGGCAAGATTGAATCCCTGCGAGTGAAGTTGGAAAAGGTTGGAGAAACATACGTCCCATTTGGCAAGCCAATGGATCAGCGGACTGTCGCCGAGCGTCGGGAAGGATATCGATCGATGAGGGACAGAGACGTCAATTACGCGAAGTCAATCGTAGGATCTCCTGATTATATGGCCCCTGAAGTTCTCAAGGGTGAAGAGTACGAGTTTTCGGTCGACTATTGGAGTCTTGGTTGCATGCACTTTGAGGCCTTGACTGGATTCCCACCTTTCGCCGGTGCCACAGTTGATGAGACTTGGAAGAATTTGAAGCATTGGAGAGAGGTTTTGAAGCGACCAGTCTGGGAGGACCCCAACTATTTCATCAGCAATCGCACCTGGAATTTCATCACGAGGTTTGTAACACAAATTGTTGGAAAAGACCTCCTGCTAACTGATACAGCTGTATCGCATCCAAGACAAAGCGTTTTTCCTCTATCAAGGACGTCTACGAGCATCAATATTTTGCTGAGGTTGATTGGAAGACTCTTCGATCTCAAAGAGCTCCTTTTGTTCCTGAACTCGACTCCGAGACCGACGCTGGCTACTTCGACGACTTCAGCAATGAAGCGGATATGGCCAAGTACAAGGAGGTTCATGATAAGCAGACTGCCCTAGAAAATATGGCTGATAGAGATGACCCGATGAGCAAGAGCTTATTCGTCGGATTTACATTCAGACACCGCAAACCAACGACCGAGGAAGGGGGCAAGTCAAGTCCGAGAAAACCCATCGCTACTGATGGGACCTTTGGTACGATGTTGTGATGAATTGATGCATGTGTCGATGCCTATTTCGCTTCTATTGTGCGTTATGGTTCATTGACGGCGCGTGTGTGTGTGTGTGGGTGGAGCACTAGAGGAGCGGTATTTGCAGTGGAGCAAGTGCAAAGCGTTATGCCAAAATGATTGCTGCGTTGACGGTCAGTCTTCTGAGATTATATCTACTTTTTCGGGTTCTGTTTGGAGTTCAAGATGAGCTGTGCTGGGCATGCAGGCTGTGTCTGTACTAATGGCTATGAATACAATTGATGACTTTATCTTGTATGGGTGTTGATTTGGATGTCTCTGATTAATCCTCGCATTCTCTTGGACAGGGAACTGATGCGATTGGCTCTTGACCCCTGCAGACTTTCCCCGCAAAATGCCCAGGAGCACGGCACAGGATCTTATCAACTCAGAGCGCTGGCACTCACCATCTTCACTTCTTCGCATGACATTTATCAAAGGTTAACCACCGCCATAATTGAGTACGATACCGGTATAGAGCTTTCCGGCGACTAAGCCCGAGTTGATCGCGTCCTGGATCGTCCGAATTGCACGAGAACGAGGATGTAGCGATGGACAAGGACTCTCTTCACGTGTGTGCACCAGTAGAGCCTCTCATGACCAGCTCAAATGCTAAGCTTAATCTCTCTCTTCAGGGTGATTGCGTACACAACCAGAAGCCAGCTAGGAATACGTTTCGAAGGTAAGATTACGTTGATTCAGCCTTCCATGTTCGAGGAGAGCTAATGAAGCCTGCAGACCACGTGCAGGGCGTGCCTGTGGGGTAAGTGCCCCGTCTTTCATTCCTTGGTTGACCTTAAAGTGCTGATGTTTTCTCTAACAGTCTTGCCATTCAAAAAGGGTATCTCACCTGTCGTACCCCCTCAACTGCTCCATCGCACTGATGACAATGACAGGTTCGATGTGATGCTGGCATTCGTGGCCTGCCGTGCACAAACTGCACAGCCTTTTCTTTAGAATGTAGCATCCCACCTAAAAAGAAGGAACGTGAAGGAGAAACGGTTAATGGATTGAAGCGGTATGTCTTTGCCCCCGCGTCCAACAGCATTGCTAAATACTTCCAGAACAAGACCCAGAAGAAGGAATGCCCAGGAGGCTCTGGCACCCAAAGAGTCATCCAGCTCACCAGAGCCAGAGTATGCCGACAACTACGCAAAGCTAATCAAGCCCGAGGTTGCCGCATCCACCATCCAAGATGCCGGGAGAGTATTCTATCTGGCAGAAATGTCAAACATGTCGGTCTTGATACATGACTACTACCACCCAGCATCAAAGGTCCACTATCAACTCCCCTTGGACTGGGAAAAGGGGCCACTTCTGCCGTCCGCAACGGATGACATCGAACTCGAGATCTTACGAGCTCGAGGAGCCCTCTCTCTACCTCCCAAGGAAATATGCGATAAACTAGTCAATGCCTTCTTCACCTGGGTAGCACCCATAGTGCCCATCATCAACAAACATTCTTTCATGAAACAATATCATGATCCGAATAACCCCCCCTCAATCCTCCTTATGCAAGCTATTCTCCTGGCTGGTTCGCGAGTCTGTCCATCTTCAACGTCAATGGACTCGTCGAATCCATTTGCAACACTCTTCTATCAACGCGCCAAAGCGCTCTACGATGCCGACCACGAAAAAGACCGCGTAACAACGGTTCAATCTCTTATCTTGTTGGGCTGGTATTGGGAGGATCCTGCTACCGTAACGAAAAATGTCTTCTATTGGAACGGCCTCGCAATCAGCATCGCGCACGGCTTTGGCATGCATCGCAGTGTTGAGTCCTCTGACCTGAGTACAGAAAATAAGAGATTGTGGAAGAGGATTTGGTGGACACTGTTTACGAGGGATAGAAGCGTGGCGGCGGCTTTGGGACGACCGTGTCATGTTGATATGAGGGATTCGGATGTGGAAATGATTTGTGAGGAGAGCTTTATCGAAGGTGATGGCGAGGTAAATAAGACTCATGCCCAGTTCTTTCTCAGCTACGTCAGGCTTTCGATTGTTATGGATCGGATCATGGTTGAGAATTACTCAACAAAGGCTAAAACGAATGCTGCGGTCTTCACACAGTGTGATCAGGCTTTATCAGATTGGTTGAACAATGTTCCGAAGGAGGTTAGGTGGGAGGGGGGACGGTACAATTTCTGGTCATGTTATCTGCATTGCATATTCCAGACTGCCCGCTGTCTGTTATACCGCGCTTATTTGCCAACCTCACTCTCGAGATCACGGAACGTACTGAGGTGGAGTCCGGCGTTCCAGTCAGCGGAGGTCATTACTTCTCTTGCTGAGGAGTTGATGGCTCATGATGAGCTGCAGTATACGCCGCCTTTTATGTACGTCTCTCTCCCTAATCCATGCATGTCAGAATGAGCGCTAACAATGATAGGATTTATACATTATTATCAGCACTAATGGTGCAAATCTATCAACTGCGCAAGACATCGCCGGATCTAATCACTACCTCAGCCATAAAAGAACAGATTTCAATCTGCATGCAAGCACTAGAACAAGTATCCAAAACATGGCTCGTAGCAACAATGGTCCATAAACTATTCGAGAACATCCTCGGATGGTACGTCCCGGACGCTCCAGCTCAGGAAACTCCCAAAGCCCCACCGTTTGGGATAACAGTAGGGGATTTGGGGGCACAAACAGCTGCTGAATACTCGTTGTTGAATGCTGCGAGACCAGTGTCCACGTTGCCAGTTAGGACGAAGCCATTAACGAAGGGACTGGAGGATTATCTGGAAGCGGCATTGCAGATTGCTAGATCTTCTGCTTCTGAACTAAGAAACAGCTATGCCACGAGGTCAGAACGGCCTGCACGGCAATTGAATCGTCCAGCACCACAGGATAAAGGACTTCTATTCTTGCCGGAAGACGAGGAGCTGAAGTGGGATGAAGAGGATCGGCCGAGGACGCCGGCAAGCACTGGATTGAATCCTGATGTGTGGTGAGTTTTAATGCTGAGAATGTTTGTGGCAATATGAGACAGAGTTGTGACTGATGAATTGCGTAGGTCTGAATTCTTTGGCTGAACGTATGCAACAGAAGGAATGGATGCCTCAAGATTGAGTAATTTGATGCGACTAGATTTTCAGCCCAAATCGACTGTCAACGATGGGATTTGTGGGAGAAATGCTTGTTATCGAGGGAGCTGCGTTTCCATGCCCCGCAACACATAACGGGGCAAACCCAGGCGAATCGATTCTCGGTTCCACGTCCACTCTCAAGTTGGTGTTTCGTTTGATCACCACGGAAGGCACGACGAATGCGGGAAGGAACGTTGGACCCTTGGCATCCCTATCTCAAGGAGCCGCTGGGCTCTTGTCGTCAGGGCAAGTGTCGAAGATTCTCACATGGATGAGCGTGCTGAGTTAATCGGCCAAAAATTCCAAAATTGCGAATGCGAAAAGGAGGCAGTGTCGAAGGAAAAGGCTTGTCCCAATACGTATCCGTTAATCATGAACGGGAGAAGTGTTCAAGTTCGCGTCAAATTTTCCCACGAAAGAAAGACAAAGGTCGAGCGGAGCTAGGAACGTTCAGATAGCATACCTTTAGAGACACAGCGATGAAGTAGCAATGCTCGGAACATTGCCTGGCGAAGGGGAGGTCATTTCCTCAGGTACAAGCACCTTTATGCACGAACTTCCCCGCATTCCCTTTACCCCACGAAGATCTGGAAATCTGGACAATTTCAAAGCCGTCGAACTGGCGGAGACTTGACAGCAAGGTGTCTATTTCCAAACGTGCTTGACTGACCACGAGAGGATTTATCTGAAGATCCTCGGGTTAATTGAAATGATATAATTTCTACGTCTTTTCGGAAGTGAACCGAGCTAACTACTTCATCCAAATCCCCACTTTCTAAGCCTTCCATCTGTGAGCTTTGTCAGTCACAATCCCTGCCCTACTTCGGCCCATACTTTTGCATTGTGGGAACCACTTTGTATTCGTGGAAATTCCACTACCTATCGCTCAATTCCGACATATGATTCTAGTGCAAGAATTCTTGAACTGACTGCTTCCATTCCAAATGTTGTTCTTGCTATAAAGTCTGGTAAGGAACGGTATTGTACCAAATATCTTCACCAAGTTTCTCGCGATGACCCGTTCAATCTCTTTTTCTTTGCACCCGTACATAATCTTTTGAAAATGAAGATCAATATTGTTTCTGCTCTTGGAGCAATTGTCTTCTCGTCTTTTGTTTCTGCTCAACTCTCTGGTGGCGTGGGTCCATCCACGACCACCGCCTCCAAAGCAGCGAAGAAAGTCTGCAACATCCTCAACTATGGGGGTGTAGCCTCTAAGACTACGGACAACGCTCCAGCAATTGCTTCTGCATGGGCTGCCTGCAAGTCTGGAGGAGAGGGTAACTCACCTATTTACTTATATCTTTATCCTATATTCTAAAACAATGCAGTTTACATCCCTGCTGGGGACTACGGACTCGCAACCTGGGTAACTCTCACTGGCGGAACAGCAGTTTCCATAAACTTGGATGGGATCATCTATCGTACTGGGTAAGTGTCAATCAACTTGTGAGAAAGGCGTAGACTGACAATCGCGTAGCACTGCGGGGGGAAATATGATATTCATCGAACACACCACCGATTTTGAATTCTATAGCAGCACCTCAAAAGGAGCCGTCCAAGGCTACGGTTACGTTTTCCATGCTGCCGGAACCTACGGCCCACGAATTCTCCGACTGTACGAAGTTGTCAACTTCTCCGTGCACGACATCGCTCTGGTCGATGCAGGAGCTTTCCATTTCACAATGGATACATGCAGCAACGGTGAAGTCTACAACATGATTATTCGAGGAGGCAACGAAGGGGAATTAGACGGGATCGATGTGTGGGGAACCAATATCTGGATCCATGACATTGAAGTCACAAACAAGGATGAATGTGTCACCGTCAAAAGTCCTGCGAGTTATATCCTTGTCGAGAGTATCTATTCCAACTGGTCTGGTGGCTGTGCTATTGGCTCACTTGGTGCCGACACTGATATTCATCATATTCAGTATAACCACGTCTATACCCAGGAGTCCAATCAAATGCTCCTGATCAAGTCCAACGGTGGAAGTGGCTCGGTTTACTCATGCTCATTTAACAACTTCATTGGGCATTCGAACGCATACACCCTCGACATTGATGGCTACTGGAGTTCAGAGACCACCGCAGCAGGAAATGGCGTACTATTCTACGACATCACTTTCGATAACTGGCACGGAACCTGTTCAAACGGTGCAACACGAGCTCCTCTACAACTGCTGTGTCCATCTGGAGCACCATGCTACGGTATCACGATCGAGAATTTCGACATCTGGACTGAGGCTGGCAGTGAGGTGCTTTACAAGTGCGAAAACGCTTATGGGAGTGGACCTTGCTTGAGCACTGGTACTAGTCACACTGCATATGCGATTACTACTCATACTGTTACTTCTGTTGCGTAAGTTTTTTCAGACCTGGATTTTTGGAAGTAGAGCTTACGGGACGTTACAGGTCCTATACCATTACGAAGATGGCGGCTGATTTTACGGCTGGCTTTGGGCTCACGACCAGCATTCCAATCCCAGCGATTCCGACGTCGTTCTACCCAGGCCTGGCACCCAGCAGCGCGCTGCTTGGCTGAAGACCTGTTGCCCTCGGTGTAAACCATTTCAGAGAGCGATGAGAAAAAGAGAAGATGGGAAATTTCACAATTAATGACGGCCGGGAACGGACAAATCATTCTTGTATATATTTTGAATACCCCCTAACGATGTACTCATACCAAGCATTGTCCCTTTCTAGTAGCAAATCAATTTCTCACCAGGAACCTAGACGACATCTACTGCAGGATTCGGAAAGAGCCATTCTCCACTGGGCCACCACCTCCTTCTCGTTCTGCTCATCCTCATAGCAGGCTTGATTTTATCATATCCATCACCAGCTCCCATCCAATAATCTTTCAGCCTTCTTCATGTGTAGTTGATCCTTGCAAACTTCAACTCCAGTGCCTTGTACCCTCGATAATTCATTTCCAAGTCGAGCAAGAGCCTCTGTATCCCAGTCCTGTACTCCCACTGACCATCACCCCCATTCACCTCGAACACCTGCAGCGGGGCATCCCAATCGATCTGCTGGTCACTGCTCCAGTGTTCCTCTCCATCCCACTTGCGATAATCCGTGTCACCAACCGCGATCGTCAAAGCATATATGACCTAAGTAGAAATTTACTAACCCCCGCAGTGCCGCACTTGATCTCAACCGAGAATCACCTCCACCCGAGGGCTCCTGCGGGCACGTCCACCAGAGCACCGCACGTGATTCAGATCCCGTGACACGTTTTCGAAATCTCCGTACTCAAATGACAAAGTCTCTACCAATTACCTTCCACTATTGGTCCCAATCTCTCTGCCTAGAATGGGCAGTCCTTCGCATTCCGAAAGGGGCTAAGCTCATGTCGGATATTGCTGATCCACCGAACGGAGCGGGAGTTCGCGAAAACCCGACTCCTACTCGCAGCACTTAAGCATCGCCTCAACTTCACAATTCAACGGCGTTTCCAAAAACCCGGGTGTGACTGTCATTCCGAATCGCTAGTATGCCCTTGATTTGACTGTAGCGAAGGATGCTCCGGACCTCAACACCCCCTACGGCAGGTACGCCAACTAGCACCAGGGCGTGCCAAAACTGCTCCAGGGCTAAGGCTAAATGTGCTCCTCACGATGACAACCCCGATCCTCGATGTGCTAGGTTTGTGTATTCGTACATTCTGGATATATATGAATATGTGTAGTTGATTTGAATGCAGGTGTTTTCGTCTGAAGAAGGAGTGTATCTTCCCGCCCAGGGTGAAAAGGAAACGACGCTCACCCAATGCAACCACGTGCGTTGTAACAGACCCCTTTTTGTTCCAAGTATGACTAAAAAATCTTGCAGCAATGCTGCATTAGAGGAGAAAATCGAAAGTCTTGTCAACTTGATTTCAGCCGCACAAGGAATCACTTCCACTTCAGATCTGCTCACCCCTCCGGTCAGCCAGCCTCGGAGCGAGGCCTCTCCGAGTTCTCCAAATCAGCAACCGGATGAAGCAACCGCAAAACAAAACGACCTTTCCTGGGCGGGTGTCAGTCAGAGTTGCAGGTCGGCATGGCAGCTCGAGGCCGTTCGATTAGAGCAGCAGCTGTCTGCGGTGGCAGCTCCTCCACAGTCATCTGACTCAATCTCGCATCTTCTTCACGATAACCACTCAGATTCTCGTAATGCAGTCCAGGCCCATGACCCGAGATGTCTTCTAAACGTCTATCGAGAGCAATTCGCTCCACATTTCCCCTTCATCTGTATCCCAGACGGCGTCTCTGCCGAGGATTTACGCAGCTCAAAGCCATGGCTCTACAGAACAGTTCTCATGGTGGCAGCTCAAGAAGAACGACTCCGCCAACAGGAGCTAGGAAAACAAATTGTATCAGACATAGCATCTGCAATGCTTCTACGTGGTGAGAAAAGCCTGGACATGCTCCAGAGCTTATGCGTCTGCAACTTGTGGTTAGTGGTAAATCTTGGCGAGTTCCTCTGGCGGGGTGAAGACAAGTCAACTGACCTTGAGCAGGGCTTACTACTTCGCATCCATCACACCTGTAAGCCAGTCGACGGCCATGTTCCAGCTGGCTCTTGCATTACTGTTTGACCTTGGTCTGAATCGACCAGTGCGGTCAGACACCGGTCCGGGTGAGGTACTAGCAGATTTTATGAAGATCTCTGTAGATCGAAAACAAGAGATAAATCGTTCCTCCGATGAACGAAGAGCTCTACTTTCGTGCTACTTGTTTGGTTCGGTGTAAGGAATATCATCTTCTATTCCCCTCCCAACAGGCTTTAATTCAAGACAGTTCCATGTTGTGCGTTAAGAAGTACGAGGGCTTGCAATACTCTCCTTACATCGAGTATGCGTGCCAGGTCCTTGAAGAAGCTGCCGAACAAGATTCAGATCTAGTGCTCGTCTCTCTCGTAAGGATGAATTGTATTGTCGACTCGGCATACAAAAGCCTCCCAATCAAAACTGCTGGGGATGATATCAAGGCACCCGTATGGATGCATGTCAAGGCAGCTCGATCAGAGCTGCAGAAACACTGGGATTCGCTGAGACCTGACGTTCAACAACACCGTAGGCTGCCTTCCCCATTATCATACAAATGCTACTGATGATCCCCCAACAGCACTTGTTCAAACGAACTTACATGACTCAAATGTCTTTCTTTATGGCATCAGCCTCCAGAAACCACTCTTTCCTGAGACTGGGCCATCTCAGCGTCTTGACTTGTTCTACGCATGCCTTATGTCATGCCAAACTCTTCTTAATAGTTTCATCGAAATGCCAGTCTCCGCATATTTCGGGTTCTCAATCATGGATCTCGCTCACATCGGGCACTCTTGTTCCACCCTTCTCAAATTATCTCTTGTCGAAGAGCCCGGCTGGGACCTTGCACATGTTCGGCAGACGGTAAATGCAGAGTATTACTTGGATCAAATCGCTTCGAAATTCATTCAGGCTGGGAACGCAATCGACCAAACCCAAAATCGTGTCTGTAGCGAATCGTTCCCGACAGGATGCGGTCGAGCTATGATGAGGGTCAAAGCATGGTATGAGACGAGGATCTCGGTAGAGGCCGTACAGGATCCGCCTGCTCCACAGGCTGAGACGAACGTAATGGGAATGGGAGATACTCTGAGTGTTGACCAGATGATGTTAGATGATGCAGACTGGGTTGAGTTTGTCATGGGCAGCAGCAATTACTGGCCTTAGTTTAGGAAGATAGAAGGACTTCTATTATGACTTCTATTATGGGGCTTCTGGTGTAACGAAGCTTAATTCGGACTGGAGATGCGCAAACAGACTTCTCACTTCCTTTTATCGATGTACGAATGGAGATGCCAGAACTGACGAATTGAGAAATCTCAGAGCTCGATTTTGGCCTTCCTCAGCCATGGCTCACATGCCCTCCAAAGAAAACATTGAGGCTCTCAAATTTCTTCAGGCAACGATGCGCAGGACACCGGAATATCAGTGTGCAGACAGGGGATATTGGATCGGGGTGAAAGGCAAGTCGAAAGCCCGGTCACCGATCACGCCGCTTGTTCTCCCAACATGCCTACCAATGACAGTACCCGCTGCACAGGGAGGTCCTTATTGATTCGTCTTCCGATGCCTGTACAAATTTTCTGCGAATGAGAACCCTGGATTTACAAAGGGATCAAGCTTTGGACACGGAATTTCATAAGGAGAGCAGGGATATTTTGGATCTCGATCAACAGAGCTCAGCTATATATAGACTTGCTTCGCCGGAACGTCAATCTTATTAAACATCGACAAACTTTTGTCTCAATTGCCATGGCAGGTCAGCACACTTCATCCGAAAGCCAGGCTTCGTTGTCGCTGAAAGCAAAAGTTCTAACTCAACCCATTGCAGTTATGGCTTCGAGCCCAGAACTTCCAGCCTCTCCAATGTCTAGGGCAACCAACGAGACCGAGAAAGGACCAGAGAAAGCAGATTATATCACCGGTTTGAAGCTGCATATCGTTCTGTTCGGTTTGACCTTGGTCGGCTTTGTTATCATGCTTGACCAGACCATTGTAGCGACAGTACGTGGGACATTGAACCTTCAGCCCGCCTCACTAACAACTTCCAGGCCATCCCACGAATTACCAACACCTTCAATTCAATCAAAGACATCGGCTGGTATGGATCGGCATACATGCTCTCATTGTACAGGCCCCTCTCCCTCTCCCTCTCTTCTGATCTTCTAACATCTCCCAGAGCCTCCTTACAACCTCTATACGGGAAGATATATCAATACTACAGCTCCAAAGTCCACCCCCCCTTCCCCATACCCATTCAGCAAAGCTGAAAAATAATCACAGAATGTCTTCCTCGTCGCCCTCGCATTATTCGAAATCGGCTCCCTGATCTGCGCCCTCGCGAACTCGTCGGATTTGTTCATCGTCGGGCGAGCTCTTGCTGGAACTGGGGGCGCTGGCCTCCTTCTTGGTGTTCTGACGATACTGGCAGCGTCTGCTCCGCTTGATAGACGCCCAAGTAAGGCCATTCACTTCATCGTACCGCACTTCAAGAGTAAAGTCTGATCACTTGCATTAGAGTATCTCGGCATAATGATGGGCTGTGCAGCACTCGGTCTAGTATGCGGACCCATCTTTGGCGGTCTCCTCACAGAAAGAGTTACCTGGCGCTGGTGCTTTTACATGAATCTCCCCGTCGGCGGTATAACAGGAGGAATCCTCGCTTTCATGCATATACCGGATTCGAAGCAGGCGGATTCGCATCTGGCGACGAGAGAACAGAAGGGGAAGAGACTTGATATTCCTGGCTTCATTTTGTTTACGCCGACGATCATTATGCTGTTGTTGGCGCTGGAATGGGGTGGTGTTACGTATCGGTGGAATTCGTCGGTTGTTATTGGGTTGTTTTGTGGTGCTGGTGTTGCATGGATTATCTTCTTGCTTTGGGAGAGGAGGCAGGGCGAGGGTGTAAGTCCCAATCCTTTTCCTAATTCCTCTTCAACATTAGGAATATTGCCTCCAAGGGCCCAAGAGTTTCAGGAGATGAGAAGGGCCGCTAATGACGAAACATCAGGCAATGATCCCCCTCGAACTCTTCACCCACCGCATCACCATCTGCTCAGCACTAACTATGATGCTGGCCCAAGGCCCCCTCCTCCTCGTGAGCTACTACCTGCCTGTCTGGTTCCAAGTAGTGAAGAACGTCTCTCCAATCATGAGCGGCGTCTTTTACATGCCCTCAGTCGGCACTCAAATGATCAGCTCAGTTCTCACTGGAATCCTAAGTATTCTCCCTTTCCTCTCCCCTCCCTCGCCACACCAATAAAGTAGCTAACGCCGCCACAGCATCAAGACTAGGCTACTACACCCCCTTCGCCACCCTCGGCATGATAGCAATAACCCTCTCCTGCGCTCTCTTCACAACCCTCACCCCGACCTCCAGCAACGTAACCTGGATCATGTACCAAGTGATCGGCGGTCTCGGCCGCGGCATGGTATTGCAACAGCCTTTGACTGCCGTCCAAGCTGCACTGCCTCCCCCTAAAGTCCCCGTTGGCACAGCGTTCCTCATGTTCTGTCAAGTCCTGTCAGGAGCACTGTTCATCTCTTTCGGACAAACTGTTTTTTCGAACCAGCTTGGACCGGCATTGGCGAGATATGCGCCGGATGTCAATGCTGCTTTATTGTTAAAAGTCGGAGCCACTAATTTTAGGAGTGTGGTGAGTGAGGAGAGTGTAGGGAGGGTGGTGCAGGCTTATAATCTGGCGTTGACGAGGGTTTTTGTAAGTGATATGTTCTGATTCTATCGGACGAAAGGAAGTTGACTGACCGTTATGATAGTTTCTTGGTGTAGGTGCTTCGATCGGGAGTTTCTTTGCTAGTTGGGGGATGGGATGGGTTAATTTGAAGACGAAGAAGAGGGAAGATGAGGAGGCTGCGAATCGGGCGAAGACTGAGAAGGAGGAGGAGAAGGAGAAGGAGGAGGAAAAGGAGAAGGAGGAGGAGAAGGAGAAGGAGAAGGAGGAGGAGGAGGAGAAGGAGGAGAAGGAGGAGGAGGAGGAGGAGGAGAAGGAGGCGGGTGATGTGTTTGCGACCGAAAGCTAGGCCAAAAGTTGAGGGCCAGACCTGAGATGAGGGTGTCTAAATTTGATGTTTTGAAAACTTATACTGGAAGGAAATAGAATTTCATTTGTCGAATAGAAGGTCTCTTGAATGATCTCATATGTCTGCAGACTCCAGTAAAGATGTGTGCATCATGCCACACCTGAACAAACATTTCAAGTAAATTCAAGATGTCAGATGAGGGTCGAATTTCTCAAGCAATGAAAGAAACGAGAACCGAATTCAAGTTATTCAAGAAGTATGTGGCCAACATCGTATTTTGATGGTTCGGTCAGGACCAATAATATCTTTTACTTTCAAGGTGCAGGAACGCGGCTGTGTGTTTGATTGGTGCGCCTTTTCTGCCCACAGCGAGGAATCCCAAGTTTACTTCGGCAAAGGCGGTGAAGACTGGCAGAACTGCAGAGGTTTACAAAATTCGGCGTCATCTTCAACAACTTCCCCCCGACAAATAAAAAGCTATGAGAGCCCAATATGCCTCCAAAGAAGAACCCAGCAGACTTTGCTGGTTCTTCGGGGAATAAAAAACGGAAAGAGCCCCCACAATCCTCCTCCAGCAATCAGAAAGGCCCAGACAAAGGACGCGATTTTAAGCGCGTCAAGGTCAATGATGCGCGATCAATCCTGAAGCAAACTTCAGATGCAGCACTGAAGAACGGAGACTTGGACGTCCAGTCCTTCCTGAAATCGCGCGAATTCGAGATCAAAGCTCTCCAAAATGGCATTAAGAAATCAAAGGGCGGCCGAACAAGCAGGGCATTTCAGCAAGTCCCGCGCGATATGCGGAGGAGGACTGCGAGTCACAATGTCAAACGGGTTCCCAAGCGGTTACAGAAGAGAGCGGCGAAGGAGATGAAGGATGATAAAACACCAACCGTTGATCCAAGCAAAAGGAAGCCGAGAACCTCGAGAGGCAGGTTGCGAGCGGAAACAGCAAAACGTTTGGGGATGTTGGCAGCCAAGAAGAAGGCCATGAAAGGCAAGAGCGGAGACAAAGTTGCTGGTATAGAAACAAGACCAGCACGGCCCAAAATACGAAAGAACAAACTGAACGAACCTCCAAAGCCAAAGTCGAAATTCAGGAAGCGCCAGATTCATAAGACTTGGTTACCGACTCATATGTGGCATGCGAAGAGGGCGAGGATGACGGAGCCAAAGAACCCTTTATGGAGATTTTCTATCCCTTTAACGTCGACGGAGAAGTCCTATCGGCCAACGCATCGAGCCGGTGGAGCCAGAGGAGCGGTTGCTTGGGACATGAGTTACATGAGCACAATTCAATTAGAGGGCCCGACGACAAGCCTTGAGAAGCTGTTGAAAGCAATGGGCGTTACGGAGAAATGGCTCTGGGAAGAGAAAGGAACTAAGTGGAGACACGGCAAGAGAACTTGGAGTGGATGGTTGAGCAGAAATATCACCGATAAACCCGTACTCATAGGTCCCTCATCAATTTTCTGGTGCCCTACGGACCAGCAGACCGGTGATGAGCCAGCAAACAAAACCAAGAAGCCGCCCTCATTCCGAGTTTTTGTCAGAATTCATCCTTCTGCCTTCCTCGAAACATGGGCTGAAATATTTCGACTGTCAAAGCTTCAACGCCCCACGATACATATTGAAGACCTCCGATTCGAGATTGGAAGCATTGATATAACTGGACCTGGTTCTACGGAAACTTTACTAGGAATTCTGCATCCCTATAATCAATCGGAAGATAATATGGAGCCACATGCTAAGACGTTCCGATCCTTGGCTGGAGTCACAAATCCCGGCTCCTTACCTTTGAATTCATTGTTGGCATTTTCTATCATGGATCCCCGACTTCGATATCCTCCCAGACCTGTAAAGATGCCAAACACGAGCGACGAAGAAGCCAATTTTGCTCTTTTCGACATGCTGTCGGCCTGGCCCGTTGACTCCTCGACTGGCTCTCCAGCATTGTTTGATCGTGATACTCGATTTAAAGCAACGCGTCTTCCGGCACAGAAGTCATTGAACCGGCGCAAGGCATTGTCACAGCCAGGAGACTACCCTTCCATCCAGGCCACTGATTTTCCCATACCTATTATGCTTCTAACATCTCGCCCAGCGGCACCATCTGCACAAGGAACCTGGACTCTTCTTGCACCTTGGAAATGCATCTTACCAATCTGGTATGGGTTAGTCCATTACCCTCTCTTATCTGGAGGCAATCCACGATTTGGAGGATTACAAGAACTTCGTCAGATACACTTTGAGCAGGGTGTGCCGTGGTTTCCAGTGGATTTTCCTGGCACAAAGTCCGGATTTATTTGGGAAACAGAGGAGAGGGTGAAAAGGAAGAAGGAGTGGGAGAAACGACCTAAAGGCAAGCGGGTCGAATGGGACTCCCTCGATCTTGGCGAGGGCAGGAAGGGCGAAATTGGCCAAGGTTGGGCATGTGACTTTGAACGAGTACTTGGAGTTATGTCTTTACCTGATAGCGGCAAATCTGTCGACACAAGTCAGGATACACCAAAGACGCCAGAGAGCCCGCCCAAGGAAGCCCAATTACCCATTGAACATGTCCACAAGGATTTTTTCTCGTCGCTACTTTCATCCCCAAAGTTGGAACTACCCTCTCCTTCCGCAGTTGCTACTGTCCGCATTATACTGACATCTCGCGGCATTGCGTCACCATGCGCAAGAATCTATCGTTTGCCTCTATCCAAATCATCACAAGATTCTTCCATGACCAGAAGTAATGCTCAAGCGACGACCCGCGAACAGTGGCTGTCACTTCTGCCCTCGACATCCAATTCCAAGCCTCTGCCGAACCCAAACTCAAAAGCTGCCAAGAATCTTGGACGAATACCTTTAAACACCCCCCTTCCGCAACGAGTCCGTCTTCTTGCTCAGTCGCTGCTGCAGCAACCACCACTGCCTTACCCAGCGAATAAAGAAGAGGGAGATGGGAATCCACTGGTACCTGATGAAGAGGATCTCATTGGGTTTGTGACCACGGGAGAATTCAATCTCGCAGAAGGCAAAGGAGTCGCTGTCGGAACAGTTTTTTTGAGTAAAATTATAGAGGGCTTCAGAAGGGATGGTATGAAAGGGGGTAAGGATGGAAGATTGTGCATTGTGAGAAATGCTGGAGAAAAGATCGGCCGTTTGGCAAGATGGGAAGTCGTGTGAGTGTTTCTTCACCACTGTTAGATTATATCGAATCAAGATACCCTTCCTACTGATCATTTGTGTTCTCGCTATGCATGCGGTGATTGAAAGGGCTCGCTTGGTACCGTATCTACTGTTGCAGGCAACTCGGTGCCAAATTCATGTTCCGAACAACAAATACTCTCGCCGCATTCATTAATCGATCGAGCCTTATATTGAGCCTTTTTGTACCAGATATCGGCATCTAATTACGGTCCCAGCTGCTCGGTATATAAGTTCTGCTTTACCCAATTGGTGCTAGCCGCTCCAATGTCGACTGAAGCAACCCTGGGTCCTAACTGTTATGATTATTCCTATTTGGTACTAGGGGTTACGGTCTAAACTGCGAAATAAAGGGATAAGATATAGACTACCATATCGAAATGGACTGATACACTTTGTATTTCAGTCTCCTTCTGCTCCCCTCGAATTGACACTTTCGAACACACACGTTCTACTTTAAAGATAAACATCGAAAACATTGAAGCTCTACAAAGCTCTCAGCCTTCAAAGACTTTCAAGTTCCATTAGCTCCAGAACCGAAGATAGAGTCCATCTTATTCTCATCTCACACCTTTGTCCCCCGGCAATACTTCCAGTCGTCGCTCGAGCCCGCATCCAAGACATGGATCTACAGCTCTACAACCCCCTCAGCGGTACCTCATCATCAGCATCACCACCAAGCAACATATCCATCGAATCAGCCATCACCGGTACAACTCTAGCACCATTCCTCACCGAGCTGGAGTTTGACAGATTAGCTATATCACCCGAGACTGTCCAACAATTCATGGAGTTGAATCGCGAGACTTTATTAAAATTTGACTGTATCAACATCGTCGCTCCCGCCAGCTTGAGATCAAGAGTTGCTTTCGGGAATCACCTTGAGAATATCAACTTCGATTTGAGCAACCTGCCGGACGGTTCCTTCTACAAGGTAGCACCCCAAGTCGGATGGTTAATTGCTACTTCTAGCTGCGCGAGACGGCTTATTGTGAAGGATAAGTTGAACAGATCGTCGAACAGAAGGAACATCACCCCGTTCGACTTCCGTGAGATTCAAAGATGCCTTGGCTTTAGACCGAAAGCAAAAGCAATGTCTGATGGCATGTATTGGATTTGGAAACGGGATACAGTTGACAAACTTTGTTGGACTTGGTAAAAGTCTTATTTCCTTGTTCGGGAGATGTTGGAACTCCTGTGATCAAATTGACGTTGTAAATTAGAGAAACAGACTGAAATTTCCATAATGCTGAGTTCTAATAACGCATGTGATTTCTTACACTAGGAACCTACTCCTTTCGTCAATAATGGCAAAAACAAATATGGCTTAAAGTTCCTCCACCGCCTCCGAGCCGGTGTCGACCCCCCATCGCCGCTCTAATCACTAACTATCACACTACTTCAAGTGAAAATACTTTCCTTCTAGGCCAATCCAAGAAAAATCTTTTACCGGCATCCAAAGAAATCCCAGCGTCAGTTGAAACCTCTTCGCACAACTTCGCCTTTCAGCTCCACGTCTTGATCTGTCAAAGAGGATTCTGTATCCTACAAATCACTGAAGCGTCCAACCATGGAATCCTCAGTGCCGGAACACAGCTCTGGAACGCGCATGGTAGAAGAAGGTAGGATCACCAACGTCCTCCCTCTTCTTCCACTTCTCTTTCCTTCCCCCGGAGTTACGATCCATGGAAATTCTCGGCTTACTAACTGACACCAGGCTCCTCTGACGATACACCACAATCTGCGTCCGGAGGAATGAGCAACAGCAATAGAAACGGCGTCAGCGAGGAGTTCATTGACCGTGAGAAAATCCGATTTATAGCATTGTGTCGCCAAGTGCATACATTGGATTGCAACAACCGCAAAAAACCAAAGCCCAAGCCTTTCCTTCCCTGCGAATCCGAGATCGGCCGCAGGATATCCGAGTTGGAGCTGGATTGCAGCTTCCAAGAAGGTAAGACCACCAGTACCCTACTTCTCCTGCCTCCAGAAACCAGGTCTTGAAATCTGCTGGCTCACTGACTAACGTCGGCCAGATTGCACTGACGAGATACCACAATCTGCGTCTGAAGGAATAAGCAACGATAGCGAAGAAAGGATCACCCACACTCTTCTTCTCCCACCAGAAATCCGGTTCCTGACGTACCGTTATTTGTTAGAGCTAAAATGCAGCAACCACAAGGAAGTACAGCCTAACACCCTCCTTGTCTTGCCTCTAGAGCTCCGCCTCAAGATATACTCTCACCTCCTCACGCCGGCTCCCTCCGACTACGGACAGTCTTTGCTCATAGTCCTCAGCCAATCAGGGGAAATGAGCGACGATTACAGGGAAGCCGTCAAACTCAAGAAGAGAATAAATGTCTTCTACGATTCCGAAGCACTGGATGACGCTGCTATACTTACTGATCTCAATTCTATGCTCAAAATTCGTCATTTCAAGCTGTATTGGAACACTGCAGTACCGCTTGGTAAGTGTTCCTAGGACCGACGGAAGAGAGAACTTGGCTAAAGTCAAATCACAGCCTTAGCGTATATAAGGAGCATATCGCGATTGGGGGAGGAGATCCTCGACAGAAACAACTTCGAAAGTATCACCTTTCATCTCGGCGTGGGGCCGAGCCAAAGAAGTCTGGATGACATGAGACATCTCAAAACTTGGATTTGGCTCCTCATCGACGCCTCCAGCCGACTCAAAACTTTGGTTCTGAAGCTGGAACAGTTGGGTGGTACGGATCGCCCTTTTTCGGATGGGATTCCGTGGTATGCTGAACTGGTTGTGATGCTGAATCAAGGGCTGCAGGTTGAAGGAAGGAGGCTGGACGATGGATCAAATGGAGCCTCGGCGAGAGTGTGGGTATGGGAGAGGAAGGAAAGTTTTTTGTGTTTTTTGCGTTGGCAAATGTCAACGTATCTGTGGGAGTATATAACTGATAGCCAGGATCTCTCGGTTTTTGGAGGGTACGACCCTCACAGTGTTATGCAGCAGAATAGAGAATAAATTAAGCATGAAACTCCAATCCCGTTCTGAATGTTCCTTCCCAAATGTGTACATTGAAAATTGAATGTCTCAAATGTTCCATTTCCACGTGGGGCATTGAGACCTGTTGCCTTCAAATGCGCCATTTCTTAGTAGGACAATGAAAGACCTCGAATGTTCTATTTGCAGCAAGTATAATGCAAAACAACTTTTCTCAACTCGGAGACTTTCCATTCTTGGGCTTCTCACAATTGCGATGATACGATACTATAGTGCACAGCAAGGTAGAGCAAATTTATGTTCAGCAAATTGAAAAGGGCTAATATACTGGAAGGCAGCAAGGCAGTCTCGTTGAAGGCGATCTCTTGATCGACTGATCAGTGTATGTTTGAATCTGGCTGAACAACGAAAGCTCTGCGATGGGATGGTTATGATAGCCAACTTGATATGCAGATACTATCACGATCACTTGAGTGGAGCTTGCATATTTCCAAGAATACAGTTTGCAACCTGTTGATTTGTAAGGCTAAGTCCAGCTGAGGTTCTGCTAATGTTGAAATCCACGGCAAGCCAATGCAAGAGCAGTATCTTTCGCCATTATCCGTTGACAGATCCTGCGATTGTGACAGACAGACCAAGGTGATCGAAGCTGATTAGTTGCGGCTGCAGACTATCTCCGTTGTTGAGCTGGATGCAGATGCCAGCTCTTTTCAACCCACCTCCATGGCTATCGGCTCGTCTTTCCTGGGCATTTTGTCTTCTGTTGCGCGATGAGGCCTCCGCTTCTGTCTCTCTGCTCCTATTGGGAATCTCTTTTCCGAACCACAAGTATTGCATTTCAGGACCAGCACATCTGCCCACCGTTTCTTCCCACCCTTGCTGTTATTTTCGACTTGGTTTGTACAAGTGGACCCATCAATGAGCATGGTATCGCAGTTCTTGCATATTGAATGGTTCATAGTCGGTGATATTCGCATCATGACTTTCAGAGACACAGACCGTAAGTCGGAGATCATGTGCCGTGCTGCTGGTTGGAATGGAGAGTCGTCTTGTGGATTCATCGTAGATTGACTAGCCTGTGGTTCAGAGCGAACTGCAGCGGTTGTGGAATGCAGTTGCCGGGTTGCCAGGTATGCTGCGGCTTGGTAGAGATACGATACTCTACTATGCAGGGCTTTGTTTGGAACGCTGCTGGCACCTTTCGCTGCCTTCGCTTTCGCCATAGTGGCTGCTGTTGAATGTTATTGTTTGCGCCTCACCGCGGTGGAGCCTCTCGAGATTTTCGGGCGTTTGAAAAGGGAGTGTTTCCCGATTAGCCCTAGCGCGGTTTAGTAAGCGACAGCCGCGTTCAAATCCCTTGATCGCGACGACCGCCTCAACTCCCTCCTCTTCAGAGTCATAGCCTCAGCCTTGACTTCCGTCACCTTCCAATCCATCGCAAGCCATCGCCAACCTCTATTTCTTCATTCTTTTCACAGAGCATCTCGTCTCTACCACCTCCTAACTCCTCAGCTTCACACGAGACCTGCGCCGAAGTCCTCGGTCCTAGCCACTAAAGCTATCCACCAAGTCCTTCGCAACAGGTCAAACCCCGAAACAAAATGTCGGCTGAAGAAGATCTCATCGATTACTCCGATGAGGAACTCGCACCCAACGATGCTGCGCCGGCGGCTGATGCAAATGGAGGAGCAAAGAAGGGCGATCTTACGGCTTCAGGCGGCAACCCGGACAAGAAGGGCAGTTATGTTGGTATTCACTCGACCGGTTTCCGCGATTTCCTCTTGAAGCCGGAGCTTCTACGTGCCATTACCGATTGCGGTTTCGAACATCCGTCGGAGGGTCAGTCATAACTTTCATCCCCAAGCTCCATCGTTCCCGTACTTGCAGCGCGTCCGTCCATCTCGCAAGCAAGAATAAGCTCTGGCCCTTCCTTCAGCAAGTCACGATCGATCCTGGAATGTCTCTTCGGGCAAGGCGCAAACCTACGCAGTTCGTATGAGGAAAATATGCACGCGAAAGCGAGAGTGTCAAGAATGCGATATGGTTGCAGTCAAGATGCAGGTGGCGCATCAGCAGGGAATGCCGAGAGACTTCCAGGATCAAATCGATCTCGACGATCTGAAAATGATCATCGCACGCTTTGGTCGATTGCCGCCTTCAGTGGCATTGTCGTACCTCTGCTTCGATAATATATTTCATCGGGTGGATGTTGTTGTTTTGTGGATTATAACTCGCGAAGATGGACGGACGTTGCGATCTCTTGCACCTCATTATACACTTGGAAAATCATTGATCTAACATCGGCTCGATTTACTCTACAGTCCAGCAAATGGCCATTCCTCAAGCTATCCTCGGTACCGATGTCCTTTGCCAGGCTAAATCTGGTCTCGGTAAGACCGCAGTCTTCGTCCTCACCACCCTTCAACAAGTGGAGCCGGTCGCTGGCGAAACCTCTGTCCTTGTCATGTGTCACACCCGTGAACTTGCGTATCAAATCAAAAATGAATACGCTCGATTCAGCAAATATATGCCAGATGTAAAGACCTCTGTCTTCTACGGTGGAACCCCCATTGCAAAGGATGCCGAGGTTCTCAAGAACAAGGATACCCACCCACATATCATCGTCGCCACACCCGGCCGTATGAACCAGCTCGTACGAGACAAGCACTTGCGCCTTGGTAGTGTCAAGGTTTTCGTCCTTGATGAGTGCGACAAGATGTTAGATCAGATCGGTAGGGTCATGCCCTCATGTCGAGTGTCATTTTAACGCTAAAGATATCTTAGATATGCGTCGTGATGTCCAGGAAATCTTCAGGGCCACCCCTACCCAGAAGCAGGTGATGATGTTCAGCGCCACTCTTTCAATGGAGGTTCGGCCTATCTGCAAGAAGTTCATGCAAAATCCTCTTGAAATCTACGTTGATGATGATGCAAAGCTTACCCTACACGGTCTTCAACAATACTACATCAAGCTTGATGAAAAGGAGAAGAACAGGAAGTTGAATGAGCTGCTCGATGAGCTTCAGTTCAACCAAGCTATCATCTTCGTTAAGAGCACTCTCCGAGCAACCGAACTTGACAAGCTCTTGAAGGACTGCAACTTCCCGTCTGTGGCGGTCCACTCCGGTGTCAGCCAGGACGAGCGGTAAGTCATATATGCCGTGTCACATTCCTTCCAATACTGATAAAGAAACAAGTATCAAGCGCTACAAGGCCTTCAAGGACTTCCAAGAGCGCATCTGCGTCGCCACCGACGTCTTCGGCCGTGGTATCGATATCGAGCGTATCAACTTGGCAATCAACTACGATCTACCCGGTGACGCCGATTCCTACCTCCATCGTGTTGGTCGTGCCGGCCGTTTCGGAACCAAAGGTCTCTCGATCTCGTTCGTCAGCAGTGAGGCTGATCAGGAGGTGTTGAAGTCGATTGAGAAGAGATTCGAGGTTGCACTTCCGTAAGTCCAATCCCATACCGTATTCACCAAACTGTCACTCACCATCCGTATAGGGAATTCCCGGCAGAAGGCGTCGACGCAAGTTCCTACATGGCAGCATAAATCCCCACTTGCTCACTTCCTCACCTCCTTCTCGGGACTGGGGATGCAGAATCGGCATTTCCGATTTCCTTGCAATCAAATCCGTGGGCTGGTTGCGTGTTTGAGTTATTGGTCTCCTCGTCTCCTTTTTGCTTGCTTTGATGGATGAGGGATGGGTGGTGGCAAGCTCCTTTTCTTTGTATGCAAAAATGGGAGATGGATGATCAGCAATCCGGGGAGCGAGACGGTGGGGGGAGAAGGAGAATTAGAAAAGTTATGAGACCGCAATCAATGGAACGCCTCTTTTGTGAACGCATCTTGCAGATTGATTGAAGTGACTGAAGTGACTCCTTGCCTGTTTTACCTATTGCATGGTCTGATCTGATCTGATTTGATCTGATGTGCAAGGCGTTGAGCGTCTGAACTTCATTGTTGTAGCCACCCTATACGACATGACACTCCTCGCCAGTGCGGGACTTGAAGAGCGCTTCTTCCTCCTTGACCGCAGCAACTTGAACACCACGCAAGGGCCGCCTGGAGGTAAATATTTGACGTAGGTCCCAAGCCATCCTTCACATTTTAGATGTGTAGGTTGGTAGAACCTCTTCGGACCAGCTTGGCCCGAGTTGACGCAAGTCGACCTGCTCTATGCACAGCAGTAGGTGGTAGGTAGACGAAAGAGAAAGGAGGAAGGGGTCCTTCCCCGTGGCAATAACGTCAATGGAAAGTCAGCCCGACGCTGCTCTCCAGTGATTCCCCGGCTGTTCCATGAGGTAGGTTGATCAGGGAGGGACTGGAATGAGATGAGAGTCGATATCGAACGCTCTGGGTGTATACGCCAAGGGGTATTGGTTTTGGTGTTTGAGATGTGAAAAGAGAGGGAGGAAATGCAGAGTCGTCTCGTCGCTTCGTCGAGTTCCCTCTCATGTCAACACTAGATGGAACGTAACAGATGCCAGAGACTTCAACGAAACAGTGGAAGCCGGAGGAAAAGCTCCTATCCATCTTCAAGTGAAGGCCCCACTCGCAGCAGCTTGGTTGGAGAGACGAAGGCGGTTGTTATGCCTCCCCATGTTTCTTACTTTTCCCTATACTTAGCCGGAGTCAACAGCCCGAGATGAGCCCCTCCTCCTTGCGGCTATGGTATCCTATCAGGCCGCACCGCGGGGGTGAGAAGCGAAGCAGGTTGAGGGTGGGTCGACGGCTAGACGGCAACGGCGCGACTAGAGTCGCCATCCAAGCCCTATGTTTGATCGTTTCAATTCAAGTCCTAAGACCCAGTATCATCTGTGCTCCGAAAATAGAAGAGGCGAGAGAGTTACCGTACCGTAACACTGTAACGTCAAGCAAGGATTTGGGAGTAGTGAGGCTCGACGGAGCATCCAAGGACTATGTCTGATCTGACCGTTTGACTGATCGGAGACTAAACAACTTCCGAAAATAAAGGGGCAGCTGCGAGAGAGAGATGAAGCATCAGTTTCCAGAAGAAGCAGAGACATGGAAACCTATCAGATGCACTTGCGGTCCAGAAAACGGAAACTAGACGGAGCGCTGCAGTGTTCTCCCTTCTTTAGCTTGAAGCAGTGGACGCGGAGGGCAACCCGGAGGCAAAGAGTCGCCACTGTGGAATGGGCAATGGGGGTTTTTGCTTTCCCATGGAGGGAGGTGAGGTGGATCGGAAGGGGGAGGAGCCGTGAATCCGTGATGAGGCAGCGGATCAGATAGTAAGGAGGATTGGATTGGGCGGAGAGAGTGGTAGCACGGTGCGGTCGGAGTGTGTGCTTGCTGCATGCGTGGCGATCAGAACATAGATTGCAAACTACGATTGCATGTTGTTGAGTTCGTATGCTGAAGTGTGGACGCGGGTTCGGGTTCCGTGGTTGGCTCAAGGAGAGGTCTGGTACAGGAATACGGGAGCTCAGGAACGGTAGGGTAGAAGCGGTGTGACAGGGCGCTGGATGCGCTGGCGATACCCGAGATTGTTTGTGGCAAGTGATGCTGCAGGGGAGCCCGATGTAGAAATGTGTTTGGCGTATTCAAGTGGTAAATGAAGATGGTAGGCTCGGAGATTTTTGTTGTTCGTGTGAGCGGGATGTGGGGGATAGGGTTGATCAAGCCCGTATCTGGAGAAGATCTCAGGAGGCTGTGTTGGTGGCACAAGATATGAAGACGAGTTGAAACAATTGGGGGATGCAGGTAAGACAAGAGGATTATTATTGAAAATGATATTGCGGAGTCCGGAGCAATACCCCTAAGTGCAGCGCTTATCTTATATCTTCTGTGCGGTCTGTGAGAGTTTCTGACCTTTGACAGAGCCTTCTGAGGACTGGTCATGGAATTAAGGTTCGTTTTGTGACGAGACAAGAGGCGGCTACTTCTCAGCCTGCCGGCCGTGATGGTATTTCCTCCTTTTTCCTTTGTTCCAGTGAACGGGAACTACCCAGCTAGCTGAGGCTGTGCTAGGAAAACATCCTGCCCGACTCGAACTTGGAAAAGGGGGAACGCTTTGCCACGCAAGAGGTGTGGCGATCCGTATTCGATACAACTTCGAATATTGAATGTCGTTGAAGCTAAGAATAGTGGAAAAGAGAGGGATTACTCTTCCCACTGGTCAATTCAACTCACTGTCGGTCATTTATATTCGATCGTCATGCTTTTTCGCCTCTTCAGTTGGTTTTCGTAGATCATTGAGGTTGAAGCCCCTGTAAGCCTTGGCGAAGTGACGAACTTGGAAGCATGGATTTCTTTTTTCAGCGCATGGGAATTGTTCAAATGCTGCATGCGTGACATGTCGCTAAGACGCTTATGGACGGTGATTTCTGTCTGATAGGATGCCCGTGTGAAATGAGCTAGCTGGCCCCTTAGGCTGATATGGCATGCTGGGGTTGACGGCATCTTCGGTAATTGCTCGCAAGAAAAAAAAGGGGCATTTAATAGAGAGGGTATCCTAGATACCTGGTTGAAAAGGTCCTTGTAAACAATGTAAAGGAGCAGGTCACAATCGAACCTATCTGTAGAGATCAGGTACTCCCGACTTGAATCGTTATAAGAGCACGGTCCCTGTCCTCGACAGTAGTAGTATTTGGAGCACCCCACCTGCCCCTTTGAAGCCGTGCCTCATGTTGACGTTTTTCATCTCGCTGGCCAACAAAAGTCGGTGCTCGGCGTCAACAGCAGTTGGTTCCTGTTTGATTCCCTGGAGACACCCGGGCTGGGGATGAGGAAGAGAGCAAGTGCAAAAGAAAAGTGCCGGAAATAGCTTGAAGTAGATTAGCTTCAGCATGTGGGATGAACGCCGTCGTCCAACATTTCCTCCATGTTTTCCAGAAACCATCACCGCCAAGCGGCGCATAAACTGAGGATCATCCACTTTTTATTTGAATCTTCGTCTCAAACTTTTCATGATCGCGTCAAGCTTATATTTCAAGCGTGCGGCTCGGTCTTCATTATTCTATAAAGTCGGCCCCTGAAACTCTCGCACTGATGTCTTGATACTTTGATCGAACGCATCTGTGCGAGGTGAGAGTTTGTTCGCCGTCGTCCCATGTTGCGCTACTTGCACTCGTGGCTTTGCGGGCTTGGACGCGACCAACGCCGTGCACAGGGGAATGGGTTTCGCGTTGCGGCCCCTCGCACGATCCGCAGCAGGGGCCAGCAGAACCAGAGACAACGTCATACATGCTTTTTTTCTTCAGAGAGCCCAGCGGTGAGAAATGTAGTTGTGCCCCTCGTGTCGCCGGATTCAACCGATTCAAAAACTGCGCTTGGTCATGCTCTGCCCTGCTGAGTGGAGCCGGTGCAGCGTGCGATATATTCTCCGATGGCATGGTAACAATAGGGGCTTCGGCTTTACGTGCTTATCGAGAAATCGTTATCTGAAAAGACCGGTTTGGCTCGCAGAAAGTCGCGTCCCCTTAACCCCGGAAACTTAGCCAAACATCCATAAGAGGACGCTTGTGAAGTTGCTTTGAAAGCGCCCCATCCCTTTCTCTGCATCTCGCACGGTCGAATTGCATCTGCGGGCATTGCGGCGTGTACCAGTGGCTATCCCATGGAGAAACCCCTACAAATTTCTAAGACAAACAGCGTCATCGACTTCAGAGCATGGGGGGAGGCCATAAATATCTGCGAAAGTTACTGCCGTCGACCAGAGAAGTTATCGCGCTGCAAACAGTTGAATAATGGATGAAAATAATTGTTCGAAAAGGGGGTGGCGGGGGGTGGCGGCGGTGATTTTGAGATCCAGGTTTTCTCAACGGCGTCGAACTTGCCCAACGACCTTGGTATAGAACCACGCTTGCGGACACTCACGAGAAAAAGACCAAACTTAGTCTGAAGCTTGTGAAAAACGAGGAAAGTTTTATGCGCGGAACGGCGGAACACGTGGTTTTCCGTCCATCAAGGACTCTGGCATACAAACTCCCCTGAGGCGGGTAGACGTCTCCACCGCCTATCAGGATGTGAGGGTAGCGAGTACGCGATTGTACGCCTGCCGTATTTCACGAGGGCAGCAGTGTGGAGCCATATGCAAAGAAGGGTGGGGAGCTCGGAAGAGCAGGACTTCCGAGAAGTGTGACGTTGAGACTCGAGAGAAACTATGGCTCATGGGGGAGAGCAGGTCGAGGAGTTGAACTTGGGGGCAGATGTTGAAGCTCCCCTGTCGTCGCAATCTTGTAAATCTTGCACAGCCTGTGCCCTTCCCTGCAGCGCTCGATCATCCCTATCAAATCCCCACTCTGCGCCCTGTGCCCTGCAGGCGAAAACGCACGACGAACGCCATCTACGATACCCCTTTAAAAATATCATGAACTGGCCCACTGGGGTTTCTCCAGAGTTCTAGGCACCAGCGGTCAGAAACCAAGCTTTTGTGGGGAGACATTTGGAGTCAGCACATACAGAAGGGGATACGAGAACTCTGCAGCTGCTACGTGTCCCAGAACTCCACGTATGTACATCTCGGAGCTCGAAGGGTGCTGAGTTTTGGAGCGAGACAATCGATGCATACTGTGGCTGTTGAATCGAGGTATCCTTTGTGCCAACGTATGGGCCTGCAAGCCCGTAAAGCTTCTTTCAGCTTGAGTAACCTTTACGCTTGACCCGTGCAATGATTCGATGGCTGCCCCGCGATTGCAGCAGCTCTGCTAGTTCTGCTTGCTTGATCGTATTGTCTGTCCTAGGTGCTGACTGCAACCTACTGTGCGAAACCTCCAACCGGATGTGCTAGACGTGAGGGATTGTGGGTGTTGCATGATTCTTCCATCCGGTTTCTCGACACAGGCCCTTGGCATCAACTGAATTGCAATTTGTCTGCACGCACGCACGAACAGTTATTGCAGTGCAGAAGAGAGGTGTCTGATTCTGGTCCATCCGCTCCCGGCCTCCCGAGTCCTCGTTGCCCGTCCTCGGCGCAGCGAGGCAAGATAAATCCCCTGTTGGCCAGTTTCCTTGGAAATTGGAAGTTGAAGCATCTCTGCCCGGCTCAAAGGGGGAAAGCGCGACTCGCCCGCAGAGGCCGACCTCTCAACCTCCTCGCCCGGGAATCTGGGGGCACCGAAGGCCACGCCACGCCAAGCCAGCCACCATCGAATCCCAACACTGCACCAGGAACGCAGGTGTACACAAGCGCACAACGCAGCACAGCACTGCCCTGCACTGCAGAACCGTCAACAACAGACTGCTGCTGCAAGCCTTCCTCTCGCAACGCTACTCGACAGCGTATGAATCCGCTGCCTGCGATATCGACTCGCGGCACTTCTCGTCCGCCTCGACACACATCGGCCTCGTCCTCACAACAACCAGTCAGGTCAACACAGTCTGGCTCTTGAATCGCCTCCTCTGCCCTCCCAATCTCCATGCGGCCCCCGTCCCGACTCCGAATGCCCCGAACGAACAGCCAGGGATTTCAAAGGTCGAAGATCCTGTTGCTGCTAAAGTAATATTGCCCACTGCCCTCAGCCAATCCTATACCTCCCTCCGCAAAGCTGCCAATCTGGTCGTTGTACGCGAGGATCTTGGGCCTTAACACCTTAAACCATTCGCTCCGTGTCAACGCCTTCTTCTCACACGCCCGTCCTCCAGCCAAAAAGCCATCAAACACGCTCTTTTGCAAATCACACAAACGCACGCACATCCGCAGCACAGAGATCGACCTTCACTGGCGGCGTCACGCTCGTTATAGCAAATTCTAGGATTCCCCTTCTAATTGCATCAGCCCTCGTTTGGTGCCGAGACAGGAGGCAGGGCCTAGCAGAAGCAACGCCCATTCACGACACTTTTGGGCGACGAACTGGAGGCGACTCGGCCACGGCCACCTCCCAGACGGCAGCGGCACGAGCGAGCGAGACTTTCAGCTGCAACCCTCAAATTTTGATCACCAAAGGTTACCCCTTTGGTCCAAGATCAAGATGGCGCCGTCACCTCCACGGCTGCGGATTCTTTCAGGTTGGTTTCCCTCGCACCATTACACTCTCTGAACAAAATACTCCACATTTCTTCCAAGACTTCACAAAAGCTTCAACATTCCTTCCGCGCCAGTCTCTCGTTTTTGCTTTTGTGCGCCGATGCATCAATTGCACCTTGGGAATGGACTTACTGAATGTCTGTGTAGTCGGCGGCAATGCTGTGTCCGCGTTCTTATCATGGCGACTGCAAGCCACAAACGCTTGCGACGTGACTTTGGTGTGGAAGTCTGGATTTGATGCCGTCTTTCAATATGGAATATCCTTCAAGTAAGTCTCGAAATGATGAGTCTTCATCAAACCGCAGGCAGGCAATTCTAATTCTCGCAGATCGACGTCCTTTGGCAATGAGCGGTTCAAACCTCGACATGGTACGTTTTGGATAAGAGAATCAATCGACTGCATTATACTAATATATCTTAACAGTTGTTCGAGCACCTGAGGAAGCAGCAAGTTCGAAAGAAGGCGCGTTCGACTACGTTCTACTCTGTGTGAAAGCCCTTCCCGATGTCTACGACCTTGCAGCCGTCATCGAATCTGTCGTTACACCACAACATACATGCATACTGGTCAACACCACACACACATTGGGTGTTGAGACACATCTAGAGTCGAGGTTTCCGAGCAACGTTGTCCTTTCCCTCGTCTCCGGCGCCGAAATCACACAATTAGGAGCAAGCGAGTTTGAACATAAAGGCTCAACAGAAATATGGGTAGGCCCGGCGAACAAGAATCCTGCGATGCCCAGCACAATACAAGGGGACATGGCAGATGCCCTCGCCATGACTTTGAGCAGTGGGCAAGTAGACTGCCATGTTTCTACCAATATTCGACAGCAGCAATATGAGCGGATGATCGGGTAAGCAGCAACATTACGAATCTTAATACAGGTAGCTAACTACAATTCCAGTCCGATTGCATTTCACCCATTGAGCATCATTTTCGACACACCATCACACGCTGCTCTTCTCGAAAAAGTTGGAGTCAAGGCTTTGATATCAGATGTTTTTGACGAGCTGCTCACCCTCGCAAAAGCTCAAGAATGTAGCTTTCCCGCTGATTTCAAGCAAAAGACGATGGCAGAAATGGTTCGACCCACAGAAGCGAATAGCATCATGTACCAGGATTTCGCAGCGAAACGGCCAATGGAAGTGGAAACATATCTTGGGTCGCCAATCAAGCTTGCACAAAGCGTCGGTGTTCGTGTTCCCCGAATCGAGACCCTGTACGCCATCCTCCACAATCTCAATATCCTCAATCAGCAAAGAAAAGATATTCCTGTGGCATCTCCTGGAGGAATGACCCCACCAGTAAGGTTATCTTCTGTGCCTCCTCCCAGAGCAATGATGAACGGTGCACTGAATGGCGTTGGACCGGGACCTGGAAGAGGGCGGGGAAGAGCACCTTCGATGAATGGGCCACCGCCAGGTATGCGAAGAGGTCCACCCCCTATGAATGGTGGTCCACCTCCCAACGGCTATGGACGGCCAGTTACCGGCAATGGTTATCCGCCAAGAAATCAATCCAGACGGGGCTCGTTAGAAGGCAACGATCTTGAGGAATTCAGCCATCTTGTGTTATACGATGACATTCCGGAGTCTGGGGAATCCAATTATGGAGATGGTTCTGATCTTGCACTACGAGAACGTGAGCTTATGCTAAGGCAGCGAGAACTTGCTCTACGCGAGCAGGAACTGCGCATGAGAGCTGGAGGCCGTGGCCCTCGCAGAGGTCCCCCAACACCATCTGTTCGGAATGGAGGCTTCGACGACGATGACGACGATGGATTTTTCGATCCTGCAGACGCTCCCGCTCCGCCACTAATTGACCCCGACAATTTCGACATGATGAGTGTGACTTCTCGGCGAAATCGAAAAGCTCCAAGCGCAAGCCAATTACGCAAGAATCCTGAATATGGCGACTCGTCTCAAGGACGAAGAGGAAATGGATATATGAGACCAGGGTTTCCCCGGAATCGGTCAAGCGCGAGATTAATAAGTCAGACGTCGGGGCTGCATGATAATATAATGGATGATCCGATGATGGGGTATTCTTCAAATCGATATGGAACCGTGGACAGGGGACAAATGCACGCTGAGTCGAGGACGAACTCATTGACGGCCGCCCGCCTCGACGAATTGCAATACGGCGGACCGGGCGGACCACCAAATGGGCAAGCACCTGGGTACGGTCGAAGGGCGAGCCAGTCGCCTGGCAACCCATACAGCCCGCAGATGGGGAGAGGAAACGGGAGACCATCACCACCAAATGGCCCGAATGGCTACATGGGACCACCGACAAATGGGAGACCTTCACCTCCTGGAGGCATGCGGCAACCTGTCCCACGCCATCCACCAGGTCAAGGCAATGCAGTTGCGCCGCAACAAGTTGAGCAATATGCTGGGGTGAGCGCCCTTCATCCACCCAAAGGTCCCATGAACGTTCGAAGTCTGACGGGTAGTGCGAGCGCTAGCGCGGGGAGTGGTGACAGCGCCAACATCGACTCCGAGCCATCGGCGCATAGCAGCCAGAGCAGTCTTGGGCCTCGACCACCAATCGGCGTACGGTGATACAAAGGGAGTTAGATGGGAAGGGATTGCTCGATATTGGTCATGTCCAGGGCGCGCATCATTTTCATTTGTGGAGATGCTTGCGGACATCAAGCCTCCAATTCACACCTAATATTGTCCACTACGACGGTCCTTTTCTCCATTCACGGCCTCTTTCGACTTCAAATTTGCATATACACTTCAGCTTTCTCTACCTTGCTTTAATGGGCTTTGAATGGAGAGGGCAAGAATACACGACGAGCATCCACGAGATGAATACCACTCAAGGAACAGTAATGACAAATATCGGGCAATAGACATTGGAGGGCTTGGTTTACACAACAAAAACCTGGCTATGGTCACCTGTCAGGGATGACGAAGTACATAAGCATGGTGCGCCACAACGCACACATTCTTGTTCTGTTCTGCTTTTCTTTACTGGTAATATTGCATCGGGGATCGGCGTCTTTGATGTCCCGCATATAATTTCTACTTTTGCTACCTTTCGAGTACGGCATTCAAAGGGTGGAGTTTCGAGTGTTGAAGCGGTTTTCCTGATCAGTTGGCGGATCTGGTCTTCAGTACACGGCGGATGAGGGCTGGGTCTGCTGGCTAGCGGAAGGGGAACTGCTCAGCGCTTGTGTATCAATCATAGGGAGACGGGAATGAGAAGACGAGTCCGTAGGTTGGATGGAGGATGACTTGGCGGGTCTCTTGTGGAGTTAGAGTAGGTTGTATAGAGACCTGAGATACTGCCAGGGGATGGTTAGGCCCCAGCGTAGGCAGGCGGTCATTTTCAGCAACAAATATGAAGAGTTCCCATTGGACTTTCCTGCTTGAATTGCTTCTGCTTCAACTGCTTTCATATGTGCTTTTGATCCCTGCATTTATCTCGCAGCCCACCGCATCTGATGGCTTTTAATCACTAACATGTCTCACTTTCCAACAGGCTACAGCCCATCTCACCTAAAACAGCTTGATGATTGCGTCTTAACGTCAGTGTGCTTGCTGGCGTGAGCCCGAAGGTGCGCAAAATTGAATATCTAGAAGCCGAAGAGCCTTCTAGTATGGGCGCCTAAGGACCAAATCCTCAATAGCAGTCGGAAATCGTTTTTGAGTTCTACTCTAAGTCCGAAAGATTCTTTTATCTCCCATCTCGTGCTCGCTCTCTCTGCTTTCCTTACATACATGTTTTATTATATTAGCCTATTTTATCCCTTAGCCTCGCTCCCCCCCTATTTCTTCGTGCTCCCTCTTTAGTGTAATGGATTCTCGAGATATAGAAATTACTAGAGGAGAGGGAGGTACGAGGAGTTTAAGAGTTAAATGAATACAAGAGCGAGCTAGGAGAAGCTGGGATAATCAAGGAAGATTGAGGGAGAGGGTGGGAAATGGAGTGATGTAGTGGAGCGGGCACGAGTGGGATGTCCGGGAAGACACTATTACAGCTACTCGCGCTTCTCCCCCTTTCTAGTCCCTTGCCCTAGTCTATCCCCTTTTGTCATTTCTGTCCCTTTCCTCCACTCACGCGTGTGTGCGTACGTATGTGCGAGTTCGAGGGACAGGAAGAGTAAGATAAATAGCGATGGCACGAGAGGTAGGAAATACAGGAGAGGAGGTGATGAAAGAGAGGGCAGTAGAGGTAACCAGGAAAGGGACTTCTACCAAAATTAATTCCCACTAAAACGAATATTAATCTCCGACAAGTAGACTATTTAACAGTCTATTTCCTCCATTAAAGGGTTGGTCCTTGTATGGAGCCGTGCTGGTGAGTTCGAACTAGATGGTGGGGGCATCCTTTCTTGTTAAGCTTCGGCTTTGGTTTCGGGTTGTGAGTTTGTTCCCGGATTGACAGCCAGGTTACCCGAATTCACTCCCGGCTTCAGTCCCGACTACACTTTGCAGAACATCTCAAGGTGATGGTTGACAGCCGGGTTACCCGGATTCACTCCCGGATTCACTCCTAGCTTCAGTCCCGACTACACTTTGCAGAAATGTCTCAAAGCGACGGTTGACAGCCGGGTTACCCGCATCTAATTCTGCCTCTGTCCTGACTACACTTTGCAGAATATATCTCAAAGCGACGGTTGACAGCAGGGTTACTCGCATCCACTCCCACTTTAGTCCCGACTACACTTCGCAGAAATACCTCCAAGCCGTTGGTTTGGGAGGGAACGCGCAGTTTGCGCAGAACAAACCATACCAGACGAAAATCCTTCCTCCGAGCCTAGGCGCTAATTCTCCAAGCATACAACATCAGTCAACCCGGCTTCCTGCCTTCTTGGACAACCTCAACATCCGACTTGCACAGAGTTCCACGCCATCCACGTCAGAACCAAACTTCAATTAGGATTCCATCAACGGCAACAATGGACCCACATCCTGTTTCCGAATTGACAACCAGCATGTCTGAGCAGCCTCAGCCTTCAATTGAGTTCAGCGACTTCCCTCCAGAGATCCGCCTCGAAATCTACCCACACGCCCTGGCGATGGGATGGGGCGCCAGCGCACCGAATCTCTTGGTAGCCCTTGCAAAGGAGCCCGATCTCTTCAAGGAGGCTAAAGAAGTGTACCTGAAAATCAATGCCAAAATCCATGATAGGAATCGAGTCGCTTACAGTTCAATCCATCTCAAGACAAAAGAAGGCTCGAAGCTGAAACACTTGTTGCTCAGCTGCACGAGCGCACCGTACGTACCTCTCCTCGTCGAATTAGGGAAGGCTTTGCTGCCCACCTCAGATGGAGAAAAACCACCTACTAACTTGAGTTTCTCCTCCAGGAACCAACGCTGCTCCCACACCCTCACCGGCTCCCTCCTCAAACTCAGGAACAACTTGAGTACCATCTCATTGGATATGACCGCCTGCCCCAGATTTCAACACAATACTGAAACGGGCTTGGGGTCAACGGGTGAGCTGAGCAGGATCGCTGAGCTAGACAATGCCTCCAGCTGCCTCACGCGAGTTGCTATTCGAATGCACTCTGTCGAGAAGATGCTGAGGCCAGGCTACACGGATACACAGAAGGAAACGTTCCGGGAGATCAGACGCGCGTTCATTGAGTATGCTAACAAACGTTTCGGTGTTAAGGGACGGTTGGAGCAGATTCCGGACGAGGCGCAGTGTCCTGACAGTTGGTTCTGGGAGGCGATGGACAATAAAGGAGGACGGTTGAAGATCACACCTAATTGACCTTGATTGGCTACAGAGGAAGCATCTGACACCGTTGCTTTAACGCGTGGTAAGATGAAGGGATCCCCTCTGGTAAATGGACTGTTCTTGGTGGTTCTGGAACGTTGGCGGATGCTGAACTATGAGTGGGCATTTCACAGGATTCTTGCAGTTGCTATTAATCCGTTTGTGAAGTATCAATCCTGCGGTTAGTGCTGAGTCTTAGCGTTGTGGGAAGAAAAGGGGCTTCGGTTCTCAGCCAATGAGCGTCGAGGACGGACGAGCTCCCGCCTTTCCACCTGAGTAGACTCAAAGGACTATTGGCCATCGGGTCACAGAATACTTCTTGCACAATTAAAAAGTTGTCCCCAACAAGTGTAGGCCATCAAAATATTGCAGTGAACTTAATTCCAACTCAAAGCGTGCTGAAGCGTTGACTTGCTTTATAAAATACCGTACCATTAAATCATCTCTAGGCTGTCTTCCACTTTGGCTCAGCCTTCTCTTGTCACTCAACACCTCGCCCTCCTTAGCATCCCAAAACCAAAGCTCAGCTCCATCTGAACCAGCTCTCGGGTTCAAACTTTGCCACAACTCGGTCAACTTCAAAGGCAGCTGGTAAATCGTCCAACAGCCATTGTAACTTTGTCACCATGCACTCCTTCGGGACCTGTGCATTGATGAGCAGCGCATATTCTAATCCCAGGCCTACGAAACTTAGGCAGCCCTCGTATCATCTTGAGGATTTGGATGGCAAGAGGTGGGACGTGGAGTTTGAAGTCGATGATAATGCTTGAAACGTTGATTTTTACGCCGGGTCTTTGAGCCAAGCTGAAGAAGTGGACGCGTGTATCATCTGAGCTTACAGCAAGGCGGATGATTAGCTAGTATGAAAGTACGAAAGCCACACTGAGATGAGTCGACTTGCACAAGATCTCCGCACGTGATGTGTAAGTGCTCTATCCTTTCTATCTCCTCTTTGGCTTATTGAGAAAGCCAACTTCAGTCTGCATGGTTATATGGGCATTTATTTTCAGGCACTCTGTCAGCGCTTCCAGAGACAATGTTTCACCACGTTGGTATTCGTAGTGCAACTGGCCTTGACCTTCGTTGACGAGATCGTAGATCCGTAAGCGGAGCTCTGGAGGAAGTAGATAGAATAAGTTAGCAGGTGGAGATGATGAGGATTTGCCTGATTCTGAAGAGGTCATTGTGTCGATTTCCTCTGAAACCAACTCGAAAAGCTCCGAATTGCTGGGTTCTTCAGACATGATGGCTGGAGGAAAGGCGGTCAAGTGAACCAAGGATTGGGGAGTGTCCAAAAATATATAGATCCCAGGAGCGTATGGAGAATAGTCAACGGATAATGATCTGGAGAATGAAATTTTTTGTAAGAACTGGAGAACCGTCAACATTCAACAGTCAAGCACTAGATGGAACATGCTGTTTAACGGATGAGTACGGAGAATAGTCACTGGTTGCCAGATATTGAGGGCCGGCAACACCGAGTTTGCGCTGATGGTGCGACATATTCCGAAATGATTCCCACAAGCATATCTTTACTCTGGACATCAATCAATGGAACTTAACTTGAGGTCCAGGCGTTTGCTCAACGGGGTATCAATTTTGTAGTTATACACTCTAACCATCCTCATCCTCTATTTCTTCCACCATCGCTGCTCGTGGCCCACGCTGCGCTGGGTATGCCTCATCACCTTCATCAGCCTCAACATTTCCGCTCTTCTTGGATGCTCCCATATATCCCGCTTTCTCTAAATTGTCCATTTCCTCTGGTTCCACTAAGCCTCCCACGCCCTTCGACTTGTCTAGCTTAGCTCTCACAGCAGCAGGTACAAAGCTCACAGCCTCTTTCCTCAAATCCCTAATCACCGGCTTCGCCTCATAAACGGTCTGCGCCTCCACCTTCGGCGCCGCAGCCTTCTCTGGTGCCCCATCCGCATAACCCACCCTCCTCTCATTATCACCCAGAGGCATCATATTCGCATTCGTGCCCCTCCCAGCATTATCCCGCGCCATCCTCTCCCTTCTCTTCTGATACCACTTATCCAGCACCTCCTTCGGAATCGGTGGTGGCGTATCCCTAGGCATCGGTATCCACTTCACGTCTTCCGGCACGTCCTCCCCGCTACTACTCTCATCATCCCTCCTCCTCTTCCCTAAAACCCCACCACCTCTCCCTTCTCTGCCCCCTCTATTCCCGCCATCTCTCCTCTCCCCAGAACCAAATTTAGGTGCAGCATCCCCTAACGATTCTCTCGCCTTACGAACGGCTTTCAGATCTCGCTCTAACCCTTCGAGGACTGTTTTCTCGTGCGAGGTAAGAGTGCCGCCGCTGGTCTGTATAGCTTTTAGTTCGTCGAGTTGCTTCTGAAGACGGTCTGGGTTTCGACGTGCGAGCTTTTCGTTGCGTCGTGATGCGGCTTCGGCTTTTCCTACAAGAAATATGTTAATGGGTGATGCAAACATAGGAGCTTGAAACGTACCCTTCTTGATCGCCTTTGCTTTCTCGGCTTTGCGCTGGGCTTGCGCAGGATTGATTGACTTTTCTTTGGGCATTGTGAGGCGTTTGGGAAATTCTTGGGAGTTGGTGGTGGTGTTGAGGTTGGAGAAATGTTCAGAGGACCTGATGGCAGGTGGTTCTGCCGCTCTTCACCGCCTCTGCTGCGATCAACCAGCCTCTCGTCAGGTCGAAACCTCCGTTCATCAAAGTATCTATCTGAACTGTGTCGAAGTTGACCATGTTTCGGTCGGAGCGAAACCCAGACGTTACTTTGGATCACAGAGGCTAGGATCAAAAGTTGTTCTATTCTCGATTTCCCTGTCGAACTACGAGTACCCATGGGACGCTTCAAATCCATCTGCCAGATCGCGACTTTTGCTCTGAGGTCGTTTTACATTTTCCCGTTTCGGGAGGAGAGTCCTCAGCAGCAGCATCGACAATGGAAAACTCCATGAAGCCCCAGGTTCTAGTGATTCTTTAGGATACTAGCGTTTATGGCAGGCTTTCACATATCATCTGATGTCTCTAGATTTCCCATGCGTTAGCACATACCGAGGTCCAGTCATGACCTTGCCAAGAGCTTGTTTTCGCTTCATTCAAAGGGCTGGCTGCATCACTATGGCTATACCAACGCGGACAAGTGTACGTGCAATGCAAGCAATCGCAGAGGATTGGAGTCCAACTTTGGCCATGATAATTGGATAATTGCATGCATGCGAGGAAGATGCCGTGAAGGGATGCATCCACCACCTTTGGCCCCCAGCACGGAACGCTCTCGATGCGCTGTAAATGTGCGGCTCCGCCGATGCATACCCTTGACCCTTTTGTTAATTCATCCAATAGGCTTCCCACTATTCATGCGAGCTCCTTCTGACGTTCTCAATTGGGATCGAGCTGAAAGATGTGCAGATTGGCTTCTTGACAAGCTGCAGCCTCGTCGTCGACTCTGAAAATAGAGAGGCGCCGCCCCCAGCGCGACAAAAGGATGGCTGCCCTTTTCTCGTATTGCCCTGTTTCTTTCCTTCTATTCATTTTTTTTGCTCTGTCTTGTTACAATTGATTGCGAGATGGCGCCCAGCAGATCTAATCGACCACGAGCAGCGAGCTCCTTCGGATATGTACCACATACGCACAAGAGGGATCAGGATGTCCACATCGATATGCAGTACGCCAAACACAGCGTCCATGATCCTCTACAATTTGCGAACGAGCCATGGAACCATTGTGAAAACCACACGAATTGCTACCTTGGACTGAGATTCGATAGACGTGATGAATTCAAAGAGGAATTGAAAAAGATGGACGATGAATTTAAGAGACAGCTCCAAGTTGCGGAGGACAAGGGACCAGACGATAACGACGTTGATGAATTCCAACACATGTTGAAGGAAATGCGGGAGTCGAATAAGGGGAAGAAATTGGAGCGGGTGATACACGAAGAGAAACGAATCAAGCAGACTCGAGTCAACTTTGCCTCCTATCCCGGAAAGCGGCAGATGATGGAGCGTCTAAAGGCGGCGAAGAAGGCCTGGAAAGAAGAGGTGAAAGAAAAGCGGGAAGAATATGTGAAGAGGGTCAAGAAACAACACCAGGCCGGTCAACACCCCAAGTATCCCGAGAGATGGAATCGCGATCAGAAACTGGATCTCGAACTGCTTGAGCGTGTCAAAGACTGGAACGTGGAAGACGAACCGGAGGACGATACTATCAAGCCGAAGCCCGAGAATGAATATGGATTCAAAGCGTGCGCAATCTATTTCAAGAAGTCGGATGATGGATGGCAACCGGATACACATAACCATCCGAAATTCAAAGATGGAAAGTTTCCGAACCAAAAGATATCAGTTCATGACTTGATACAGCCTTCGTCGGGCGCCTACATGAATCCGTTGAGCGAACCTTGCGGTGAGGATCGGTTGCGGTACTTTCATTTTCCTTCGAACAATATGCGCTGGATTGAGGTGGGTACTTACTCGTTAGGTCCAGCAAAACACCTAGCCGGAGAACTGACATTGTGGTGCCAGGAAGCAATGGCACGATACTACGACGAGGATTCTGGCAACCATAGCGATACTCAGGTGCATAGCAAGAAATCGTCAAAAGCGGAGAAACTCCTGTCGAGAGAGTATTGGCGAGGCCAGTTACATGGTGGCGCTGGAGTTACGGGAAATAGCATCGCTGGTCCGGTGCATGCTAGGCATATGAGGTCCAGGTGTTCTCTCATTCCCCTAGGTATGTGAAGCCCATTGTCTGTACGAACTCTATGCCAAGAACCGGAGGACAATGTCCCACGCAAGTTGAGATATTTGGACCAATCACTTCGGACTTCCATGGACACTTCCACTTATAATCGTGTTCTTTAGACGAACATCGACTGACTTGAGACTTATAGCCACTTCATCCGGCGCCTGGACACAACGAGGGCGCACTCCCAAAGCTGCCTCTTCCCCCAGTAATCCCCTGGCACAGCCTCCCAGGGTCAAGGCCAAGAATTTTGCCATATTTGCAAGTCTAGGTTGATGCTCAATCACGTAACACACAGCTGATTCGTGTCTAGCTCCCGTATCTCCACTGGGAGACAAACAGTCGCAGAGCTAAAATGGCTCAAGTCATCAAGGAAGTCACGAAAGAGCTCCAAGCGAAAAAGGCCCAAGAAGAGCGGAGATTGACTACTATCCCACGCGAAGAGACGCAAGAAAAGCCAGAAAGAGGATGTCTACTTTGGAGGAAAGACCGGAAGGCCGAGGAGAAACTCAAGAAAGAGATAGAGGCGGACGGTAAAGGCGACCAAACTGGGACTGAGAAGAAGGGTATGTTTGATGTGGTGACGAAATGGAAAAGTGCAAAGAACGGAAAGAGCTTGATAAGGAAGAAGTATGTATCATAGCCTGCTCCAGGTGCTTTTTGCTTGACTGACGATATAACAGGAGATGCAAGCTCGGAAGATACTTGTTGGCACTCGCTCAAGTGGCCGACGCCATGGACTACGAAGCGGATGAAAGGTTGTTACGAGAAAACCTCCATCATAACCCTCCGCTGCACATTCGAAGAACTCTGGATCAATCGTACTTCCTGACCCTCGAAGACACATCCGTTCGCGACAAGGATCAAGTCGTTTACAGGGAGACAAGAGAAGGTCGGAGTTTCCACACACGCAATACCAGGGTCGTGATGGTAGATCAACTGTGGCTCTGGATACTCGACGGCAACACAATCATCACTTCCTTTCCTCGGCGCTGGGGAAGAAACAAGCCTGATCCTTCTGGGGTGCACAAATCGCTTCGTGAACGATTGGAAAGCACTCCCGAGGAAGAAATCCAATCAGTGTACGACCTGGCTTTGGTCATCATTGATCAGTGCTCCCGCGTCTTCTTCGATCGCACTAAGCCTCTGGATCAAAGACCAGAAGTCATGGATCTCTTTGCCTCGGCAATTGGCAGCGTGACTGAACACACAACCATCGCGTATGAGTCTTTCTGGCGCAACATGGAGATCCGGAGTATGAAAATCGCCCAAAATGGAACTAACGGCTCTGCGAAGCACTCTTACCTGGACATCAATCCCGAAGGGACACTGTTGCGCGAGTCCCAAGACGTGGCTGAGGAATTGCAGATCATGCTGAAAATTTACAATCAACAACTGCATGTCGTTCGCGACTTCCGAAAAATCCTCGGCCACATGAACGGAGAGTCTAAAAACGAGACTGACGAAGTTCGAACCCTGATCAAGCTCCTACGGCAGAATCCAAGTCTGGCAGGAGACCGATCTAAGCCGGCCTTGCATCAAGAAGTTGCTCTGCCTGTTCCTGAAAGTACAATTCAGGAGGCAAACGATTTACTCGAACTGATTCGCAACCGCAAAGCAGAGATCCAAGACCTGGAGGAAGCTGCTCTCCAAAGAACACAGCAGCTCCAAGGCTTACTTTTACTGAAGCAGCAACAGGCGAGTATCATCGAAGCGAAAGCCGCACTCGCGAGAGCAGACGAAAGTGTCAAACAAGGACGTGCCATAATGGCCTTTACCATCGTGACCATCTTCTTCCTTCCACTTGGATTCACCGCCGCCTTCTTCGGCATGAACAACGAGCAAATCAACCAAGCATCCTGGATGACCCTGAACCAACAAATGAAATGGATGTTCAGCGTCTCCACCGCTGTAATCGTCGTATCAATCTCCATCGCCTTCTCTCCCTGGACACGCGCCACCCTTACCGCATTTGTCAAAATCCCTATCATATTCGTTCTAGAATATACGGGTTTAAGAGCGCTTTGGAAATATTATATAGTGGGACATGGGTATTTTGAAGAGAAGAATAGGGAGAGGATAGACTGGATTCATGGACATAGGAAGAGAAAGGAAGGGAGGGAGGCTGCCGCTAAAAAGAAAGCTATGGAAGAGGATAAGGATGAGAGAGCTACACACAAGTTAGTGGCTATGTTTTTGCACGGAGAGAAGGAGCCGAAGGAGCCGAAGGCAAAGCAGGTAAGTTGGAAGAGGCCGAGTCTTAAAGTCGTTAATGTTGGGGACATGATTGGCAGCAGGGCTTTGAAAGAGGAGGGGGAGGATATTGAGAAGGGACATGGGACGATTATGGAGGATGAAGGATGAGTTTGGCGAATGATACCCCTTTATTTGATACGCAAATGATACGCATGCCGCCATTTCCAGGTCTTTCTTTCATCGTTTCTAAACTTTTAATTGTATTGTTGTTGCGATCGCATTGTTTGGTCAGTGTTGGAAATTTGCAGCCTTGGACAGCCTAGGGGTGAAGGGGTGGATTCTGTCAAGGCGTTGCGAGAGCTGATCAACAACTTCAATGCAGCAATTCGAGACATCCGAGTGACGGACAATCTCGCATCGAGTCACCAGGAGATACAGCTCTTTGAAAAACAATTTCAACCAGAATTTGGGATGCGAAGTTCAGCAGATTGATGCTTGACATGCTGTCTTCAGTAGTGAGTGAGAACAAAGCGTCCTCCACAGAGCATACACACAGCGATTTGAAAGGCTCTACCGTCTCGGGTCGAAACCCTCTTTGTAGTCAATGAAGCAGTCTGCCCGGTCATAATCAATCATGTCAAACCATGCATGCCTCCCGTCGCATTCCACGCCCTTTCATTGAGCTACTACATATTGGTTGGGAAATCGATCAAAATCATGCAACTTCAGGAAAATTCATCCCGAGCCACATTGAACCTCCCACCTCTCAACGAGCTCTGCAAGCAAGACCCATTTATCTCTCCTGTGGGAATGCGCCACACATACTATTACCCTCCACCTCCTCAGTTGAACACACCATACCTCGACGTCCCACGATCTGCACAAAATGACTTCCCGCCACTCACATCAATCTCTTCAACACTTCCGAGCTTAGATGGACCTCCTCTACCTGAAGATCGTCCTCAGTGTGCTCAATGCAAGGGTCAGAAGTACGGGTTCACGGCTTACTTCCACAATACAAAGATCTTCCCCGAGCCACCACATGAGCTCCTCCCTTGGGTTGAACGATCCTACCTCCTGAAGAACCGCTTACAGAGCTTGCTGGTCACCTACATCGTCCACGAATTCGATCCCACTTACCTCCACGACATCGAGATTGTGATCAACAGCTTCCGCTTGCAAGTTGAAGCACTCGCTCATGAGGTTGGCAGCTGGGGAAGTGGGTCTGAACGCGTGGTCAGTGCTGTCACCGAGGTTCATCAGTGGAGCAAGGGCATGGTGAAGCAGCTGTGGGATCATGTTGTTGGTATTCAGAGGTTGCCGATGCCGAAGGGCAGAGCGAAGGAGTTGGTGCTTGAATTTAGGAAGGGTTGGGAGCGGGTTTGGATCGAGGGCGCGGAGCACCGGCGACAGTTTATGATGTCCCATGGCTATTTGTCCGGCTTCTCTTGCTAGATTGATGTTAGGGATTAGAAGAAGGAAACCTGTCGAGCACTGCATCATGCCAGCCGAATTTACTCAATTCTTGGTGTGGGCACATCATTTGATTTGTTGGAATGCCCTCTCTCATTTCATGACCTTTTCGTTTTCTTTAAACTCTACTCTCTTCTTTCTCGCAGTTCTATTTTAATCCCGTCCTAATTTACTTCATCTCATGTATGGCGCACAGAACAGTCTCACACTAACTTATTTCACTGAGTTCCAACATCCACTCCACACCCATTAGTTCCTGCTGGCCGCCTCCCACCTCTCGTCCCACTTCTGTAGCCAATCTCTCATGCCCTTTCTACCACTTTGGATTCCAAGAGACAGCCTCTCGATGCTCGATCTTTTCTGCAGGTACTTCTCACAGTTCGAGGGAGTGATAGGGACTCGGCTCAAGTTCCCTTTAGTCAGCTTGGCTGGCTGTTGAGGAGGGGGCTCCCTTGAAGTTGAAACAAGATCCGGAGGACTTCAACATTGTCAGTTTTTTGGAAGTTCTTAGCGCTACCAATGGATACGCTAGAAATGGGTCGTGGACAGACTTTTCAGGATTGCCGCTTGGAATGGACATGATGCTCCGCCCGGCGAGGCCTGAAGGTGTCTTCACGAAGATAGATACTCCAGGCTCGTGACTTTCAGATTGATGAAATACAAAGGAGGCTCTTAGGAAATGGTCTATGGCCGTAGAGTGTTGAATCTCCAGGTTTCGAGCCTTTCAATCGTCGCTCCAAGTGCTTGCGCAAATATGGGAGCCAATATCGATATTATACAACGGAAGAATCATCAACCCATGGCCACGTCTGTCCCCCGGTCCTGCAGCGAAGGTCGTAAGACTCAGTGAGTGCGGGAGATTCAGGAACCATTCTGCTTGGAGGATCAAGGTTGGTAATCATTCTCCAAAGATTCGATATGACCATGTGCCTATGAGGCCTAGACTTTCCAGCCGTTTCTTGTTTCAGATCCGGAAGTGCTGCGGAGTCCTGTAGGGCAGCTGCGGGCAGTCACTTTAGTGAGGTTGCTTTCCTTGGATCCCCAGGCGGAGCTGGAGATGGGATAAACATAATCATGCCGTACTCTGATATTGACCTACCTGAGGTTGTGCCAATTTTTTCGAACACGTTCGGGGCGCCGGAAGGCGGTTGCGTGCAGCAGATGATGCCAGGGACTTGGAAGGTAGTGGAGCACCTACCAATCAGCAACAACACATCAGCCTTGATCCAATCAGACTAGTCGAACCATAGATTTAATGCTCCTATTTGGTTGTAGATCCGCAAAAGATGCGACATGCAGGATAGTTTCTACAAAGAGTAAGGCCACAATCTGGCGAAAGCCTTCATTTTAAGGGCGATGTACAAGCCACGCGAAAATTCGCCCTGAGCCATCAGACAAACAACTCCAGTTGCATTGAACGTTATGAGAGTCGATATAGAGAACAGCCAATGAGCAGGATACAAGCCATGAAAGCCGATGTTTGATACTTCCAGGACTTCCTTCGGCCCGAACGCAGATCCTGAAGTGCTTGCCGAAGACTGTGGATGCACCACAGTTGCAGATCAGACAAACACTCCTCAGGAATTCGAGTACCAGATCCGAGTTCCACAAGAGGCCCAAGGTAAGACTTCCACACCTCAACCGCCCTATTGCCAGGCCCTTTCTGTACCCCTCTGACGCGATGATAATGATTTACGGTCATATATCTCCCATCTCTGGTTGTATGTGGTCGAGCGCATCGGCAACTGCAATTCAAAGCCAATTGAAATGGATACCTGACCAAGATGTAAGCTAGATTACACGGGAGAAATACAGTCGCTAAGCACGTGGATGGTCTACTCTTGTAAGCTTAATCCAGCTACAGGCGATTGTTCGGCGGATCTGGCGGAAAGAGAGGGTGTGCCTCGTGCCTGACACTGACTCCGAGTTCGACGACAGTGCCTAACGTAACACCAATCAATATTTTCCTGTCTCACCCGAGACTCTGGTAGCAGCTTGCAGAGTTTGGATGCTGTTAATGGTGGAGTGAAGAATCCCAGGAAGGAGAATAACGCTGCAAAATTGTGGAAAAGATGTCCAGGATGTTTCTTGAGAAACCAAGTCTTCCTCAAACTGAACTGGACCGTTTTAAATCTACGCTTCCCTCTTAATGGCCAGAACTATAATTACTAATCAGTAGTAGGTCGTTGATGAAATCGTCATATACAGTGACCGAGAATAGGGGGTTCGCTTACTTCGTTAGCAAGAGGAACTGGTGGTCGCTGCCCAAAGTGGGGCTCAACAATCACCGGCCATGGATCCCAATCGCATGGCGGTTACTCGAAACCTGACTTTCTCTCGAATACCTCTTCCCCGGTTCTCGGTATGCTAGCTGTGACGGACTTTGCCGGTGACCACGTCAACAATATGGGCTACTGCATTTAAAATTATCGGGAATGAGAGGAAGTCAGTCCATATCTGATAGAAACTCCATGATTATCCTCACCGAGCACGGCTTCTTGAGACCCGACACTGGAAGTCGGGTTAAGAACTGACTGGTTAGGAATGCGGGGGCATGCAGATTTGGGTAATACACACCTGAGCTTTCTGCCGGCACCTGCTTTTACCAAACTTTGAAACGGGCATTCCATGCAACCCTTCCATCTGAAAGCAAAGGATCGGATCCCCACACCTAGAATATATTTTCTTGTATCCTCTTTTGTTTGAAAAGGTCCGAATCACCAGAGCCTGGCATGCCATGGTGCCACCCCCACACCTCGCAGGCTGCAGATGGTCACAGGAACAAACACTCCCACGTATTTTCCACGAAGCGTACTGCATCGGAGACTGCAAGTAAGATACCGAGTTACTCAAGCATTGACCCCGAATCGTCAAATCATGGTTCGCCTGGCGATCAGCTGAAGCATTTTATTCTATGTAAGAGAAAATCAAGTGACACGGCAGTACCAGCAGCCAACGATCATGTACAGTGCGCGAATGGGGATTAGTAATACAGAAATCCTCCCTCGATCTTCACAGAAGAGAAAATTACCCGAATCTGGTGTGCCGGACATGCTGAATACCTCCGATGCATACTCAAGGCTTGACGAAGCTCTTGATACATCACAAATGTTGAGCTGCCAAATGTTCGAAAGCCACGGGGGACTGCGCTAAGCTTGGTGGCACATGGGGACACAACACAGTACTCTGACTGTCAAGACAATGAAGACTACAGCAGTTACTTCTTCGAGCAAATCAATTGCAAGCCCAGAGCAAAGTGTCTCAAATTCTGAGTGAAGAGGAGTTCTCCTGCTTGTATCACGTGATGAAAACATCAAGAGCCCAAAATCGGACATATCCTATTCATAGATTTGAAGGCCGAGAAAGCTGTATTGCATTATGAGACTCGAAGAGCTGCTTATCTCTCATAATTGCTCTCACTTGAGATCTCAAGAAGTGTATCACATAGGTTTCGGTTATATAAATTTCGCTAGTTCCACGGCTCACTCAAAACACTCCAGGAATTCAACCCTTTAACAAGTCTGAAATCCGTCTCACTTGAGTCTTAGGCCATAGCCAATGCAGATTAGCGATAGTGCTTATGATCATTTAATCACGAATGCAGTCAGTATGGTATTGAAAGCCTTTGAAGTCCTGTGGGCGACCTTAAACGAGTAAGCGAAACTTGGCCGATTGCCCCGGCAGCGATGGCAATATCAAGAAGATCATATGCCTAAAGCTCCGAAACGACATATATATATCCTTATCTATACCTCCTCATCCCCCATCTAAACCTTGTGAAACACACCCCCAAGATAATCAAAAGCCCCCAACGGGACCCCAAGATGTCTAAGAATACAATATGCCGTCGTCAAATGGAAATGGAAATTCGGAATCGCATACTCTGACAAATACGTCTGCCCGCTCTCAAATCTAAAGTTCCCCACCTTCGCAATCTCCATTATAATTGGTTCGGAAGCGATCTTTGCAAGGTCGAGGGTAGAAGGAGAGATGGATTCGAGGCGGGAGATGGTGGTTTTGATGCGGTCTTGCAGTTCAGCGAAGGTGGTTTCGTTGTCTTCGAGGATGGTGTTGGGTTGTTGGAGGACGCGGACGCAATACCATTTTACGGTGTTGGAGAGGGATTGGATTTGGTAAGGGAGACTAGTGGGATGTTAGCTTTGCTGGTGGAAAGAGGGATAGAGGTGGTGTGGAGAGGAAACGTGGAGGAGGGGCTTACGGCCTCATGTCATCTCGCAAGCGGAACGTTAGTATGTCTTCGTGCTTCATTCCTTTCTCGTCGGCGTAAGTGGCGGCTTTGTCGAGCATTTTGGAGGCGTTGTTGAGGTACTTAATCATCACGGGGATGGATTGGTCGTACAGAGAAGACATTTTGAAAGTGAGTGGATTGGCGGAGAGTGAGATAGAACTTCTTGTTGGTTGTAGATAAACTGTCCTCTGGAACTGGAGAGAGCTGCGCTGTAGTGTCGTGCTGAGAATGTTTTTCTGTGGGCCAAACTTTAACCTCTGCTGTAAAAGGCGACAGATGGAGAACATGAAAGTTGCTTCAAAGGCAGTATAACGAGTCGAGCTTTATTTTTTGGGTGAGAGATTTCCTTATATATCTCATGTATGACATGATTTTGATACTAAGCTCTCAGTCAAGTTGTGTTGATTTGTCAACCTTCGCCTGTTAGCGCAGTAAGCTCCCATCTTAGCCTCCGCTCATGCATGAGGCACCCGCCTTTGCATCAGGATTAAGGACGTGCTGAATGGCGAATAAGAATGCTTTGTTCGGAAATAATGTAAGCCCTTGCGTCGATCTTCCATAAGGTTTAGTGGTCCTGTGAGAGTGGAGGGGAACTTCCCCGTGGCTCCCACCCGGAAGACCAAATGAAGAATCCCCGCCCAGAAAACAAGTAGAGAAATTGTTGAACTTTGCTGGCATTGTTTTAACGTAATTGGGTATTATTTGGGTATCCTTTTCCTCCAGACGCCAGACATGCATGGAGAAGAGAAATAATGCGAATCAGAAGACAAACATTCCCCAAAAACGCCTGACATGTACCCGGAATCCCCGCCCCATAATAACTCCTTTTTGATGCATACATCTCAATCACATCTCCTCCTCTTCGGACCTCTTATCCCTTCCATGTCCCCCATCCCACCCATATCGTCCCTCGTAAACGGCTCCCCTTCAAACCCGACAAAATGCCCTTTGTCCCTCCGATGACTCCTCAAATTATCGCTTCTCGTGAACACGCTCTTGCAACCTGGGTATCCGCATCTATGGACCTTCAGCTCCGTGGGATGTTGTGTCCTTTTGTGGCGTCGGAGGTTAGATGCTTTCCAGCGCTCTTCGCCCGAGGGCGTATAGCCACAATGGCAGCGGTATTTATTCGATGAGGAATCGGGGGATGATGGATGGAGGGTTGGCTGCGGAGGCGAAGCTGACACTTGAGCAGGGAGCTGTTGTTGGAAGGAAGGCGTAGATTGTTGATGTATGGAATCGAAATTTTGGATAAATGGTGCTTGATCATTGACATGGACTGTTGCCGAGGCGATTTGAATCGTGAAATTGTCCATATGGCCCAATGTCTGGTCTGCATCGTTTTTAAATGCGTTTATACAGGCCTCAATATCCTCGGACCTTGCGTCGAAATCTAGGTCTAAGAGGTCCTCCATGTCGTCATGTTCGTGGTTGTGCTGGCCTCCATGATCACAATCATCCTCTTCGTGCTCGTCGATGAAATCCTCCTCTGGTAGATATTGCTTGACAAGATAAATATCTTGGACGTGATACTGGGCTCTGGACTTCAGGGTTCCGGCTTCCTCCCGGTAGAGAGAGTCGCAGAGGTGCGTCACATGCTTGAGAAATGTTGCGAAGGCTTGAGCTGGTTGTGAAGCAAGCTATTAAACGTTAGTTTAAGTAAATAAAGTGAAGTTGGACGAAATCTTACCTTGCCTACACAAATCAATTCCAGCTCCAGCTGGCGAGTGCTCGTAATCTTCCCTTCTTGCAGTCGCCTCCCAATCGTCACAACATTTCTGTCAAACGCTTCGAGGGATTGAGTCTTGATCAACTCGTCGATAACTCGCGTCTTGCATCTGCTTTGAAACAGTTCTTGCTCAAAATCAAAGCTTCCATGTGGCAAACTTGGGACACGTTCTGCCACACCGAAGCTTTCAAACACTGTAAATCTGTCAGCTCTGAAACCCGACCTATCATCGTCCAACATACCATCCAAGAAGTGTTTGCAAGCAGTGAGAAGCATGTTCTCCATATCTGATGACTGAGACGCCTTATGAGGCATGTCTTCAGCGAAGATATCCAGCGGTTGCCAAATAGAACGAGCTATCTCATGATACATTTGACGCGACCTCTCTGATGTCAGCGCCTCGGCCCATGATAGCGAATCATTGAACCACTGCTGATCTTGAACGTTGGCTTGATTACAATCGACTGTGATCGCAAAGGCGTATGCAACATGGGTCAAGGAGAATATCTGGACCACTGAAGTTGGTTTCCGCCCTTCAAGAGCTCCGACCAATGCGTCCAACCCAATGGATGCCATCGAAGTCCTGGACTGTGCCATCAACTCCGTGACCATTGGGCTACTTGGCAACTGCTTTAGTGAGGACCTGGTATGCTGAATATGAGTTCCCAAGATCCCAGAAAAATATTGGACGAGACTCTGTCCGTCAGACCAATTCGCTGATTTCAGCACAGGCTTCTCAGATCCTGTAAATCCGCTGCCGGAGCTGATACTCCTTGAAATCTCTTGGGGCATCTGGGGCACGCTTGCTAACACTGGCATTAAGGCCAATTCTTGAGGCCTCGAGGATGCAATGTTGTTCATCCAATCATTGGAGATAGTCCCAAAAGGCCGAGATTGTTTCTTTCCGGCCAGACGTTGTAAAGAATTTGGATCTGCAAATCTCGTGGCTGTGGTACTCCAAGCAGACATTGTTGTTGCAGTCGAATATCCCGAGTCTGTAAAGAAAGAGTTTCCACTCGCCTCACTGTCTGTCGGCGAGACTTCGAACGTATTATAATCAAGCCCTCCCGATGCACTCAAAGGGGAGATGGTTGTATCTGAAAGGGCAGCCTCCCAGGAATGAGACGACAATTTCTGTGGAGACATTTCCACATGATTTTCGGGGGTGAGATGACTGTTCAGATGGGTGAAGGAGGTGTCAATACGGGCCAGCTTTGGAGAAGCATTCATACGTTTGGTTGTCGTTGAGGGAATGTCCCATTCTTCTAAGGATGATGCATAGAAGTTGTCTGCCCAATCCTCCGATCCAACTCCTAATTCTATCGGACATTCCGTACCTTGCATTTCCAAGATTGAGGTATCTGGAAGTTCGTGCGAAGCTGCCGTCCAGTCGCCCGGTAATTCTCGACAGACTGACGTGTTTGGAAGCTCTTGGGGATACTGATGATTCCAATCTAGAGCTTGATCTTCGTCGTACGAGTGAGACATGCCCTCGAAGCTGGAAGGATCATAGGGATATGATGTCGCTGAGTCTTCGGCAATCTTTGATAGAGGCTTTTGTGGTTCGGGTTCGGGGGCCACAAATTCAGTATGGTGAGGCTTCGCTCCGAGCCGTGAGAAGATCTTCTTTGCCACAGAGGCCATGCGATCCGTTCGCGATGGTAGCCCTTGACATCTCTTGCACTGAAACTTTCCCACTCGCTCCGGCTTCTGACAGTGGAAGCACCAATAAAGACCCTTCGATAGATGTTGACAATTCCAGACGTGTTGAAGCATCTCCTCCTGGTCTTTAAAGACGGTCCGGCACCAGAGCAAAGGGCAAGTGCGTCGTTCATCTTCAGTGATCCACTCGTCGGTGTACTTGCGGGTAAAGGCGACCCAAGCAAGGAATCTCAGGTGCGATGACTTGTGCTTTGGGAAGTTGCGAATGCTGTAAGCTGGATTAATATGCGACAGGCCTGATTGGTGGTGGGGCAATCTTACACGCAAGAATCATGAACAGCAAAGTCGGATGCGCCAACTTCCAGCGAAGATCTGGCTGAAACAAATGTATCGGCTCGGGATTGTCGATTGAATTCGTTTTGCTGGATTCTTGTGACAGTGATTTCTTCGTCCCCCTTCGAGAACGAGCATTGGCTCCGACTGCGCTTTCTCAGGAATGACATGATGGGGGGTCCTTGGGTGTCGAGTCACGATGTCTCTGGTAGGTTGCCACGACTTGAGATGGTTAGATAAAGGTGTGAGGAGAAACTTCTCATTGCCACATGCAGCGATATAAGTCCTCTGAGTAATTGCATAATCCCGAGTTCAGACCAGCAGGCAGGACTTTTCAGGACTCATAGTAAGGCAGCCTTGTGCACGTGAAATGGTTGGCGATCGTATGAGCCATGTCCTCACCGACGTGAGCTATAGGACCCACGTTGCGCGGAGTCGATTTATTGGTCAATATCCAGCAGAACAGGCCTTAAATCGAGTTTCCGCCTATGGCTTCGTTCAATTCCTCGGGGATGTGCGACGGTGCTGCATCGGCAGCGGTTTTTGGTGGGTGCCTTGCGCTCGCCTCATTGAAAAACCCTAGTCCACCTGAACAAGCTGAAGAAGGCTGATGATGGCGTAGGGCAGACTCGCAGGCTGACTGACAGCTGGAGCCCCCAACAGCGGATTTCTTCCACCATGACGTACAACATTGCGGTGAAAATGCCTCCGACCTGAGAAGTCATAGTGCGCAAGTCTGTAGACCTCGGTATCGATCGTGCAAGCGTGCACTCCGACTCCAAAGTCCTGCCGCAGGAAAAGAAGGACTCGCTCATTGTTGACAGAACTCGTATCTGGAGTACACTGGCACTTGATGAATAATGTTGCAACTGACAAAGTAAAGTTCGAACGGCCGATGCAGTCAGTCCTTGAAGGACTGGGGAGGGAAGTCAATTGGATGCAACGCTGCGGAAGGACTTCCATCAGCAAAGTGCAATGGTCCAACTCCAAATCAGATGGGGAGCAGAGGGTGTTATTATACCCACCGAGGCGATGGAATCTAATCTCTATATTTAGAGCTCTCAAACCGCCTTCGTTTCTAAATTTGTCCCCACTGAAGCCATCTTAAAATGGTGTCGATGCGCGGTCCGATCGAAGTATGCTTGTTCACCTAGATCTAGACGCGCACCTGTCGCAGGCACCCAGTGGATCAGAGACATGGAGATTCAGGACTTTGTTGGAGGACGCTAAAGGACTCTGCAGGACTCGGTGTCAATGCCTAGCCAATGGTCCACCCTGAGCAACGCGTGGGCGAGGCTGTCCTCTGTACGGAGGGTAAGCGGGTGGATTGTTCAATCGCACATCAATGGTACTTCGCGATGGCCGAAGATCTCGTTTCACGTGCTGAGAAAGTGTGAAAGAAGGGGTTGGTGGAAGCTGGCAATTGAGTTGAGTTGATCAAGACGGAAGAGTATTGGAGGAAATGGCAACAGCGATGCTTATGTCAGTATATACCACGTGACATATAAGTTGAGAATGGACTTCGGTTTGCTCTATTCAGCAGACCTCTCATTCTGTGCGAGGGAAAACATGCATTGCAAGTTTCTTTGCATTATACATCTTCCTCAGTAGTTAAGAGTACATTTTCAAGGTACGTTTTTCGACTTAAAATTTCGACAAGCCATCACGCGTTCAACACCAGCCGAGGAGGTTTCCAACCATCTCAAAAGTATTGAGGGACTTAGCCTCCGGACACCACTTGTCTCGTCCACATCACAAGTTTTCAACTATCTCTCATTTATCCGCCACAGCTCGACCTGTCTTGCTCCCCTGTTCAACGTTCTTCCCACCCCTTGCATCCTCCTCGGCGGGGGACTCTGCCACACTTGTCCTCAAGTCCAATCCACCTTGAGGACCCGAATAAGCTGGAGGTGGCTCTCGCTCTAAACTTCTCTTGATCAACATAACTGCTGTTATTCCAGGCTACAAGCCTAGCTTTTTTTGCGCGCTCAAAACATGTAGCACCGGCGCTACGACAATGCCAGGAAACATTCTATTCCTGAGCATATTGTCAATCCTGGCTATCGGACAATTGTACCTGGGGACAAGATGCCAGACGGGTCTGGTCTGCATCTCGATGCTTCTCGGACTCAGCAGTGAAGTGCTAGGATATATCGCTCAAGTGCTCCTGAATGGGGATCCATTTGTGCGAAACTATTTCCTGTGGTACTTGTTCTGCCTTACTCTCGGCCCGCTGCTCATGGCGGCTGTCATATATCTGTGTTTTGGGAGAAGTTTGGTTGTGCATGGAGAGAGAATCAATCGAATTCGAGCGAAAACGCATACCTTGATCTTTATGGGCTGCGATATCCTCAGTCTTGTGATTCAGGCGGGAGGAGGAATAGCGGCTTCCTACCCGCTGACAAATAAATACATAGTGCGTGAAAATCCTTCAACTGAAGACCGTAAGCTGACACAGTGCGAGATCGATATGGGCACGCACAACCTCGTTGCGGGTCTGTCCCTCCAGGTTGCGAGTCTCTTCGCGTTTTCTTGCTGCAGCCTCGAGTTCCTTTACCGGGTGCATAGCCAAAAGATACTTGTGAGCCCCAGGTTCGCAGGTCTGTACAATAGCAGCCAATTTAAATAGTTTCTGATCTATAAGGATACTTGTCCACTTTCCTAGACGCTTCTGACCAAGCTATAGCACTCGGTATAGAGACGGCCCGCCTCATCGTCCGAACCGTCTTCCGTTCCGTCGAACTCAGCGGTGGTTTCAGGGGCCATTTGGCAAACAGCGAAGTACAATTCATGGTTCTAGACGGAGTGGTGGTTATTATTACATGCACTTGCTTGACAATTTTCCATCCAGGGATTGAGTTTGGAGATCCATGGGCTGAAGCGAAATTCCCGTTCGGGCAGGCAGTGGTTGAGAGTGATCTCGAGGTTGTTGTGGAAGATGCGGGTAGAGAGAAGTTAGGGTCAACTGGGAAAGAGGGGACTGTAATGGAATTGAGAGAGTCAAGTTGAGGTGAGAAGTTGAGATCGTGGCCCCTGGGAACCAACCAACATTTATGAATCACTTTCCTCATTCGTCGGATTAGAAGCCAATAGAGTAATGGTAAATATGAGTACTCAACTGCAAGGAAATTGAAGAAAACCCAAAGCACATGACATTGGTTTACAACATTTTTGACATCCACTTGGAGTATCTGCTCTTGCCCCCAAATTTACCTGGCCCATGAGTTCCATGTACACTAGCATGGTAAAAGGCTTTCTGAAAGGACGAGAAGACGAATTGTCTCATTGCCTCGACCACTCTCCTTGCTTCCTTGCCTCCTTGCCAAGCATCGAGCTGTGCTATTCGAACTGCTTGAGACCAAGATGTCTTGTCCTTCAAATTTTGGATGACAATGTATGCGTGTATATTCTTTCCCATTGCGTGGCACTGGCCGACACTCGGGGTTCCGAGGCAAATGGCAGGAACTCGGAGCCGACCATGTCTTGGTATTCGAATGTCTTCGTGAACTTGCAGGAGAGGATATTTGTTGAAGTCGATAAAGCATTTGAAACTGCATGTGAAGTGGCCCGTCATACCCCTGTCCAGATATCGGCCTTCGTTTCACAAACCCCGATGGACCTCGGCATTTCCTCGACCTCTAAATAGCCAGGATGTTTTGCCTGCCTTCAAAGTTCAACAAAAAGGCATGAAACGCGTCGCTCTTTTAACCACTCTTCTCCCTCGTCGACATTTCCAAAATCGAGCACGCTCAATCACACTTCTCACCTTCCAGCAACGTTACCCTCTCACGAACAGGCATTCATTTACGTCAACAGCCATGGCAGACCATCCCACCCTAGTCAAACCACCACCCATCGATCCCTTGAAATCCTCGATAGAAAACGTTCTAGAACTCACAGAACTATCCGCCATTGCACCTGTAGGCAACCATTTCTACCCTCGACCAATTTTGCCCTTTGCCAATGCCCATGAACTAATCTCCTTCTCTCAGGACCTCTACACCAACACCAGACCTCTCTGGCACCCTCCAGGAGCACGCGGTATCTACGGCGGCGCCGTAATTGCACAATGTCTCGCCGCCGCCCAGCGTACCGTCCCCTCGAACTTCACAGTGCACAGTATGCATTGCTACTTCGTGCTAGCGGGAGACTCTGAGATTCCGGTCATGTACTACGTCGAGCACGTCCGAGAAGGAAAATCTTTCGCAACTCGCACAGTCCAAGCTCGACAAAGGGGGAAATGCATATTCACAACCACCATGTCGTTTGTGAGGGAGAAGAGCGGAGGCAAAAAGACAATCAACCATGCAGTACCGTTACCTGAAGGATTGGATAAACCCTGTGCGCCGAACGGGGAGGAAGAGGGCGGAAGCCCTTTTATTAGCCATCGAATTGAGATTTTGAATAAGGATAGTAAGAATCCGCATGAAAAGCGGACGAGGCAATGGATTAAGGCTCGTGGGAGGATCTCTGAGGCTGGCGGACACCAGGCGCATTTGAGTGCGCTGGCTTATATGTCGGATTCTTATTTCATCGGCACGATTTCGAGGATACATGATTTATGGAGGTTTGGGGCGCCAAACAGTAATAAGACGGAAGGGAAAGAGTCGGCGCCCAATGAGGATATGGCGCAGAGAGAGGCTTATGTAAAAAAGTTAAAGGAATTTGAGGGCTTCGGTCACGATTTGGAGAATACGGCTGGGAGACCGGAGATTGGAATGATGGTTTCACTGGATCATACGATATATTTTCACGAGCCGAGAGGGTTTAGAGCTGACGAGTGGATGTTCACTGAGATGTCGAGTCCATGGTCTGGTGATGGCAGAGGTGTGGTTATGCAGCATATGTTTGCTGCGGACGGGACGTTGATTGCAACTTGCTTTCAAGAGGTTCGTATATCACTCCAATCTTGTCCGGATGATACTGACGCAATGCTAGGGAGTTGTGAGACTCAAAGAAGAGCGTGTTCCGAAGACGTCGAAATTATAATTTCGGGTTTCCCACAATATTACGTTCAGAGGTGTGCTGCAATCACAAATTTTTGTACAAATTATATACCTACACTTTAGATTCCGAAGTCAAGCGTCACAATGGAGCCATCCGTCACTTGCCACTTGAAGACCCAGTCCTCATCTAGTTCACATCTGTGTATCTGGAAAGAAAAGGCGTGCCTTATTCGTGCTATTAGTGGCCACATTCTCAATTGCCTTCTACTTCTCGCTTGTTCCATAACAGTGCAACGACGTCCATTGGAGACGACATACGTCTAGTCAATGGAATTTCTATCATGCAGGCTGCTACAAGTATCATGAGACCCAAATCTAATTTGGAACCACGCCCAAAAGCCTATTCGCACAATCACTAACATAGCTCGCAGTTGCTCCCAAACCATCACTCAAATCAGTCTTATTTACCGACCCAGAATTATATGCCCTCAAAGCCTCATACACATTCCCATACCTCCTCACCAACTGAACCAACCCATCCCCATCCGCCGTTCCCTCCGTCCCATCCCTTACCATCTGGAAAATCGATCCCCTCGGATCAGAATCAGAGTACTCAACCCCGTTGTGCGATTGCATGAGCCCAGGGTTTCTCACACCATTATTCGTAGTCGGTATGTGAACGTGGCCTTGCGATTCTTGCATAACGACAGCGAGAATCAAGCGCTGATCGATGCCAGATTCGGAGGCGACTTGGATGATGGCTTCATGGATGATTTGGTCCTGTTCTTCTGTGTTCCCAGGCCAGAGATTGCTCTGTTTCATAGTCGGCGCATTCTGGTTCCAGAGAGCAGAAAACCGGACCCACTTCTCGAGGGGAGGAAATGCAGATGCTGGGCCACTGTAATGGACTACTCCCCCTGTCGGTGGTGGTGGGTGAGGCGGGTGGCCTGTCCCTCCTGCTGGAATGACGAGCACTTGGCCAGGTACAATCAGGTCCCTACCTTGGAGTTGCGGATTCGCATCGCGCAAGGCTTGGAGTTCGATCCCAAAGCTTTGAGAGATCTTCCAGAGTGTGTCCCCTGGTTGCACAGTGTATTTGGTTGTCGTCACTGCGGTTGGAATAGTCAAAAGTTGGCCAGGAACAATCAGATCCGTTCCACCAAGCTGCGGATTGGCATCGCGCAAGGCCTGAAGTGTAATCCCAAAATTTTGAGAGATCTTCCAAAGTGTGTCGCCTGCAACAACAGTATAGGTAGTTGTAGTTACTACGGCTGGAATAGATAGGACTTGACCAACTACGATCAAATCCTTTCCTTGAAGTTGTAAATTGGCATCGCGCAATGCCTGTAGAGTTATCCCGAAGCTTTGAGCGATCTTTGAACGCGTGTCTCCTGGCTGCACAGTGTAGGTCTTGGGAGCCGTCTGGTGGTTCGCTCGAGTGGGATCGGGTTGGCCAGGAATTGAGAGAACCTGACCTGGGACGATAAAAGTGCTCCCGTTGAGTTGTGGGTTGGCATCGTATAGGGCTTGGAGCTCGATTCCGAAACGTTTGGCAATATTGAAGAGTGTGTCTCCTGCAACGACGGTGTAAGATGTGGTGGTGAGCGAGGAGCTTTTGCTCACTACTTGTGGTCTTACTGAGACCATAGCTCTTTCGGATTGAATGTTTGGTGGCAAGTGGTAGTAATGTATCTAATAGTCTGGACAAAGTGAAGCAACATCGGAAGGAGGAATTTTAGGATCGATGGTGGAGCGTTCTTCACTTTCTAAAGCAAGGCATGATATATGATGTGCTCTGGGTTTACAGATCGGGCTAGAGACTGCTCTATGAAAAGTATGGAATCTTTACATGATTTTAACATGGGTTCCATTACTTCACCGACTTTTCAGCCTTTTCAAACCAGAGTAGCGGAGCAGCTGAATTGTGTGAAACCAGCAGCTGGCATGTGAGGCGCGAGTGGCGTTGCGTTTGAGCAACGCTGACAGCTGAACTGACAAATGTCGCTTAGATGAATTGGTCGGTGTTTAAAGAGAATTTTCGTTACAGGATTTACCCACAGGTTCATGCAGCCATGCTTGGCTTCGGCAACCAAACATGTCCCTTTCCAACTGGCATCTTCTCCAACCAAAGTGCTTCCCAGACTTCGACGGCTTGACGGTGAGCCGGAAGGAATGACATCAAAATATTGGTTGTTACCACGAAAACTGATGCCTTTATTCAAGATGCGCTTCCCTTAACGAAAGAAGTATTGACCCCGAAAACTTCAAAATTCCACAATAACGGCGTGGAAATTGAATAAGTTAACAAATTCCATGCAACTACACGCGTTTAGCTATGCGATTCCGTTGAGCAGAATGGATTTCAGTAAGGACAAGTAGCTCAATTTTTGAAGTGTTGTGAGCGAAACGAGCGAGTTATGCTTTGGTCTTTGTGACTATTGACATTAGCCACTAGAACATATCTCTCACAATCACCAAATCTCGACTCGGGGTCTCAAAGAAAAGAGCATGCACGGGTGCATCTGGCCATGTATTCCACAACACAACCCGCAAGGCTGATTAGGTGGTCTCATACCGGCATATGAGTTCGCATGTCAGACCAATAGAATACCGGAGAATACCCACAATTCTCCACATTCTGTACAGCATAGCAGCTGAATGAACGAACCTCAGGCTGTTGAGCCACCTCGCTCGGTGATATTATTGGCGTTCCCGACGCAGTGTAGCCCGAGAATATGTTCTGCCAAAAAGGTCGCCGATCCGTTGGTTCATGGTTCGTTCCATCTTGCATTGACGACACATGCGTCGGGCGTGCCCAACATTCAGCTTCACCAGTGGAAGATTAGCATCGCCAACAAAAGAAATAAAAGATAAGACACAAGGCTGGCTGAGCCCTTAATGGATTTTCTTTTTTGGACGGTTTGGAACTGTTGTTGTAAACTTCCTACTGTTGATTGGGCGAGATAGCTGAAGAAAGAGGCTATAAGAAGAGACCACTTTCCTCTTGGTATTGTCAACCATTATCTTCAGACTTCACTGCCATTTGAGAAACTTCCTTCACTGTCTTCAACAACTGCGAACTCATCACCTTGTTTATATAGTAATCTATTCATCCGCTCGCCTCTTCTCCATCGCCATCACGTCTGACCAAGATCTTGCACTTGAAACGATGAGCTCATATACTGTCCAGCCGGGGGATTCGATGTATGCCATTTCCCAGAGGCTCGGTGTTACCCTCCAAGCTCTCGAGGCTGCCAATCCTCAGGTCAGGCCGCCTGCATTCCAGATCAATGTCGGTGATGTTCTGAAAATCCCAGGCAAGGGTCCAGGTCCTACTCCTTCTGGCGGCACTTATACTGTCCAGCCGGGGGATTCAATGTATATCATTTCCCAAAAGCTCGGGATTACCCTTCAAGCTCTCGAGGCTCTTAACCCTCAGGTCAAACCGCCCGCATTCCAGATCAATGTCGGCGATGTTCTGAAAATCCCAGGCAATGGTCCAGGTCCTACTCCTCCTGGCGGCACTTACACTGTCCAGCCGGGGGATTCGATGTGGGCCATTTCCCAAAGGCTCGGGATGAGCCTTCAAGCTCTCGAGGCTCTTAATCCCCAGGTCAGGCCGCCTGCATTCCAGATCAATGTTGGGGACGTCCTGCAGATAAGCTAAGGGAAGCCAGGAGGAACTGGAACGGGCAGTGGAGGAGGATACCACTCTTACACAGTGGTCTCGGGTGACTCTCTGTTTTCTATCGCCACCGCTCATGGTGTTTCCTTGGCGGCTTTGGAGGCTGCGAATCCTCAGGTCCAGTCTCCTCAATTTCGATCAATGTGGGACAAGTAATTACGATTCCGTGATTGCGGTTCCCACTGGGAATGTTTTTCGTTGTTTGGATCTTCTGTTCTTTTTAATGGAAATTGATGCAATACATGCTTGGATGGATACGGCGCAGTAATAACTCAATTTAGTAAAGCGGTAACACATAATTCTCTTAAGAAGGAGAAAGCCAATGAACTGTGAAGCTGTGAAGACCGACTTCGACTCGCTCGAAACTGCTCGGAAGGGTTTCCTAAACCAAGCCCAAAAAAGTCGCTCTGGGGTGGAGGTGCGAAGTCCCTCTTCTCCTGCATATACACCATCAAATTTAGTGGGGGGATTGGAGAGAAGTGGAATACGTATAAATTCCCGGACACAGGACGTCCACTTAGAGTTCGGGTTTGCCCGTTGTCAAGTCCTTAGGGGTCTGCTAACATATGCAAGGCGGAATATCCCGTTCCTGATATATGTCGAGATACCCACCCCAAAAGAGCCTTTAAGTTCTTAGAGGCGCTGTGGCTGAGGGGCATGAGATGGAAAAACGGGAAATAATCTCAACATGGCCTCGGTCTCGGGCTAGCCGTCCTCTCGTGAGTTCGTCTACATCAAAGGCTTAGAGGCCACGAGCACGCCCAGATTGAGCCCCAGTATTTTTTCCTTGAACTGGCAACTTCATGAAAACATACCAGTGTTGGAGGCAATCGCGGCCAAAGAGCCTATGACTTCGCTGTTGAAGAAAGGTGGCCGGATGATTCATTCAACCAGCCGGTCCGTGATATTGTCGGCATAGCGGGTCGTGGAGGGGATCTCCATCCCTCCTTATCATAAGGTGGGTACATGTTCGATACTGCCTGAGATATTCGAAGGACTGGTGAATGGACTGGCTGGTATATAACATCTCTAATTTGAGGGCTGTTGACGCTTGAATCTTTCCAATGATCCCTTGGGCCAATATACAGGCCATACTATCATCAAGGACGGCCGACTTGTGGAGAAGAGGGCGGAAAAATTTGGTAAGGAAAAGATAAAGTTTTGTAAATTGTAACTAAAGAAAGATCATTGAGCATTCGTGGGATGATAGGGGCAGGTGATGCTCACGCCGAGTCACCTGCACAGGACTGGTCACATGGTTAGAGCCCATTGAGGACAACAACCACAGATCTTGGAGGAGTAAAAGAAATAAATGCGTACCACAGGCCATGGACTATGTCTCCCAGGTCTGTTGCCTTGTTGTGATGAGGGAGGAGGATAACAAGATTGCATGCACTTGGACTGTAAAAAGAAAGAAGGTGTGGCTGCGTCATTACACCTCCACACGGCACTCGCGAAATCCATCCAGGTGCTCGGGAGAGTCGGGCCCTGGAGATTCCGGACTTACAGCCTAGGCCAATCTGGAAAAACGTGGCATTTCACATTTCCGGACAATAATGTTCGTTCGCTCATGTCACATCCATCCCCAGTCCAGCCCTTCACTCCCTCACTGCAGCTGACAGCATCACGTTGACCTGGAAGACCACAACCAAGGCATTGAACCTTCACCGTGGCCTCAAATTTTAGTCTGCTGTATCGCGACTCCCTCGAACATAGCCTCCGCAAAGCTGGCAGACGATCAGCGCTGTTGACGCGGTCCATAACAAATGCACGCCCTAAGGCAGAAATGCCGTCCGAAGCATCAAGTCCTGATCCTGAAATGCTATCCAAGAACAACCAAAGGCGCCGTCGACGTAAAGCCCAATTCGAGCGAGCTCAGCTACCTCCTTTACTATGCGACGACTCGGCGGAGTAAGGTGCAGAAGGTCGGCGCATTTCTGGAGAAGAAGACTGCGAGTGATGTATGGAGGGCACGGATAGGGTATGTACACATTGGCCAACTGGCCGAGACAGACGGCATTGGTAGATTGAGAGAGCCTATACTGATATTGGTTACAGAAATGTGCAAGTCACACTTCAAATTCTGGCTGCCTTGATCGAGAAGGCCCCGAGGGACCTTCCGCTATTTGCGCCATACGTTCTGAAGATCCTGAACATAATTCTCCGGTCCCGCGATATTACCATGGTCGAATCTTCCATCCCAACTTTCGATGCCTTCTGCGAAAATCATGATGGAGCGTCACTTTCGGCTGATCAGGAATACTTGAATCAATATGAGGAAATTGTCCGGATATACGCGTCTTTTGCCTCGACGAGGCCCCCGCCCACAAAACCCCCAACTAGCGCTCCAGTAGCTATGCGATGGAGAAGTGTAGGACTGGAAGCAATCAAAAGCGTAGCTTCCTCCGAAGCTTTGGCGTCACTGGCAGGAAGACAACTGGATGTGGTAGTGCCTATATTGCTAGAAAACTTGTGGACGGATAACCTTGATTTCATCGACTTACTGGAGCACAGAGCGCAGCTAGAGGAGAAGATAGACACAGAGAAACTTTTACGAAGGCGGACGAGTATTGCGACTGTGCGGACAGTGGAAACTGCGACTGAAGTAAATGCGGCGGCTCTGTCCGGAACAACTGCTGATGCTGACAAAGTCGCCGAAGAGGATATCGGAGTTCTTGCCCTCCAATGTTTGAAGCAAATATTTGTGGTCAACAATCGGTCCCAGATTCGTGGAGCTACGATAGCTTCGCTGAATTTCATCGCAGATAGAGTAGCCCAAGGAGAAGCTGTGATCGAGCCAACACCAAGAGCAGGAACATATCATGGCTGGGCAACCAGAATATTTGAGATGACAGCGCGATGGAGTCCCGTCCAAGACCGATATGTCATTCTCGTGACGGCAATGGATACCTTGATTCACAGCACTTTGATAGAGGAGAATCTCCAACAGCAGCTGGTTCTTGTTACGATGATCGACTCTTTACTCAAATCCGACATCAACCTCATCGGACTTAGTGTGATGGACGTACTATTGGGGTTGATTCAGCACGTTCTGAGGGTGCTCCAACTAAATGCATTGCCGCATGCACAACAAAATTACGGGAGTGAGGCGGGAGACCCTTCACCGGCTACCAGTGTCGGCGCTATTGGCGAAATGGTGACAGTACCGACGACCTTGAGGAGAGACCTCCTAGCCAGACTCCAGGACTGCATTGGGGATTTAGCTACCCATGTCTATTATGCCGATCAAATATCGGACATGGTTTCTGCTATTCTATTGAGACTCAAACCATCAACACTCTCTGGAGTTCCGAACGCTGCTGCAGCTATAGAGAATCCCAACGCTACGACATCAGCGCTGGCTTCTGTTGGAGATCTAACAGAGGATCCGAACACCGATGGTTTCTTCTCTTTCGATACCGCAAAAGTCAAAGCGCTTGAAGCCATCAAATTAATTCTTCTTGTCGCAAGCCATCGCAATAGCATGACTGGCGTTGGAAGTCTTGCGAGGAACCGTGTGCCGGTGCGAGTTTGGGAGGGAACACAATGGCTATTACGCGATCCTGATGGCCGTGTGCGCAAGGCATATGTGGATGCTTTGTTAACATGGCTTGATCAAGAAATGAATAAGTCGGATCTTCGAGCGTTTGAGGAGAAACCCAAAGGGCTGACAAAAACGACCCGTGACGATTCAGCAATCAATCTAACAAAACGGGCTGTTTCAAATGCTTCTCACAAGCCTCCAAAGTCTACGCGGACCTCATTTCTACAGTTGCTGCATCTCGCGGTATACGAGAATGCTCTGCAATATGTGGACAGCGAATCTGATATCATTCTTTTACATCTTTTGCTGGCGAATCTTGTGGAGAACTTAGGTGTCAATGCTGTCCAGAGTGGACTTCCTATGATCTTCCGCCTCCAGGAAGATATTTTAGAAATCGAAACTCCATTGGCAAAGATTCGGGTTGGGAGCTTGTGTCATGGATACTTCTGGACTCTTAGTGAAAAGTTCGATTTCGATTCTTCGCCTATTGGACGAGCAATACACAATGAGATCCATCGACGACGAGGCAAAATGTTCTGGATCGACAGAATCCGACATCCCCCGATACCGTTGGATCAGATTGCGACTCCGGGTCAAGCCACACCCCAACAAGCACTTCCTATCGAGGAGATTGAGACGGAATCGCTCCGACCATTTGACGATCGATTTCAGATGGTCAAGCTCATTTCACTATCATACGCTGAATCTTTGGCAACTTCACAGGCAAGCCCGCCCACATCTCCTGGCCGAGTCTTCAGTCACCCTATCCTGGGCTCGCCCGGTGCCTCAGGGGAAGGGGACTTGACAATGCCGGATAAGATCAAGGAACAAATGATGTCTGAGTGGAGCAAGGAATCTGTGATTGCTGTTGCTCAAGAAGGCAGTAAGACTGTATCACTGAACGGCTCGAGATCAGGCACAAATGCTACTGGGCATCGAAATTTCCTGGCAGTCAATGGGAACGTGGGCAATGGAGGCTCAAGTGGTGGTACACAATCGCCTCCTGGCCGTCACCATACTCACAACAGCAGGCCAAATTCAACATATGGCCTCGTTGGAGGTCTTGGGGCTTTGCAGAAGCTTAGGAAGGGCAGTGGACACTCACCATCCCCTGCAAGCGAGTCGAGTCGCAACTCAGTCACCAGAGTAGAACAATTAAAGCGAGTTCTCTCTGGGCAGCAGAGCCCTCTTCCTGGAACAAGAGCAGGTGTAGCCGACAGCGACGCAAGTAGCGAAAGCATGGTCAGCTACGAGTTCAGCGCTTCAGAGGTATCCTTCAACCCCATTCCTCAGACAGGCCCACCAATGGAACGATCAGCCTCTCTACGTGAGCCTCGCGAACGCTCAAGGTCCAAATCCCGAGATCGAGTCGCTGGAGTAGGAGAGCATTCACGTCCCCTTTCATCTCATCCTGTCCTACTGAGAACAGACCAAAACGTGCCTCCCGAGCTGGAAAGGGAGGAAGATCTCGATTCTGTCCCACCCGTACCACCGCTCCCCTCTTCCCTCAAAAAGGACCAAGACCCCGCCATCCCAGATAATATCCGCAAAGGGCGCAGTGTGCGGCGGTCTGAAAAAGGTCGAGATCGAAACCAAAGCTCCTCGTGGGGTGAAGCAGCTGGTGGTCCGGTGGTGGACTTGGAGAGCTTGCTGAATGGGATTGAAGCCGAAGGCGCAGATACAAAGGGTAATGTGAGCAGACCACCTTATTGATTGAAATGTGGAGTACATATCTGTATTTAATTTGGAGAAAGTGATGGAATGGATCATTGAATTCACGGCTTTCGGTGATGTGTATTATTAGTTCTAGAGAGGGTTGCAAAGCAATAAAGCATGGCGCAGGGTGGTTGTATAAAATTCTTTGAGCGCCTTGAATGCGTGCAGCTTGATTGAGTGCCCTTGCTTGTCGCTTTCTTCCTTGTATCGTGTTTCACTAGCCTTCCGTGTGGGTAGTACCCAAGGCATAAAATATTTGTGCTCGTCATTACAAAAGTTTCCCCCCTGCGCTCTGGAGGTGGTGGTTGGAGAAGCACGGGAGTAACGTGATCCTCAATTGACACCATACTAGCGCCGTCTAGAGCTATAAAAGAAGGTCTCCTTAGGTAGCAGTTTGATCAACTCTCTGATCCCCAAAGCTCGTACGCATCCTGAACCTATGAGGCTGTTTCTGTTGGGTGTCGTATGGAGGCGTGAGGTCAGCTCTCACAGAAATTTTAGCGTCTACCAGGACAAACGTACCTCAAGGGAATGACGGTGCAAGCAAAAAGCTGGCAGGCTTCAGCAGGCTTCAGCAGGCTTCATCGATAATTTCCCTATTATTGACCACATAAATACGAGGTCACAAAGACAACGAGAATGGACAGGGTCCCAGAGAGACTGGATATCACGGGAGGGAATCTACGCACTCGGGATCAGAGAGGGAGTGAGAAGTGAGTTCAAAACAAGAATGACTATGGTGCATCTTCCAATGCAATAACCCTAGAATGCTAACCGCCCTTTAAAAAAAAAGACACTCATATGATCCGTTTCAATATACAACATCATTTCTCGTCTACTCGTTACATCCAGGCTCTTCTTCCATTTGGCACTTTATCTCGATCCATCTCGTCCCAGTTCCGCTGGCGACCGCCAAAGCTGCTCTGAATGTAACTCCGCATGCTCGTTTAGCTTTTGGGGGTGCTCGAAGACATGTTGCTGCGGCGTGGTGGCATACACTGCTGCGGCGTCGAAGTCCGCTTTTCCTTCTGATGGTGCCTCAGAGCGAAGAATAGAGCAAGGCCGATGATTATCGCGGCGACGATCACAGCGCCGAATGCGATGCCGATTTAGGCTCCTGTTGTGAAACCGTTTGATGGTGGTGAGAGGGCTGGGGAGGTAGAGGTAGTGTTTTGTGGAGGTGAGGAGATTGTGGGACCTGCAGATATGCAGATGCTACCGATCCAAAACCACACGGTCCAGCCGAGGCAGGATCAAGTCTTGACTTCAACCGACTTGAGTTAACGATAAAACCAATAACTTCTCCGTACGGTGACAACTGGGATGTTATCTGGTTAGGACATTGCGGCATGTCATTCCCAACTGACTCCTCAAGCGGCGCAGAAAACCTTCCCAAAGGACGAGTTGTCCGCCACGACGACTCAACCGTTCCAGAACGATAGTATCTCAGGATTTTTTTCAGCAGTGACAGCTTGAAGGACGAGTATCCGTCCCATACAAGAGTGACACATCACGTGTCCGATGCAGCATGCTCTGCTGGTTTGACGCAAAATCTATATCAGTGTAAGATATATGAGGGATCGATCACATTTTTGCATGCAGTTGATGCTTGGTTCGAGGTTTAGATACAATGCTCAGAGTGTGATATACATTAAAGCAAGTGCTCCTTGCCGGTGGACCCCCAACTGCCAGCATTTTCTTTTTCGCCGCCCGCAGCATATCCCGGTTTGGTGAGCTTGGTGGATGTTCTTTCCCCAAAGGTAGAAAAATCCGGCATAAGAGTATCATCCCTGGAGTCGGTGCCATCCCACCTGAAGTCATTCTTTCATCTTGATTGACGGCTGTGTTTCGATGAAAGTCTTAAATTTCTCGGCTCCTTCCCTTCCTCACGCTCAACAACGTTCCTTCCTTTCTCGACTCACTATTTCTACCACCTCGATAGGGAGCCTCTTTAATGTTTTTACTCTCATCAATATGTTCCAGAATATCTGCATCAGCTTCATCCTCGCCACATTGTCTCCCTGACCTAAACGATTTTGATTCTAGATTTCGGGGCTGTTCTTGGGGCAATTGGTTTGATCCACTCGACGCTTTCCATGATAAGTCCAACGTGAATAGATTCACCTGTAGATCTCGGTCCAAGCTTCAGGAGCAGCCCAAAATACTAATCTTCGAGCCATTTCCTTGTTCTTCTCCCGTTAATGAAAGTCAGTAAAGGTAAACATAATTCAGAGCCAAAATTGCTTTCAAATTTTAACGTTATTGTTAAAACAACACTGGCTTCAGGAAAGGAAACAACCAGAGAAAGAGGAACGTTGCACTCGTGAATTTAATACAGCCAACCAGTCCTTTGACGGACCTTCAGGAAGATATATTATTTTTCGCTGCACCTCGCATTGTGAAAGAGGAGTAACCGCCTTTTCCACTTGAGCGGGGTAAACGCATAATTTCATTGAAGATAATTGGCATTTCAATCAAGCTGAAATAGGGGTAAATGTTAATTCAGCTCGGACGAAATCAGGGGAAACCCAATTAAGCAAGGGTGGAATGGGAGGTAAAGCAAAAGGGAGACAGGGTGAATATTAATGGAACAGCTAACAGATTTTGAAGAGCTATCTTTGTTTCACAGATCATGCTCGAAGAAGAACCTTTTGACGATGCTGCGCCCTCGCCTCTTTAATCCTCGAACATTGGTCGATGATCCCCTTTACTGGGCCGTCTGGATTTCAGAACCACCAGCGCCGTTAAAGTTGCGATTTCCTTAACAAAGTCCAGAAGTCAAGACCTCAGCCATACTTATCGCCATTGATTTAAGTAAGTCAGTTTTCACGCTCAATTGATGCCAGGTTTCCTCAGTAGAACATCTCCTGTTCTTCCACACCTGCGCTAGTCAGGGTGCATGCGGTTGAAGAGCGGTGGCTCTGGGCCAACAGACCACGTCAGACAGATTCCAGCCTCTCTGAATGCAGTTGGAAGATCGAAATAATCAAGCCAGAACCCAACGCAATCGGAAGCAACTTGCACCTTGAGATCATGCGGATGTGATCGTTGTGTTGACTGGAGTGTCACCTTGTTCTCTAGGTCTCCGCACCAGAGTACAAGGTACCGCAGCCGCGGGAAGCGATCATTTCTGTGTTCGAGAATCTCGAACAGCGAATCCTTCAGAGCTATCGCTTCGTACGTTGGGTGTAGTGTGCTAGGTTCTGCCCAGAATATTTCTGATGTCCTTAAATCATGTTCGAAGGGAGCAGAGAAGTCAAGTTGTAGATCTTCTATTGTTCCCGGGAGGAGTTTCCATAATTGTTGCGTAGGTAGCTCGAGGGTTTCTTCCCTCACATGGGGCAATTCTAGGAATGACGCTGCCATGCCCAATCTTCTGAGATTTTTGAATCCCGCCATATTCAAGCTAGGTAGGAGTTTCGTCGATAGGCTCCTGAAGTCGATAAAGCATTCCTCTAAAGACTCAGAATGACAGAGCAAGGCTGCCATAAAACGAATCCAGAGGTCAGATCCAACATCGGCGCCAACTTGTAGGCCAATATGAAAGCATTTCAATTGACGGGGCCATGTGATGAGCATAGAGATCAGAACTAGAGGTAGATCATCGAGGTCGAAAATCAGCTGGCGGGGCAGTATGATCGAAGGGAACGAGAGTGAAACGACAGGAGAGGTTCCGACAGCCGACTTCCATATGGGATCCTTCTCTATCGCAGATAGGTTCTCTACAGAAGTTGAAAACAAGCCAAACCAGCTTATAGTGATATGCCGGAGAGTGCCAACACTGAAGAGCGCTTTGAGATGAGCCACCGTTGTACGCTCAAACTCGATGATCTGCGTAGCTGGAATCTCTATGGCAGCGTTCGGGACCGATGACAGGAGAGATAGGTTGATTGTGCTCGGCTTTACTTCGAGATATTTCAAAGAAGGGGAAACCAACTCTATTAGATGGCTGATAAGTGCCTTCGAGTACAGCTCTGGAAAAGGCGGTATCGTCGGATTCTGGTTCCACATATCGTCGTTTTCATTTGTGTCCAAGCTCGCACCAATCACGAGTCGCCTCAAGTTGTGATTTCTCTCTAATGTGTCGATGAATCTCTCGACATCGAAGATGACTGAGATTCGAGAAGGACTGATGTATTTGAGAGCACCCTCCATTCCATACTTCAATTGGGCTGGGCGAGGCTTCCCCGTGCTTGTCAGGGGAAATCCATATTGAACGAAGCGATAAAGGACCGGTGTTCCAAGTTGGTATATCTGGCGGGAGACCTTCATGAATGCAGGCAGGTAGTTGCGCTCAATCTGCTCGATGATGATAAGCAGAACCTCGTCTGAGAGGCTGCTCATCGTCGAGAATGCTGGATCGGACTCCATGTTGCTGTAGGTGACTTGAGTCTACTGCAGAAATCCACGAGTGAATAAGTGAGAGAAAAAAAGCGAGGCAGTCAAAAAAGCTACTGGCCCTAAATGAAGGTCCCTCCGGCCGTTGGAAATGGGTAGTACCGACTTCAAAGATTCCGGTTAACATAATTCGGTCCCAAACCGACTCTAGCTTACACTTGATAGCACTACCATTGAAAATGAAAGAGTGTTTCTCCCCGCTACCACGGCGAGGCAAAGAAGAAGAAGAAGAAGAAGAAGAAGAAGAAGAAGAAGAAGGGGAAATGGGGTGCATAGACTTCGCGCGTGAGGCTAATCCCTTGGTAAATTCCTCACTCGTATTCTCTACAAACTTTGTAAAGACTTCGCCAGGAGTGCTGTCTGCCAACAGAGCCTCAACTAAGTGACTTTCCCTGCTTCCAATCTGAAACGTGGGTACAAAATGTGAGAGCAGACCATCTCTGGAAACTCTCCCCCTCCTCCTGTATTAATATTTGTCACGTGATATTCATCGTTGCTCCTTTTCAACAGTTCCCGTCCTTTTCAGCTTTAATACCCAAGACCAGTAACAAATACCACAATCCAACACCCACAAAATAAAGATCAGCGGAAGGCGCCGCACTCTCAAAAGCATCGCGACGTCATTTGGCACAGTTAGTAATCTTCCCGCCTAAATGCCCGTAAGGCCTGCAGCCATATATTCTTACATATAGGCCCAAGTCAACCAATCACAATGTTCGAATTTTTCTTTCTCATCCCCATAATACTGACAACCTCGTATTTCCAGGAGGGGAATTCTTGCAAATGGGGAATGGCATGTGTGGCCTGACCGTAGATCATCGCGAAGCCAGGCACTTGGCGATGCATCAGCTGAGGTTGAACGTAAGCGACCGATCCGGTGTATCCTCAGATTCAGGTGTGGGCTGCAGCATGCCGTGAACATCTGATCAAGAATCGGGTCATTAATCTTATTTAAGATCAAGGAATGGTGTGTTGGAAGTCTCGGAGATTTGTCTGTCGAGATTAAAACATCAGCATAAAATGTATACAAAGCCTTTTTCACATTCCTGAAATTTCCCCAATATCTCACTTAAAGAACAAAACTCCCCTTCACTCACCAAGCAATCATCACCGCCATGCTTACAAATAAACTCCTCAACCTTGGGCTTACAACCCTCCTCACTTCCGTCCTCGCCAACCCCCTCATCCCCAGTCTCGAGCACCGCCAGCTCGGTTCCTGCGCCACCGTTCCTTGTGCTCCCGGTCTCTGCTGCTCGATCTACGACTACTGCGGTACCGGGCCCGATTACTGTCAAGTTGGCTCGTGTGTTGGCGGTGTGGGTGGGACCTGTGCTGCGGGAATGTGTTGCTCGATTTACGGTTATTGGTAGGCAAATCTCTCTAAGCTCAAGAATTTCCCTTGACGGGCAAAGCTAACTGTATGGGAATAAAGTGGAGTAGGAGACGGATATTGCCCTCCAACGACGACATCTTCAAGTACGTCGTCGAGTGCTTCCCCTACACCTACGGGAACCGTGAATCAGTGGGGTCAGTGTGGAGGCCAGGGTTATAACGGACCAACAACTTGTGTGGTGCCGTATAAGTGCACTTTTTACAGTATTTGGTGGTCTGATTGCAGATGAGAGTGGTAGCTGGTAAGGTCTTGGGAAGTGGCTTGGGGTTTCGGTGACATTAATGGATCAAATGAGCGTTATGAATGGGTATGATAATTATGAGGGTACTGTAACAAAGGAAACTTTTGAAAAGTATTAATACCGGAGATATCATGTAATAGAGATATCAGAGTGACGAGGGCAGGGTAGTCACGTGACTATACTCGCGTCATCATGCATTGAGAATAAGCTAGCAAAGTCCCCTCTCTGCTCATTTCGCATATATGACGTGAGTGGGAGACCACTCTGAAGCAAGGCAGTGTCCTAAAAGTCCCTCATTATTCTTATTCCTGAACCTTGCTGCAAATCTGATGCCCTGTGTAGGTAAAGCAGCAACGGTTACCACTCAAAAAGTGTTACTAAGTTGATCCATTAATCGACTCAACCAGTTCCGGCGCCGGTAACCCTTCGATTCTCATCTGCTATGCAGTCTTCAAAAGCGAGCAGAGAACAGAACGCACAAGAGTGATTTGCGACTCCACATATCTGGAAAACTGCGGAGAAGAACGAGTCTCCAAACTAGTAGATGTAGTTGAAGAAGTCATCGAAGAGAGGCGTCTGAGGCGCTTTCTCTCGAATGCGGCAAGGTGGAGATTTGTGATTTGATGGGTGATCTTGAGGACGGAGATTCTGCCTCCAAGGCGTTTCGATTGTATGACAAGGAATACTCGACGGGCTAGGAGAAGCTCTTGCTTCCACACAACGAAGTTCTGAACACGAGTAAATGGTATTTATCTTAATGAAGATTGAATATGGGAAATCAACGTAAGGCGAAAGATGGTGGCATTGATATACTAGTAAATATGCCAGCTGATAATCACCCCACTCAGGGTTATAATGACTAGTCCAATGAGAAAATGTTGCTATCTTGTTGCTATAAGCTCCAAATATCTTGTGAAAACTGCGCGACGACTGCATGGCGGTGGGATTACTACAAACCCGCTAAAAATGGTCCTTTTTGAGGCACTACTCTGCTCGCGGAGAAATACGATGGTCACGTGAAACCATCCTGCTTCTTCCAGAGAACCCACCTACATTCATAGCTAGACCGCGGAAGGATCCAGAATCAAACTGGGAAGAACGAAGTTGCTTTATGAATTTGTACAAGCAAGCAACCCTGTGACTACCGAAGAATCTCGCCACATTTCATGCTAGCAGCCGTGACATAGCCGTAGAGTCGCTGCAGAACCCCTCAAATCAAGACTCCTCCCGTTCTCCCATGTGTCATATCTCCTCTGCTTGTGAGAGTGTATTTTTTATTCGACCTTGTCCTCGAAATTCTCGCCCGCGACCAGATCTGGGATGTCATCATCATCATCGTCCGCCTTTCCTTCACCACCTTCAGCTTTCTGCATGGACTGGTAGCTCTCAGCTAGCTTTCGGAGGGATGCGAGGGAGTCGGGGCCGAGTTGGTTGAGGATACCGGGGACGAGTTCGGTGAGCTCCTTGTCTTCTCCGGTGCCGTAGATTGCGAAGGTGTTTGATGGGACAGCGGCGTGGACTGCAGGACAGATGTATTAGCTAAGGCTCTCAAATTCCCCATCGCGGGGTACAAGTGCGCAGAATGAAGCTATTGCCGTACCTTTGGGAGCAGCAAAGTGGATGACGTTTCCATCAGCCTTGAACATGTTGACCTCCTCAATAGCTTGGATGGGCTGAACATTGAGCTTCTTGAGTGCTGTTTGCAGCTTCTTGTCATCCATTCCCGTGCTCTTGTGGACCTTCTTGACCTTTCTTCGCGGTGTGCCCTTTCCACTGTTCCCCATTTGTCAGCATATCTAGGTATCGTGCCTGTCCTCCACATTCTGGCCGCCTCCTGGGATGGCGAAATATATATCCGTAGAAGCTGCAGAAGGACGACTCTATACGTACCCTATGATTGGGGTTAGCTATGTTCAAATTGAAATTTGAGGGTGCCTCCAGGTTCAGAGCCTCAATTGCCCAAACACGCAGAAGCTTCCACCCCAGAACCGCGCAGATTCAACTCACCAATTCGCACCGACTGCTGCATCTTCTTCAACTTTTCCATATCCATGATTGGTAGAGTCTGACCTTCGTCGGAGAATGTGGGAGGTGGTAGGTGGATGGAAGTGGAGACGGAGCTATTCTCTCCAGCGTCAGCAGCTTTCGTTCTTCGCGCATCTAAAGCGTCCGCAGAGACTGTTGGCTCGTAAACAATATTCTAGGGTACTTACAGTGGTGCACTCGACGTGGTCTCTTGTCTCTGATCTGGGGTGAAGTTTTCGTGAAGATCGGTGATGTTCTTCAGTGTGCGGCCGGCTCGCTTATTTTGAGTCCGCTTTAACATCACCACAAAGCTTTTTCAACTGCTTCATTCACTGCTGCCCTTGAGAGAGAGCATTGACTACTACATACATTGATCAGCATATCGCAGATTTTGGCTATTCGGAAGTTTCAATGACTTACAATACCCATTTGGAACGTCAGTAGGGCTGAGGATCACTTTTCCAGCCCAAGTCGAGCCATCATGAGGATTGAGAAGTTTGTCCAACAGGCCCATTTCCCAATGATCACCGTTTAAATGGGCATAGGAAACATTATTGAAGGATTGAGAGTTTCTAGTTGTTCAAAATGATCTTCCTTCAGTGCTGCATCCGAACATCTGATCCTCTCTGCTTTGGTGTCTGTCAAGTTTCGACCCAGTCTATTGCAGCCACCAGCCTATCGTCCATGAGCAGGTTCAGTACTCCTTAGAAAGCCCGAATGGAATTCTCGAAGTTGCTCGCTAAGTCCATATCTGAATATGCTCAGTCTCCCAAAGCCATTTTTCTCGACGCGGAGCACTCCTTCCATTCTAGATAGTCTGTCAATTTTCTTCACCATTTGCGCTTCCAGAGTCATGACAAGCTCGCCCCACGGATGAATTATATCCTTGGAGCAGGTAGTGGTACGTATTTCCAGAGATAATGACCTCAGATGCTCAAAATGCAGCGAACACCAGTTCAACCTATTTTGGCTTGCTGGTCGCTGAGCTTCATTCTATCCCGGGTCATATCCCATTCGTTAATCACCACATTTCGCACTGCTGAGCGCTTTTCTGATCGCTCTCTGTTCTCCTATCCTGGATGATGCATTCTTCGCCAATCAGCACTTTCAAACTATGATACGGTGGGAAATTACTCATTACGCGACTACAATATCAAGTTCTGAATGGACGCAATTCTCTTTGTCTCCTCCAGTCTTAGAAAATTGAAAGCATTCTCTCGGAAGAAGGTGAATTCCGTCGTCTCCCAATAAGCACAAAGTGCTTAGTGGTATATTTTGATTGTTTCCTTGGCTCGGAGAGCTTTTATGAGATTTGGCATCCTAAACCATTGTGGGAGAAAAATGCCTCTTCATTGAACCAATGAAAATACGCGGTCCAGATCTCGATTCTGATTTCGGCCGGGCAATTGATTCTGGAGAAGATACATCCTTGGCTGGAAGTTGGAGCCAGGGCCATGGTGGTAGTTTGCGAGGTTGACGTTTTCTGGGACCCCATGCAGCTTTTTTGAGATTTTATGGGCTCTATATAATTCGAAAGTGGTACGTGTATAGAGTCACGAGTGCCAAGTCGTCACAACTTGTCGCAGGAGAGCTAACTTGTTGGTCAATGTACCAAAGAATCAGATATGGAAAGTCACGTGATATATGGCTCGACACGAGTATTGCGCTGTATGAACGTGATATTCTCTACCGTACGTATGAAGAAGGCCAAAAATTTATGGCCTCCCTCGAGGACCTACTTACAGGTCTCACAACGCGCTCAGGTTTCTTTCCTCTATACGCTCCCCACGCCCACACACTCCAACGATATGCAGAATCCCCCTTCGTCGAGTATTCCATATCCTGGACATATATATCATCTACCCCCAATATTCCATTCATCATATTTTCCAATTCCAAAAACTTGCCGCTCCCACGGCTATATTCCTCGCATTCGATTCGGATCGATTGCAACTGTTTGAAGTAGCCCAAGCTCTTTTCAATGAAGTTCGCATGTCCGCTGATCTCTAGGGCATCAAGACGGTCTCCGGACCTATCGTGATTCAGTACCACGAAGTGCCGTACATCCGCTCCATCGAACAACTTCAATGGAGAATAGTAGCCGAAGTTTACTGTATCTGGCCTGGCACAAGTCAGCATTCCTCCATCACCTTTCAATATTGCAACTTGGTCAATGACACAAATGAGATTTTGAATCGACTTCAACTGCTTTTTATTCTTCGCAACTCTAAAATTCCGGTAATTGAAGCGCGAGAAAACAAATAGTATAACACGCCAATATACCGCGAAGGCTTCCTAGTAAAGATCCCACGTCTTTTTTGACCGCAGGGCTTTGATGAGATTCGGCGTCTTGAAGCGCTCCACCAGTAATGAAGAGTCCGGATTTGAGAGGAGAACTGTAAACCACCTCCTGTTATCCTCGGCTTGGTGAGAAGAGGCGGAATTGGCTGTTTGAGTCTAGGTGTGGGTTGAAGTGTTCTTCATGGCGGCCATTCTCGACGGCTTCGGTCTGCGGGGCATTCTTTGCGCGAAGTATTTTGTCAATGTAACAGCACAGTGATAAACAAATGGATTACCTCCAAGTTATGAAAGTAGGAAGCTTCAAATGATTAGGGTTCGAAAGGGACCAAGGAGTTCGAGTTTTGGCTCGAGTCACGTGATCAATCTTTAGGCTTTCCTTTGTTCAAGCAACAGATATCCGAGAACCAAAGGCTACGAGTCGTTTGACGTTCTTGTTGTGATTTAATTGATAAAGCCATATGTCCAATACACTTCTGACGAAGAAACCGCTTCGAATCAGAACCATAGCTGCAGACTTAGCTTCATAGTTTTCTTCTCGATTTATTGCTTGCCGTTGAGAGAGACTGACCGTCCTGCCTTCTGGTTTACCTTCATCCATCGTAGATTGTGAACTCAATCTCAATATTTCTTCCACTCCGACAGTGCCAAATGAACCCATAATTGTCGTGTTGACAGCCAAATATCTCTGAAGACTGTGGAATTCTGTGGACCGGGATGTTCATCCCCATGCTAAGGTCTTGATGGAGCATGAACAAGGCTTTCTCTGCTCTTTCCTTGCTTGTCGATTTCGAGGGAAAGCAGAATCGCATCTTGCCCAGCTTTTGAAATGTCGTGATGCTGATGAAGAGGAACAAAAACGACATTCTGGCTACGATTTCCCCAGTTTCTCCGAGATACAGAGTCAGAGTATGTAAGTCCTTTGCCTGTGCGAGTTTGGACCTCAAGCTAAAGAGTCTCAGTGTATTTGTAAGGCCGGATTCGGGACTCGGGTTGTCGGGGAGGATCAGGCGCTCGATGACGCTTCAGAGCAGCAAATGTAAGCCAGAATCTAGAGGGAGTGGATGGACAACCTACCTTGGCCCAAATGTAATCTCCTTCAATGGCGAAAGTGCAGAAGGTTCCAGGTTGTCCACAAAGTCCTTCTCTACACCGCCTCCGGGGAGTAAAAAGCTTAGGTTAGAAGCTTTCTGATACTGTTCTAAAGCTTCCTCGTACTGTCTTTGGTTTGAACCATCGTGTAGTGCATTCAAAAGATTCTTGGAGTAGTGTCCTTTGTAGTGTGACTCCCGGTAGATCCGCTCCGGACGGAAGGCTGTGAAATAGTGCTTGAATATCTGGAGTCTGATTTCTGGTGCAAGTCTTGCCAGGTAGTTCGTAGGAGCATTGTTTTGACGCGAACCGTTGCATGTTGTTGCATTATTTCCATTGGAATGAGAATCCGTTTCGGACTGGCGGTTGCCTTCGGTAGAATGATTACCTTTGAGTGTCCGGTTACCTGGAGACGGAGGCTTGCGTTTGGCCTTGCGTTTGGGTTTGGACGGTGGCTTGCGTTTGGGTTTGGCAGGATTGCTTTTGGGCGGATGCCCTGGAGGGCGTTGTTCTCTGTCTGGGGGATTGGCCTTGGAAAGGGAACTGCATGGTAGATCTTCCATAAGTTCGAAATATAAGTAGCTAATGAGATTGAAGAAGGGAGCGAGTAAGTAACCAAATAAAATACTCCAGAGCCTCTGATGAGTTCCATTCCTGGTGTCCGGGATCAGAATACTACAGACAGTAATTGCCAGGAGCAACATCAGGGTAGCACGCCATCCTTGTTTGAGTTGGTTCCGCCAAAGTGGATTGCTCTTAGAAGAATGCTTGCCCTTGAAGGAGGGCGTGCCTTTTGCTAGTGGGTTGCCTTGAGATGGATAATTTCTTTTGTGTTTGCGATTGCGTTGAGGCGGACGCTGACGATTGCTTCGAGTCTTGCCTCCGGACGGAGCATTGTGTTTGGATATGCTGCCTGATTCCGAAGGTGGATTGCTTTTGTACTGAGCATCGCCTGTGAGCTTTTCCGTAAGTTCGAAGTACGTATCACCAATGACACTAGCAAGGAGTCCGAGTGAGTAGAGAAACAGAGGGAAGAGGAGGAGCGGATTGAGGCCATACGAGGCGTCGAGACCGAGAATGCGAGTTATAGCATCTGCTAGAACAAGCAGGAAGATGTTGCGCCAGTGATTTCTTGCGTCTCGCCTGAAGAAGTCCCACCAAACGTGCCACATTTCGAGGATGTGATAGCGAATGTCAGACATTTTCGAGATTTGAGAGATGTGGAGGAGATTCGGGAGGAGGTGAAGGTGGTATTGACGCAGTTGGCGGCGATCGAAACACCCTCTTTGTTTTACCTCTATGAGGGTCATGAACCAAGGGTTTGATGCCCGAGGATGGATGCCACAATTTGAGGAGGCTGAAAAACTGCATGCGAAGACCTTGCAAAATTTAGCGCCAAATTTCGAGGGGTTGAAGGTGAAAATATTTGAGGCTGCCTGAAGACGCTTTTAGTGAATCAAAGACTGCTGAATCTCACTATTTGGTGAGCTCATACCTACCGAAGGGGTCTTTAGATGGAATGGTTATACGTTCTTGGTTGGGGGAATTCCTGGCAAACTTGTGAGGGTGAAGCTACGGGGTGGTCATGCTTGCTTGCCTAAATTATGCACTTATAACACTTCACAAGATCTAACCCAGCACTAATTTAAACACATAAATGCTGAATCCACGTCATTTAGCTAGTGAATTTCTTTCAAATCAGTAAATCCTACTGATCTCTGTTCATTGGGGGTGTCAGGAATTTGAAGTGTTGACTGTAGTGGGATTGAAATAAGCGGGGTATTATCTTCAGCAGCATGTCAAAGAATATTTCCAAAACGCTAGAAAGAATATTGGAAAAATTACCAAAATCTTTCAAGGGAGTCAGAAAATTGTTTACAACGTGCAACTTAAACTTCTTGGGTGGGCTGTTATGGGCAAAACATGATTAAATGCAGTGAGAATGCATTTCATTTTTCTTCGAACCTAGTACATCGTGAGCTTCAGACCTGATCTCCAGATAATTAACCAATCAATACGTTATGTGGATAATAAGAAGTCTCTGGAGTGCTTACTTAAATCTCGGGTGTCTGTGAATCTGCGGTAGATGCCTCGCCTGATATGTTTCGCCGCCATCCTGCGCTAAAACAAGACGAGGCATGGATGCTCTTTAAGCACTTCCACTGCATTGATGCCAGATTACTCAAAGAAAACCAACAGGATGAATGCGAAGAATCAGAGAGCCAATTTTTGCCAAGCCCATGAGTTTCTCTCTCGGTGTCCAGAAAATGATATGGCAGTCCCGGTGACGGTGGTTAGCTACTCGCAGCGCGTGAAGATATCTTCAAGTGCATTGAATCAAGATATCGAGTAATTTTCAGTCAAAGTTAGTTGCCAAATTTCAAGTCGTTTTGTAAGGAAATCTATTGCTATGGGGTGTCCTAAGGGACTCGAGCAGTTGATCTCCTCATGAAGTCAAGCGCTACTCATCAATCAATGATCTGCTTCTTCCACTCCTGCTAGCCCAAAGTCGAATTTACTCCCTCTCAAATGTCTTTTCAATACAAACAGCAATGCATTGAAATATCCCGACACCCTTTTGCCCATCTTACTCTCTCTTCAGTCCAAGCTCAAACACGTTCCTTTGTGAAAATCAGTCCAACACAAACCAAAGCTATTAGAATATCCCAACAAGTTTGTGCATCACCCTCGCTCTTCATTCCAATCTCAAACAAATCCCCAGCACCACTAATCTCTGTTCAACACAGTTGCCGCACAGTTCATTGAAATATCCCGACAGTTTTGTCAATCCGAGGTCTTCTTCAAAGCAGGCTCGAACTTGCCATCTCCCCAAGTATCCATATTCCTATAGCAGCCTAAGTGGTTTTACCCCCTAAATTCGTCGCTCAATAACCTCCTCATCGGAGAACTTAAATCGGAAGTATCGCTTCTCGCCATTGCGTGGGTCGAGATAGCATTCGAATCCAATAGGAATTTGCTGCCAACCTCCACTTAGGATATACGATTTCGACTCTTCATCGTTGAACCCCAAGATGTCCTCAGTACGGCCCAACCGAATAAGTGGTCCAGTTCTTCCAAGAACGAAATAGTCACGAAGTCCAAAGATCAATTCGGTCGAGGGCAGCGTTGCCAAATCAGGGATGACCAGGTGCTCTAGGAGTGGGAAGTGCTCGTACAACTTCTTCACCAACACGCAAAGATCCTTTGGGTCACGGCCGTACACGACAGCAGTGTTGATCTTAAGCCAGCGGAGGTTGGTAGCTTGCTGGAACTTTGCCATGGTGGAGAACGAGAGGAGGTGTTCAGCGAGGCTTTGGAAGTCCTCCCAGCGCTCGGTATAGGTGTCTTCGACAAAGGGTCTGGCGGCGTCAAGCCATGTCTTCAACTTGCGAGTGAATGGAATAGGACGAGTGTTTGAGCCTCTTTCAGTCTTCTTGTACTTGTGATAAAGGAACATCTGCTGAGTCGGCAAGATGACCCTACAGTAAAAGTCAGCATTCAAGCTCTGGAGTAGTGCGAGGGAGGGTCATTTACTCTTTTTCCAGCGTCAGACTTCCCATCCAGCGGACACGGTGGGCTGGGAATTTATCAATGAAGTAATCCAGGTTGTATTGAGAGATGACCAAGTTGCACCCACGGTAGTAGCACTCGACCACCTCTTGGTAGTACTCTCGGCTACAACGCATGGCAACGACAAGGGCCGGTGACTCATTGCGAACTTGTGTCGTGCCTTTGAAATAGTAGTTGTAGATCATACATCGGACTTCTGCAGAGAGGTCTTTGAGAATATACGAACTAGCAGAGGCAGGGAGAGCCGCAGTGACGCGTTGGATATCTGGTTGGGTGACCGCGTTCAATGAAGATCGCATCTCTGCCTTGTCACCTTCTTTTGCAGCAACCAATCTCTGCAAGAAGGTCTTTGGATTTGCTTTCTTCACGACGTTATGACAGATATTACGAAACCACACCCCTTCGATGATAAAACGGAGAGGCGCATCGGACGCGTTTGTCACCACTTCCAGTTTCTCCTGGAACTTGAACGGTCCTTGAGAAGCTTTTCGGGGTGCTTGAGGAACACCTTTCTCCATGGTGGCAATCGGCAACTGTTGCTTGTTGCTGGTGGTAGTTGTTGTTGTTGTTGATGAGGGTCGACTTGCTGCCGCGATCAGGACTTGCTGGGTAGGCACGATCGACGCGTTTTTGACGTCCTTGAAAGTGGATTTGTCTTTGAATGTTTTTCTGAGGTACAAAACGAAGAAGAAGTTTCTTTAGGAAAGTGGTTGATTGCAGGTAGGTGTTGTTGAAGAGTTTGTGTGAATTGGTGCCTTGAAGAGGAAGATGTTGGACGCGGACGCGGATAGTAATACCGTGTCCATGATATAGTCCCGGAGCGGAGGACTAAATAATTCTCCCCCCTTAAACGAAAGCGCTAGAGGAATGGCCAAAGGACGCTAAGAAACAAGTTCCGACCTAGGTATCTTGCAACGATAAGAATAGGTTACCGAGCTCTGATGTCTGAAGGTGAAGATATATAAAAGATGAAGAAGGGCTCATGGTTGTAAAACACCAAAGACAAAGGGAAAATGATCTCTAGAAACTGCGTGGAAGGGTGAGAGAACTGAAGCAGATCTTACAAAGGCGAATAAAAACCTGAAAGACTTAAAGACATGGCTTTCGCTCAGTTTTGCCATGGGAGAAACATACCTCAACTGAGCAAGTCTGTCCATTACACTTGGAAATTGGCTAGCCATACTTTTGCTTAGTTAAAGGGTGGAGGAACACAAGGCCTTAACCGAAGTCCTGAAGAGTGAGGATGATTGAGTGAGCTTGTGAGCAAGCCTTCACGTGACTCGCTTAAAATGTCAATATTGACAACAGTCAGGAGTCATCGCTTGCAAAAGAATTAGAAATGATCATCCCCAAAAATCATACACAGCCCGAGTAGCTCAATTCATATCACCTTCTCATTTAATTATATGCAGCACCAGCCAAGTTTCCCACAAGGCTGGCTGGGTAGGTAGAGGCGCTCTCGCCAAGACTTGATTTTAAATTCTGAAAGAAGATGCCGGGTTTTCGTTCTGTCAATGACATCTTAAACACTGGCTTATGCTTGCTTCTTTAGATCAATCTTCCAAGTAGTATCGATTGTCATTCATGTTTGCGGTACCTCAAACAACGGTGTTTTCCACAGCCCAAACACATCTCCATGCCGTCCTTCTCCCGCCGCCAACACCAAACCACCCTCTCGATATCCTGTCTTTGCATCAAACACCTAGTCCTCAATCTCCTCCGACGCTTTGCTCACAGGAAGCAGCTTGACCAACTTCTCAGTCTTAACACGTTTCGTCAACATCTCCTGCCCTTGAAAACGACGAAATACTGATTGCGCAAACGGGAACAAACCCTCCGTACTCTGCACCTCAAACTCCATAATCAGAGTCTGGAGCCTGATTGCTTTCCTCATATCTGAATTCTGGGTGCGGTAGAAGAGGGATGTATAAAAATGGAAATTGATTGGATATGGCGGGCGATTGTTGGTGAGACTTTTGCTGCGCTCATGGCTGAGGTGGAGGCTGGGTACGAATTAGTGATATGGTACTTTTGGTTATTGTATATCATATTTAGAGGGGGTTCGGGGCTTGGGGTTTTAAGGGAAGCAGGAAGGAGGTCGCCGGTACCCAAGTCTTGGAGTCATATGCCTGATCATCTTTGACATCTTTCACAGAGGCTTCGTTCTCGACATCATCAAGTGAGAGCGTGAAGTCGCAAGTCTCGTCGTTAGGTGCGCAAATCTATTTGGAGGGCTCTGGGAAGGTTTGAATAGCAGCGGAACTGACGGGAGAAGTCGCCATTTGCAAAGAGAAAGGTACGTCAAGGGGAGTGAACTGTTCACGCCCGTTCGTCAATACGAGCGGTTGACCAATCGGGCGCTACGATTGGTCAATCGGCCTTCCGATTAATCAATCGTAGCTCCCATTGATCAATAGGAAATGGAATACGATTCGCAAGCCACAGTGGGTCCCGATTGATCAATAAGGGGGCCGATTGATCAATCGGGTAATATTGGGGTTTCGGGGCTGAGGAGGCTGAAACCCTTTAGTTCTCAGTATGTAATAATATATCCTCAAGACTAATGGCTGAAACCCTTTAGTTCTCAGTATGTAATAGGGGTAAAGACACTTCTCCAGAGCTTCTAGATATGTATAGGGCCTCTGCTCCCTTTTTACTACCTAGACACAGTTCACAGCACATAGTTCACAGTATAAGCACCTACTTTCCAAGCACAATTACTGATTCTATATATCTCCCAATCAATTACCTTACTTCCAATATGTCTCTTTCAACCCTTCGTTCATCTCCAGCCCCACGTACACCTCGTCAACGTATCTATGGCCGAGCAGAGCAATATTTTGATATTACTGCACCAGGAGCACGTTCCTCTGGCACTCAGTTTTTGCCCTCCCCTATTACTGAAGACCCTACTGATAATTGGTCCGCTGAAGACGAAGCTGCATGGGATCAAAGGCTTGCTAAGGGCGGTAGTAGGAAAATTCTTACTACTAGGAAGCGTATGGATATCAGATGGTAGTTGCAAAATCCTGATGCTTCACTCCCTAGTAGAACAAAAGCAGAGAAGCGCTACCAGGCTAATATTAAGCACGAATCCCAATTATACAAGCTTCAGGATAATCAGGTATATCGTAAGGAATACCACGATACCCGCCGCAATGAGATTATTCCAGCCCGGTATACCCTTTGCTATAACAATGCCTTTGAGGTTTTGACTACTGTTCATGAGAAATTAATGCATACAGGTAAGTACCCCTTGAATTTACTAATTTTTATACTAATAACCTATATAATAGCCTTTAATACTACATTTGAGCATACAAGACGTATTTGGCATGGCCCATCCCGTAACGACCACGCTTGGATAAGTACCCGCTGTACTCACTGCAATAAGGAAAAGGCTCAGAAGAATCCTAAGGGGATTACACCTATCCAATCTCATTATCCTGGCAAGCGTATGGTTCTGGATTTAATGGATTTTCGTATAAGTATCCCTTAAGTCATGTGATTTACCCCTATATTCCTGTATTTCCTGCATTTCCTGCATTTCGTACGTTTCGTACGTTTTTAAGCTTTTCCTGCGATTTTCGCAATTCCTGCGATTTTCGTAAATTCCGAACCTTTTTATTCACACTTCATTAATACTATAGTATTACTATTACTAATACTATTATAGCATGATCGGGACGGAGAATATACGTGGATCTGGCAATTGAAATGCCACTTTTCTAAGTTCGTATAGATCCGTGGGCTTAAGGCTAAGACTGCGGACGAAGCTGCGGACGAGCTTATTAAATGGCTAAATAATAATGGGTATATTTCCATTTTAGCCTGTAATAATAGGGGTGAGTTTAAGGGGAAAGTAATTGAGATTTGCAAGAAGAGAGGGATAAAGATTATTCGCGGACGAGCTTATCACCCTCAATCTCAGGGCTCTATTGAAGTGGCTAATCGAATCTTCAAAAAACGACTACGGGCCGTACGAGCGGATACTGGTATCCAATCGTGGATACAGTTACTTCCTTTAATCGCATGGGTAATTAATACCACAGCTACACCAGCTCTTCCTAAGGGAAATACACCATACGAGGCCTGGTTTGGACGAAAGCCACCTACTGATTTCCTAGACCATAAGGAGAGTGCTCGCCGCGCACGTGCGGCCCTAGGGGCTATAGGGCCTATGGAAGGTACTACTGAGAGTAGCGCTTCTGGAGAGGATGGAGAGGATAGAGAGAATAGAGAGAATGGAGAGAATAGAGAGAATGGAGAGGATGGAGAGGATAGCTTTTTCGTGGATGAGGAAGCAGAACAGGAGGAAGTAGCTGAGGAGATGATTTTATCTGAGCTAACTAGGAGGGTTGCGGAGCATATGAGAAAACAGAAGGAGAATATGGTAAAGAGAGCGAATTCCAAAGCTCTTGAATATGATATTCAAGAGATTGCAACCCTCCAGATCCCAAAGCAATACAGATTCGGTACGGAAATGGCTAGAATTCCAGTAAGAGTTCTGGAAAAGACTCCAAAGGTATGTAGTTTATAAGCCTTACTTTTAATAAAAGCTAATTAAAATAGGGCTACCGCTTAGCTACTAAGTATGGCGAGCTTACTACTCTCTGGCCGCATAGTACCCTCAATAAAATCACCTCCCAATCAACTTATCCTGATTTACCTACTACTGGTGCAACCCACAAGAGGGATAAAATCACCCTCCCTAAAGCGGTAGCAAAGGAGAATAATCGTGGTTCAATTGCATCAGTTCAGAAGGCTGGAAGAGCATCTGAGAGAGCAAAGAAGAGAGTAGCTGAGGAGCAAGCACGTGAGAATGGAGCTAGAGAAGGAGGAGAATCAGGTGATCAAGTGGAGGGGAGGGTACCAAAAAGGGCTAGGGTAGCTATAGGAGCGCCTAGACGTAGTAGGAGGCATGTATAGTAAAGCTTTTGCTATTCCCGAGACCTCAATATTAGCCGATTGATCAATCGGCCCCCTTATTGATCAATCGGGACCCACTGTGGCTTGCGAATCGTATTCCATTTCCTATTGATTAATGGGAGCTACGATTGATTAATCGGAAGGCCGATTGACCAATCGTAGCGCCCGATTGGTCAACCGCTCGTATTGACGAACGGGCGTGAACAGAACCACCCTTATCTGTCGATTGAGGATTTGGAGATATGTTTCAAGAGCTACGTGGAAGGTATTTCTGAATTTCGCGCCTGCTGCCTATACACCACCGTTTTCTCCCGTAACATCTTGTCTCAATTCTTTGTCTGAAAGAGGCCAGGGACGGCACAATACCAATGAAAACCACCGTGATGTTGCGGAAGCTTTACTAAGTGGTTCTGAGTAGGCTAATGGCATCTTAAGTCCTCAGGGTGTAAATCCTATTGCTGCAATCATGATGCCAGCATCAGATTTGCCATCCACATGACATGCAAATCTGCATTCGCTCATTCCGGCATTGGGAGGCGGCGGACAGAAAAGGCGGCAATCATCTTAACTGGGCCAAGTTCAATGGGAACATTTGATTAGAGTGGAGAGGGGATGAAATCAATTTTTTTCTAGAATTTCCGAGTTTTATATACGGAGATGTCCAAGATCTCGAAGCCAGAGGTCCCTTGGGTACCCAACCCCCACCCCAGCTCCCCTGCATAAGAAGGGATCTCTTCTTCCCCTCCTTGCTCAGCCAAATACACTCAAATCCAACCCCGAGAATCTTCCCTCTTTTTTCCTCTGCATAGCTGTTCAATGGAATCACCTTCTTCTTCGTAGCGAATTCCCTTTCCTCCTCCTTCAACGAACATCCTAGGGTGCGCTCCGCCAAACCGCGCGCCTTACACAAACCCTTACTTCTTCTAAGTGAGGAAAGAAGAGGTGCATCAAGTCTACAAGCTCCAGCACACCTCTCGCCAAGTGTCACATCGATCGCACCAATTTCATGGTAAGTTGGTAACAGTTTCGTCAAAATCTTTTTCCTGGGTCGTGGACCAGAGTGTGAAGTTATAATGTTTGTGATATGGTTTCAAGACATCAGGATACAAATCAAGTCGCTAACGAACGGCAGCTGGAAGGCTGGAAGACTGTGAATGAGAGTATCGGGAGTACTTGGAGACGGCGGTGAAATATTTTTTGAATATAATATTCTGGATTTCAAGAGGAGGTTGAAGGTGCTCGAATATCCCTGATCGTCGGAAGTCGTATTTGTCTGTTTGTGCTGGGGGAGGAGGAAGCTTCCACAGGTCGTTCAGATGGGGATTACGTCTGTGAGACCGCGACCGAGCTCTCGGCGGGCTATCAGGAAGAGGGTTCCTAGCAATATTCCATTGGTCCATGCTGGCAAATGCAGCCCCAAAGGATCTTGCTAGGCCGCCTCGCACATTCGGTTACGGCTGAGGAGATACTGCATCATCTCCATCGTCATTCATGGCGTGCTGCTGGTCTTTCAGTCTCGTTCGAGGAGCCATGGTTCAAGAGGGTATGTTGTACGACGATGTCGAAAGCTCGTAGGCAGTGTTCGTTGGATGGGAAGAAAGTCAAAGTCCTGGGAGTAAACAGGTATAGAAATGAAGAAATAGATTTGCTGTAAATACGGGGGGATTCGAAGAAGAAGCAGATTTGTCTCGAAAGTGTTGGAAGATGCCAGGTAAGACTCCGTTCTTGTGGAGAAGGAGGGATACAGAAGAAAGATCAAGAAAGAACGGTAGGGGAAACTTTTCAGGAAGCGACGCCCTTGTTCGGGAAGTTTCGTCCTCTTTCAGGAGTAGACACTTGCCAAAATACAGACTCCACTTTGTGAAGGGTCATCGTGCCTCAAAAATCCTCTTTCTCGTTCATCATTGTGTGCATGAAGGAAGTCCCGAAAAAGACCTACTGAAGACCGGAAGCAACCTCTTCACATTGGAGGCTCATCTCTTGTGGCGACCCATGTTCCAGATACAGCTGCTGATCTCAAAAATCCAGCCTCGCAGGTTCATCAATATCCCGTAAAATGAGCCAAGGGGAAGCGAACTTATCCAAATCAATAGTTTCCAATCTTTTTCCTTCCAATTAAGTCGTCTCCAATCATCACCCTCCTCTTCTCCATACCAAAAAATCTCCCGCCCTATCCTTTCCCAGCCACTGATACTTGAACCCCAAACCCCGATCCTTTCCCTCAAACTTCTCCATATGCGTAGCCACACTTGTCAACTGCACCTTCTCGTCAAACTGTTCCGCCTCCTTCTCCAACGACAGACTGTAATGCGGATGATTCTTGGCGTGGGGCGACTGGGTGGCGTAGACAATTAGTCGGGTAAGGCAGTGGAAGAAGCGGAATATCAAATCCACAAATGCGAGTACTCCAGGGCTCCCGTTCCGGAATAAAGGCGAGGATATAGACGCAGGTTGACACTGATGCTTCGGAGCCCTAGCGCCTGATGGATCTTCGTGTCGAAAGGGTTGTGCCACACCACTTCGACGAAGTGGTGGATGGAAATCACGATACACACGGAACGACGGATGTCCCTCCTCACCAGATGGACGCGAAAGTCTGAGAGGTTTGGGTGGTACTGGATGCATCCCTTCCATATCTCCCTGGCCGATCGTTAGGTGTCGAATGGATCGAACCAGCTCCATCGAAACGTTCTCATCAAAATCTTCTTCGTTCTTGTACCGGAGGAGGAAGTGTTATTCCCGATGGTAGATCTTGAGAACCTCGGGATAGAGGTTAGGTCGGTGACGCATGGCAGCTCGAAGATTTCGTGGCTGAGGGGGAGTGATCTGTCCGTGGTTGGAGATTGCGATAAACTCTCAATACTGTACATTATATTTCTGATCTCAGGAGGAAGCTTCGAAAGCTCGAATATCTCTGATGGAGAAACCTCTTCCGCGGAAGCCTGCGAATGTGTCCGTTGCTTCGGATCGCCGTTCGTGGGCCCGATGCCTCCGGCTCTCGGACGTTGAATTGTCGTTGGCAGCAGCTGAGGAGGCTGTTTGGCAGGCAGACTTGCAGACTTGCGACGGAGTGACATGTCGAAATCGGAATCGTCGCTGGATTTAGAGCGGTAGACGGACGCGGTGCGAATTCGGGGCGGACTCGATGCATGGGTATTTTTGCCTGAGAAAGTGGCTTGCCCGGAATATTCCTTGGGACCAGCTGGATACGTAAAAACCCTCGACTGCTAAAGCACAGCAAGCTCCTAAAATAAATGCCGAGTCCCTGACAAAAGCAAAACAAGAAATAAAACCACACTAGCGGCCTCCCTTCCCCTTCCTTTCTAGAGAGCTAGTACATTCCTTCTGTAAAAGGAAAGAGGCGATTCCCGAGAACACAAGCCACCCCCTTTCTAAGCGAGCCAGCCTCTTTAACATTCTTCCGCAGACTCGAACCTCATCGTTACACAGCTTCCCTCGAAAATCTCGCACTCGCTCACCAGTTTCAAGCCCCACCTGGGGCCTGCTCATAAACACATGTGGCAAAACCCCAGAGTCTGGATCGCGTGTTCTTTCACCCAAACCTCCAACCACCTCTCACAGCAAAAACATCTTCCCTTCAACATCTCTTACTCTCACCATGCCTAAGTCCCAACTAGGGAGTAGTTTTCAGGAACACATATGCAGAAACTCGGAGTCTAGTTTCCACTCCTCGTCTCGAATCTGGCCTCTCTTTTTCTCTTTCACTCTCGAATCACGAGTCAGCAAGAGAAAGCTCCATACGGGAAGAAGCCTGGGGTAGAAAATTATGTGAGTCCTCCAGATGAGGAAGAGGAAGAAGCAGTGGAACAGGAGGAGGGGAAGGAAGACACGACGCAACGAGGTTAGGAGGGGAGCAAGTGTTCCTTGCTTGGAATTACTTCGAATTGGCACTTGCTGCTAACTCTCTGCTGATTTAGAAGCACCTGAAAAGCTAATATCGACACTGTAGACTCCATTCTCAAATCAGCTGTGGTATGTAGGCTCCCTGCCCAAACCTCTCGTTTCAACTCACAAACATATCACGTCACAAGCAACTTGTTGTCCCATTTTCATGCCTTGCACTCCTCCTACTCGTATCCTCTACCCCAGATCCGCCTGAAATCCAACAAGACTAGCAATAGCCTCCAGAACCTCCTCCGGATCCTCCGTCCAATCGTCGTCTTCCTCTTCTTCACTATCGTAATCCGCCCCACCATCGAGATGATCGTTGATTTTCCAGAAAGCCGTTGGGCCTGCTGGGCCATGGACATCGTGGTCCCTTTTGACTGTCAGCTCCACCGCAAACCAAAAATTCTGTTCCAAAAGGATAGACACACTTATCAAACCAATGCCCCAGCACTCCTCTCGCGGACCTCAAACCCCCAACCTGAATCCCCTCACTCGCCCACCTCTCCTCGCCCCCATAAACACTAACACTCTGCCACCTGACCTCGCCTTCCTTTGTCAACCTCACACTGCCCTTAATCCTCGAATTCGCATGCGGCTCCCACTGCGCATGCATACTCTTCGCCGTGCCCTCGAAGAACACCACCGGTAATTCCTGGCCATCGTCTGGGCCCGGGGCTTCGGTGCGGGTGGGCCGGATTTCCATGGATATGAGACGGATGGCTTCGTTTGTGTTGAGCGGTGGCCGTGGGGAGGTGGAGGGGAGGGAGTCCGTGTCCGACGAGGTGAAGTTGTAGGCGAAGAGGTCGTGGAAATCTTCCTCATCAGCATTTCAGCCACTCCAAACTCAACATCCCGCCAGTGCCCAAAGGGGCTGGAAAGAAACGGGAGGGAAGCAATCATACCAAGAAAACAAACAACCCTCATCCACGTCCCCTGCACCCCATACGGGTCCACGACACCTTCCTCCACCGCCTCGGGAATACCCTGCATTTCCTCATAACTCCCGGGACTCGCCCCAACCCACGGTTCCCTCCACACACTCCTCGGCCCGAACACGCCATCCCTCTGCTCGGTGAAAACCCGCAGATTCCACCCGAGAACAATCATAACCGCCTCCAGCTTCTCCCAATCCACGCTCGCCTTCCCATCCTCCAGATACGGGCCCCAAAGACTCTCCTCTTTATAATTACGCAAATCGTAGACCATGGACACGGCGTAGGGGTACACTTGGGCGTACCTACCGCGCCGGGGATAGAAGATGGGGGTGCCGTACTGGACGTGCAATTTTGCGGAAGCTTGGCGGTCGGCGAAGGAGGGAGTGGGGAGAGCGGTGGTGAGGCGGGAGCGGGAGAAGGTGATTGATTGGCAGAGGAAGGCCTCAATATTGTCCCTCTTCTCCCTGTCTCTTTTATCGTCGAACCATTCCCGCATCACGGCCATGTTTTTGGAGTCCTTAGGGGAAGCGGTCTGCAGCAGCTTCGTCGCGAAGCTCGAGATGGTCGGGAGTCGAGCGACCTGTGTTGCTGTCAGTATTGATATGTGAGGAGGGGAAGGCGCCACCCCCACCTTTTCCTCGACCGAGCTGTCATTTTTCAGAATCCTCTGAACCCTCACAAACTCATGGAGTTCGTGCTCGAAATCAAACTCCTTAACTCCTTCGTCATTGCTCAGGCCCTTCTCCTTAGGCTCATCCTGTAACCATCAGCCTCGTCCACGTTCGACTTCAGTGGTGCCTGCCACCCCAGAAACCAATACAAACGAATCGATTCGACTTACAAGACTCAAACACCAAATCTCCTTACACAGCAACCGATCCTGCATAATACTCCTATGCAGCATGCGGCACGTCTTCGCGATGCGTGCGAGATCGACGGGGTTCACATATTTGAGGATATTATGGACGATCTCCGGGGGGAGACGAATCAAAGCATTTGCCATATCCTCAGTTGCCTTCCTCTCTCTCCTTAACCCTACCCCTCTCTGAACCAAGTGCAGTAGAACTGAAATTTGAGATCCGTGGAGAGAATGTTGACAGATGCAAACGAGCAGATTCTCGAAAACGTGTAGAATTTGGAATTTTTTGCTGGGGGAGTGACAGTTTTGCGAACGATGATGATGACGCTCGTTGTCAAACCACGCCAAACTTAATACCGAGTCCTCCTCCGAGCCCTTATCACCGGGGAGGTAGGGGGTAGCGTCTCGGTTGGAGGGGAGGAGGCGGAACTGCACATCATTGGCCCGAACTCTTCCCTCCCCTTCACACGTTCTGTCCTCTTCTGTCACAGTGTCCCCATTGAAAATAAAAATAATCCGTAAGTTCTGGAAATAGTAGGACAGTTCAATCCTCTCTCTTCGAGTCAGTTAAAGGGAACCTCCGGTTTTGATGGCGGCCGTTTGAGCTTACTTACTGCTGTTTCACTAAGAGGCGGTTAAGGACCACATCACGTGGCGATACATCTGCCGGTACGTACCCCTTCCATGATCACGGATAAATCATTTCATTTGGGATCCCTAGTGATGGTTCCGTCAGTGCGGTGCAAAACCCTGGTATTGGCTACGTCAACGATGGGAGGGGTGCTGTAAGGCAGATAGGTTACACAGAAACTCTCTCTTTTTTATTTATTTTACATACATTCGAAGAGCCGAGCTCGAGGAAGAGCGTGTGGAAACTTGACACGTCCAGACGAGCATACGGACGCAAGTTCGTGTGGGGATATGAAGATTTGATATTAGCAAGCATGCTGCGTTGCAATGAAAGGCGCACTGAATGCCTGTCTGTCCTCGAACTTGCGGTAATGAAGATTTGTTTGGGAGAAAGAAGTGCCTACTGAGAGGGAGAGCCTTTCATGAGCCCTCCATCTCAGTCATCAATGAATTTTTTAGCTATCGTACTCTATCTTGCCACCTCGTCCCGTCCCGCAACTCTGAACCTAGAGTTTCAGGAAATAGGGAGGGGGCCAAAATCAGACCTACATCATACTCGTGCCTGATCTCCCAAGATGTTATATCCCCGATTCATGTCAATAACGAAATAATTTGGCATCCAAATCGTTGAGTCGCCGAGCCACAGGCATAAATGAGACTCGAGACTGCGACACCTACGTTGCAAGAAAGGACAATAGTGAGCTGAGGCAGACCCATCGGACTCGGAAGCGCTCTCAGCAGCCGAACCATGACCCCTCCTGAGCTGCCCCTTTCCAGCGGGTGAGGCGAAGCACAATCAACCCCTCACCCACAAACGGCACCCCCACCAAACACCAAAGTAAACCGCACCCTTTACTGTACCGTTTGCTGTACCTGTACCATGTACGTATGGAAGCGTGCCCGGATTTCCCAATCCCGGTCTGGCAGAAGGGAACGAGACCAACCTCTCATTCGCCAATCCGTCCGCCTCTCTCATCCTCATAAACGTTCTCCTCCCGCACATGAACGGGAAAAAAAGGGGGTGGGGGAACCGTATCCCCAATCAATCAATGATCATTCCTCGACCCCCGAAAATACAGAACGGGAGCGGGACAGACCCAGCCCTTGCCCAGCCGTGAGCCGAACGAAATACCCACAGGAGGACCGCGAACGCGAAGAAGGCACCTGCATCCGCGCACATCTGTTGAGCCAGATCCAGGACCTTGGTCTTTAAGGAGATGGACGAGATCGCGACAGGAAAAAGGAACTGACAGAAAAAAAAAATATGGAATGATGCTGGGAAAAGCTCCGTACCGAAGCAACTCCGCATCACGGCTCCAGCTATCCGTGAAGGGGAAATCTATGGTTGGTGAGATCTAAGACTTGACATGTCCCGACTCCCGTCCGCTCAGGAAAAAACGTCCACTTGAGGAATCTCGACGTCGTTTGGAGCGCAAACGACTTTCACGCCCTCCACACCGCTCCGTAAGCACATGCATTCGTGAAATCTGACAGTCCAAGAGCACGCCAAGGTGTTGACACAAGCCGTGTTGTTTCCCAACAGGGGCCGTCATTCCCTGGATATGGGTATATTACCGGCGCTCAGCCACGACACCTTTAACCAACATTAAAGGCCTTTCGATCGTAAAGGGGGCGGGCCGCTCCTCCCACCTCACCGCAGTAAATGCCCGAAGACGGGGTACAGGCAAGAAAAGTCACATTCCCTACCCGCATCGCATGAATGGACTTCGTACACTTCGGACAAGGGATTGATGAGTCATATTCCCCGTTTGGCACTATCCTGATCCAGAAGGCGTGTCGTCGCATCTTAAGAGAATCGCAGAAAATAACCGAAAGGGGGGGGGAAGACACCACGAAACCTAACCTGCGAAGGAAAATCTGACATGTGTCAAGGGCTTAGCAGAGGCAAATATTGCTTTTTGCGCGCCGAGCCATCAAATCAATCGGCGCGTGCCGAGTACGATCCCCTCGCCCTCGTTTATGCCTGCCGTTCCGTTTGAAGAAGAGAAAGGCAGAGTTGCAGGGCGTGATGCACACACATCAAGCGAGTCGGCGAATCAGCGCGTTATCATCTGATCAAAAAACGTACCGAGTGATGCACTCCTGCGGTTTGAGATGCAATGCGGTGTTTTGATGTGGTGATGTGTCTGTAGGGTAGACCGCATTCATCCAAGCCGCCGCCACAAAGCTTGGGGGTGATGTCGATAGGGGGTGCGATATAAATGCACACTTTCTGGAGCCAAAACACTTTTGACGTTGACTGCAGAGCACGGTGCCTTCGCCGAGTATGAGATCCTCGTCAAATTGGCAAGGCAAAATTGCCCCTACTCGGTAAGAACATTCGCTGCGTAAAAGGAATAATCGGTGACAGATCCAAGTTGGGCGAATCTTGCGATTACGTCGTGCCCGGTCTCTCACATCCACAGGGACGCTGCTGCATGCACAGAAGAGTCTCCGCAACGCCAGCCTTGCGCTCGGCCCATGGTGGTCAGCACTCTGAGCGAGCCTTTCACCCCTCGTTTTTCCCTTGACATCGGGTCATCAGCCCGATCTACTGGCGTCGTCTACATTCCTACCTCATGAGAGCATCGGTTACTTCGGAAATGATGATGCTGTTTTCCTTGGTGCTGCTGCACGCTGAGTCAAGATCTGGGCAGCCGTGCATCAAACCAGGTTATGGCCATGCCATCGCGGGGTCGGTTCGAAGAGGGGCTTCCCGAAGCTCCATTATTCTCAACAGCTTCAAGGAAATCTTGCAGCGGCGCCAGATGCAGTGGCAAGGGACACAGACCAGCTCCATAAATACATCCGCCAATGAGTAAGCATGGCAGTGCGGCATCCGGACGAGTGCTTCAAGTGAAAGCTTTGGTGTCGCGTCGAACAAGTGTTGTATGCCTGTTTCCAGGTGTCGCTCGCTGCTGAAGGAATCAAGCGGTGTGCCACTCCCTTTCCGGAAGGAGCAGTCTCCCAACGAAGGGTCACAGCGTTTATGCCTCAAGGTCGGCGGGAATACGTCGGGCTGTCTAGCTGCGCTGGCGAATATCCGGTCAGCAGGCGGAGGCACTGCGCTGGTTAAATACTTCGATATAGCTGGCTATTGTCCCATATTCGCTGGGACAATGCTGTAGCCGGTGCACGCGAGGCACTCGGATACACTGGGGCTAGGCAGGCTGGCACACAGGAAGGCCGCAACAGCCAACGGAGACGAGACGATGGCGATTTTGCTGGTCGGCCCGCTGCAGGACGGTTTGCTTCCCAGCGCACCCCAGTCCCCTCCCCCTCCTCCCTCCTCCCTCCACCCCCCTCCCCCCTCCTCTCCCTCCCCTCCGCAGCCCGCGTGGTGATGCTCGCCAAGCCTTGATTTGCCTGCAGCCCCGCCGAGGCCCCGCGCCCAATCAGCCACGACCCTCGCCGTTGGGCGCCTCTCGCCATCGACGAACTGTGCGAGTCCTGCCCAGCTGAGCGCGCAAGGGATTCGCAGGGTTGTGGCCAGGATTGCCTGGGCAGTTGAGTCCAGCTGAATGGCTACTGGGAGAACTAACGACGGCGTTGGATTCGCTACGGCGCGATGGTTGGATGCCACATTCGCTGGCCACCGACACCCACTACTCCACCATCTCCACCACTTCCCCCCCCCTGGTGCTGCGGGCGTGGAGCAGCGGGCCTTTGCGCGATGGGGACTGGCCAGCGAGCGCACCCGTGCCGACGTGCATGCGATGCTTGCACAGATGCATGGTGGCCCTGTCTTCTCGTTCCGCACCGCTCTTGCGGGCGGGAATGCAGCAATGCAGCAGAGACCGGACTAGAGCAGTTACTCGCATGAGATTTTGGTCTTGTGACTTCTGGAGCCACTCATGTCTGGTGGGCGGTGTGACGGCCAGGAGCGAATGGGGCGCCCACGATGTCGCTACCATCAAGACTCGCGCGGTTGTGGTCGCGTTGGGTGGGGTTTGCTTCCCGGGAAAGGGTGCCAGACGCAAGATGCGTTGTCTCTGTAAGCCCATGCTCAAGGGTGGTCGCACTGAGGACTTTAAATGTTGGAAAAAGGGGGCCTGTGGTTTGTCGAACCGAGGCCTGATCCAAGGGGCAGCATCCCGCGCGGAAGGAGAAGCTTATTAGCTTGCGCCATAGGGTCCCGACACTCTGTTCTGCAACTCCAGCCGCCAGATCAGCGCTCCTACGAGCTACTCCAGGGAAAATGCGAAGAGAAACGTACATAACATGCAGCTTGCTCAAAAGAAACACCTGTAGCATGTGCTTCATGTCCTTATGCGGCGTGTCGACCACTGACTGGAGTCCGTCTCTGTGGTGCTTGGGGTGTACACGAGCCGGATCGCCGATCATCGTTTTAAGAAAAATTGACATTCGATCAATTTTCTGCTTTCTGTTCCTCATGTTCCTAAGCGCCTGCGCCGCCAACTTGGCAGCTCTTGTGAAGCATAGATGAGCACTCGGCTCCCTTCCCCTTATCCAGGTGCTCCTGGCGCTTCCAGCTTCTTAATTCGAGTCCAGTATCATATCTCACAACTCCCTGAGACCCGACGTATTTCCTGCCGAGAGACTTCTTCCCTAGAACGAACAAGTGATAAAAAACAAAAAAGGGTTTTCCAACATTCCATTTCGTGTTCGATGTCTCAGAAGTGCCACTGGGGGCTGAATCTGATGGCGCTGAGACTCCCACGTCACTGGGAATGGGACTCGGTCAGACCCTTTCCGAGATTAGGGATCTGGCAAGATGGAATATCTTAAGAACGAAGAACGAACAGTAGAACATGGCTAGATTGTTGAGCGGTTTCGGCCCGGCTGGTCATTCCTTTCGCCAAATGCGGTTGCTTTTGACGTTAGCATCGAGACCCATGAACCAGGGTCAGGGTGATCGTCTCTCGGGTCGTGCCTTTGCCTCCGGTCTGCTGTGGAACGCTCGTTGATTTTAACCAGAGAAATTCGCACGCCCTTACCCCTCACCCCCCAAAACAGTGTAGCATGTTGATGATACCAGCTAGAATCCATCCAGGCAGTGCTGGCCCTTCTGACCAACTCTGTACGCAGAAGATAGCACTGTGTCGAATCAAGCGGTGTGTTGTCTCCGTTTGCTTCTCGAATGTTGGTGTTTCGTGTGACAAGCTAGTTGGCTCCGCCCAGGTCGTCATGAGGGGAATAGCGACGGGATTCCCGCTCCTCCCGCCTGTGGTGATCCTTCGTTTGCTTCGGCAGCAGCCTCGTTTGGTCCTGGAGCTCGAGGAAGGGGTAAAATTGGTAGACGGCAGCCTCGCTGAGCATGTAATGGTATTGAAACAGAGACAGAAGGTAGTGGTTGACATGAGCAAGCTCATACGGAGCAATTCTTTGCAATGCAGCCCTGGAAGAAAACTGACCAGTTTCTGACACTAGATTTGTCGAGACAGTCTGGGCGAGTTTGCTGATGACTGTATGAAATCATCCCACAGATATTGACTACAAGCTTGCCTGACTTTTGCTAGGTTCAATGCACTTATTCTCCCACTAATGCACCTGTCAGTGGGATCTAATATCTTCTGAGGGCCTCCGAATAGTCCGTGCCCCTCCCCCGGCGTTAGACTCGGTAGCTGTTTATCTTCATCATTTGAAGTTAGTCGAAGAAGGGTGTCCGCACTAGGATCAAAATCTGCACGCGCCTGTGCTTCTCCGCTCCCCGCGTCTTTTTTTGCACGAGGCGGAGCGGGCCTTTGGTCCAAAGGAGTGGCTTCTCGAGGAGGGTGATCAGAGTCAGCCACATGCCGCAGTACGGATGCGGGCAATATAACAATGCCCGTCGATAATGAAGCGGGCCTGATGGCTCCTGAAGGAATTGTGGAGAAGACATTGAGTGCTGTGCGTCTCATATGCACTTGATAGATTTCCATGCCATGATGCCAGACCAGGGAGAAGATGTGCGTGGACGGACCGTAGCGTGTCGTCCTTGCTTGTGAAGTGCAGCGTCCAAATTGCCCTGCCCTTAGCCGTTTGCCTGCTCTGAGCATCTGATGCCTGCTATAATAAGATGCCCTCCCTTGAGCGTCTTCATTCCATCCTGTAGGGGAGCCTAGCACGATTGTATTTGTGCTGATATTGAGTTATTAAAACCCGAGGCTCGCACTTCTGGACCTGTTGTTGCGCCTTTCTCGCCAGCACGGTTGGCCCCTTTCGATACGGCAACGAAAACCTCCTCCCGTCCGGCTACCACTGCCACCGTCATTCTTCGTCTTGCCGCGTCCGGAGGCGACGTTTACGTGCCGTGGTCTGCCGAGATCATTGTCACTGCTGGTAGCCTCCAGACACCGTTACTGAGCTCCGGAGTGACCGCGGACGGCTAAATTGGGACGACTTCAGCTCTCCTTTCCCAGATCTAGCGAGTTGGAAGGCTGCGTTTGCTTGCCACCGATCGAGCCAGGGGGGGCGCAAGTTCGTCACTCCAGCGGGTGCAGAGCGGCATCCGCCTGGGCCCTGCACGCCGGGGTGCTGGAAAGACGCCTTGTCACAGAGTCATTGGCCCAAGCAGCGGCATCGCCAGGGATTGCTCGGGATCCCACAAGCCCGTCGATACCCAGGCGGTCCCAGGTGGTCCCAAGGTGGGTGCCAGGATCGCTGACTTGGGTCGGTGGAAGTGTGGTGGAAGGACAAGGGGGGGCGTGGAGAGTTGCAGGAGGGCAGCGGCAGGCCAGGACAGGGAGGTAGAGAAAGATTGGCGCCCAACAGCGCAAGAAGAGAAGCAGCAGAGCAACGAGGGCAGCGCAGCGCAGCGCAGCGCAGCGGACCGCCAAAAAGAGACGAAGGCTCACACGCTCAAGCTCACGCTCACGCCCACGCCCATGCCCACGCTCATGCTCACATTCGGCCTCACGCACTCACGCACTCTCGACCTCATATCATACTTTCGCTCACGCTCACGCTCACGCTCACGCTCTCCCCTCCAATTACCCCCCAATTGCTAGTTGCAGCCCGTCCACCAAGCAACCACAACCACCACCACCACCACCAACCACCAACCACCAGCATCCCCAGCATCCCCAGGACATACCACGCTCTTCCCCTGCCCAAATAGACGACGGCCCCGCCATCGCCATCGCCATCGCCATCGCCTTTCGCCATCCCACCCATCTCATCGACAGCGCGTGTGGAACTCGCTGCTCGATCGCTGCTTCTGCGCTCTCATTGATCAGTCGGAGCAACGACGTCAGCGGGAGATTCGCCGGCGCAGGTCTCCCGTCCCAGAAGTCCCAGAAGTCCCAGAGTCCCAGAGTCCCAGCAGACGAGCCGAGAGTCGCATTGGATACGCCGAAAATAAAACTTCGTTAACAGGACTTGCTCGGGAATATTTTTCTCATCTCATATCACATCACAGCACCGCACCGCACCGCACCGCACGTCGCATCACGTCGCATTTTATCCTGCCTCGTCCGCGCACCTCAATTCTCTCCATTTCGACCTTTACTGCTGCTTGCTTGCTTGCACGCACCCTCGCCGATACCGAGGTCTTTTACTACATACACATCCAACGTTAACACGGCTCGCTGCGGCATCCGCCCTCCAGCCCGCACTGGACCACGGTACGCAGAAGACGCCCCTCCTTTCCTCCCTCCCTCCCTTCCCCACTACTACCCTTCCTTCCTTCCTCCCTCCCTCCCTCTCTTCACGCTCTCTCCTTCGCGCTGCGCTTTCCTTCATACTCTGTCCAGTGGCGCACTGTCTGGCACCTGCGACAAGACACCACCCGCCCCCCGCCAGCTCGCAGTCAGTCATTACACGGCTGTCTTGTGCCACGTTCCTCGAGACCGAGGCTGACGCTGAGAAACAAGGCGTAGAAGGTTGCTGAAGAATACATAGAAGGCGCAGAGGACAGGGAACGCCCACCACCACCCTGTGTGATCTCCCTGACACCGAGTTTCGGACCCCTCCCTCACTTCGCCATCCCGCAAATTTCTCCCCTCCCCAAAAGGCTACGTCGACCTCACTTCTTCCACCTTCAATATTTCCTCCTTCACGATCGTCACCACCCATCTTCACCCCTCGCGCAGACCCATCGAATCATCGTGTCGTCGTCGCTTCGCGGTCGACTATTCGGCGCCTGGTCCACTTCAAAAAAAGCGCCTCGCATCGTGCCGCGTCTCTGCTGCATCACCTGCAGCTCGCCTCGTCTGGCCGCAGGAAAGCGACCGTCTCTGTTAAGACTTGCATAGGTCCCAAACTTTGAGAACAACCGCGCATCGCACATTGCCGGTTCCGGCCATCCTGTCAATCTGCAACCCACATTCCCCTTTTCCACTTTCCGACGCGCACAATTTTCCTGTTAGGAGTCACTGAGTCGGTCAGCACTATTGAGTGATCAAGTTGGCGCATTGAGTTGTTCTGTGGTCGAGAAGAGTGCGCGACCTCTTTCTGAGCTCGGAATTTTCCTTCAAGGCTTGTGATCCGGAGAAAAGCGAAAATCCCGGTTTCTCGTGGGGTCAAGGAGCAGGCATACCACATTAAAACGTCCCCGCAAGGTCTGGACAGGTCGAGGTCATTGGACATTGTGCTTTCTTCAAACCCGCTGCCCTTAACGGAAGCCGTGAACACTTGAACTGCCCATCCATCTTGTTTCTGGTCCAAGAGCCGAAATTTTCGGGATCGTAGAAGTGGCTGTGAGCTTGCCATTCGTCATTCTTGCCCACAAACCCCACTAGAAATCCCTCGAGGAGCCAGAGAGGGGAAGCGCGGTTCGACAGTCTAGCTGAAGTCCCGCAGAGTCAGAGGTACGTGAACACGGACACGAAAATTCCGGCTTGTTACTCAAAGAGTGGTTTGAGTGGTGGCCAGACCTCCAGATTGTTCGCCCACCAAAGTCTATATTCTGACATTTGTGTACAGTTGTAGAATACCTCTATCTTCAGCGTCGCCCTACTGCGAGCCACAATTTAAGAGGAGCAAGAACACTCAGTGCGTCAATTGGACCCTCGATTGCAGGAACCTCACTTGTCCAGAGCCTTAACTGCGGTTTCGCGGGAAGGTACGCTGCGGCCCTTTCGTGGAGACTTAAAATCTAGACCGGAAGGCGGACTGGAGACCATTGACTATTCCAAGAAAGTCCCACCACCAATTGGAACATTCAGAATATCCTGACGGATCGCGATCCGAATCGAGAGTCGGTCGTTCAGTACTAGGGCAAGACTAAGATCGCCGGACCATCCCCCATCACAGGACTTACTCTACTCACCCGTACGTACCCGTGTCTTACATATTACTTGAGGGGTCGCCGAACGCCACATTCTACCCATTCCCTCTCGTACATTACCAGCGGGCCTGTCTTCAATTCTAACATCTGCGACCAGTCACTCTTTCCAAATCTCATTAGTCAGGGGGGATATTGGGACAATCAGGCTTACAGAGCCGTCGTCGATAATCTCTCTCGTTCATCTTAAAAATCGTCACCGTAAGCCCACTCCAATGCTCGGCTCTGTCCAGGAACATTCCAGCTCTTATTCAGTGTTTCACGGCATCTGGGACATCCAATACTAATTTCGCGCAGGTGGCGATCTATTCTTTAGACATGTCATATCAGGATCAGAGTGGTGGTTATCCACCGCCACGCGACCAACCTGAATCCCAGTACCCTCCTCCTCCGGGCGAAGAAGACGATAGGGCTAGGGCATACCATCAGCGAGTTCCTTCTAATAGTGTCACTCTCCCATCAATCTCTCCTTACGATCCTCAATACGCTCAACAAAATGGATACCCTCCCGACCCGCGAGCATACCAACAAGATCCGTACAGAGCTCCACCGGGACCTTACAGAGACGACCGAGCCTACCAGCAAGATTATGGCAGAGGCGGGCCACAACATATGGCTTTCAGCCAGTCAGCACCCAGACAAAGAACAGCAATTGCATGCAGATATTGCAGAAGACGCAAGGTAAGCGATCCATCGCGATGTGATGCATGTGTATTGAGCACATCACAAAACGTTTCTCCCTCAATTGTTCCACATGGATATCGTACTTTTGATTTTGAGCGCATGACAAGCCGTCTCTTCTTCTCCGAAGTACACACTGTACCTAACACATTCTGTAGATTCGCTGCTCAGGATTCGATCAAAATCCAGAAGGACGTTGTTCCAACTGCCAACGATTCCAACAAGAGTGTATCTTCACTCCCGTTTCGTCCCAAGCTCAGGCTTTCGTCCCAGCTCATGCCGTCTATCCTGGCATGCGAAATATGGGTGTCGGCCCAGATGGTCGTCCTCGTCCGATGATGTATCCCCAAACCCAACTGTATGGAGCGCACGGCCAACCTTTGGGTCCTCCAATCAATCAGCAAGGCTCCCCATACGACTACCCTGCACCTTCTCCTACCGGATCCTACAGCTCGTTTTCTGAGGACCGCGGCTCAGCACCTCCGGCACAAGATCAATCTCGGAAACGACCCCAACAAGACCCTCATACTTCTATTCTTCCCCCGCCGATGCCAGGTCAGCCAACGTACTCGCGAACTGACAACCCCCGCCGCCCAGCCGTGGAAGATGACCTTCGCCTGCCACCCGTCACGCCAACTGGCGCTTCGACTTCAGCAGCGAATTACTCGCCTGGCTCTTCAACATCCTCACAGTCAAACCTACAACCTCCCCAACAAAGCGGCTTACCTTCAATGTCTCGTACCCCCCCGCCCCGTTCAAGTCCTGGCGGCGAAGGAAGCAGATCAGACCCGATGAGTCTCGGCAATATAATGGAACGCAGACCCGATACCGAGATTGACCGGAGCATGCTTGGTAGATTGGACCGGAAGGGTCAGTAATACCCTCTGGGCGACCTATCTTCCAGCTCCTTGAACCAGACTGGTTCGGAACATACGTTATCGGAAGAAGAGTTTCGGGCTTGGACACTCCCTGGTCCGCCTCCCTCACTTTCCAGAGCGGGGAGGAACATTGTTGGTAATTTTTTTACGCGTATCGATCGATCTGGAAGAATTGTCAAAACGAAGCGGGACATTGAAAGAGAACGAAGAGGCCTGGTACAATTAGACTCCGAATCGCTCACCTTTGAAAATCTGGATTCGGTCGAACTCAATCGTCGCAATATCAAGGAAGCTGTCGACAATGTCCGTGCCGAGGAGGCAGAATCAAAATTCGCACGCACCTCGCAAAAATTTCAATGACCCGCTTCGCTTTCGTACAATGAGCATCAGCTGGCTGGTTCTCCTGTTTCTTTCATGTCGTCGTTGATTGTACCGCGCTGGTTTGAACATTCATCACATTCACTTTTGCTTTTGCTTCGCTTTGCGCCGAGAGAAGCCCTTCGGTTCCGTATTCTGGAAGAAGGGAACTAAAATTTCCAGCTGGTTGGATTCAACGGGAATGAATCGGCAAAGGATTGAAAGGATGGAATGGGAAGGAAAGGTCTGGCAGGCTGGAGTAAAAAGAACTAGATAGGTCATGCCTCACGGCACAAACGGGTGTTTTGGGGGAGTTTTTTGGTTTGCTTGAGCTTTTTATAATATCTTTCTTCTCTTGCGAGTGATTGATTGCGCGTTTCTCTTTTGTGTCGGTTGATTTGAGTGCTGGATGGCTTTTTTGCTGGGTTGATGGGGGTGGGGAACACTCGCAGGGGAGGGGAAGGGAAGGGAATGCGTGTGTGAATAAGATACGTAGTGACAGTGTTATTTGCGAGAGAATCGATGCTCTTGCTAAAATATCAGGTGCTCTGGTAAATTGGTGAATGTTCGGGCTTTGAAAGGACCTGTGCCGCTCTTCTTTCTCCCCTCCTTTGCTGAATCGGGAAAGTTCCCTCCTTCCCTTTTTGCCTTCGTCAAACCAACCTCGACTGAACTGAAGCCATGTGGTAGAAGGAAGGCATTCAACCCCCCTGTCTCCCACGCCCCAGTTTACTTGATTGTGGCCGCTTGTCCGCAGAGAGACAGAAACAGGGCGTGGAGGGAAGAGCACAGCGGCTCTTGTAGCGTTACCCACACTCGTGGCGGAAGACGAGGCAGGCTTCCATGTTCAGGTATGAAGGCCTGCCTACCAGCTCCAACGGCTTGCTTGTGATGTGAACTGGAGGGTGGGAATGACGTTTGTTGAAAGAGCGACAGCGAAAAAAGTTTCATCTGGATTTCTGGCCCGGGAGTTGTACAACTTCGCTTTTTTCTTTCACTAATCCGGAGACCCCCTTCTCTCAGGGATCGCGGGCTACGTAACCGGCATGCGAACCTCTGGCTGTCCGAATCTGCGCCTTCTTCTGCTACGTACTGAGGCACTCTGATGTACTGAGTGGGGAGGAATCCTTGCTGTGGAGTTGAGCGCTTTTGTAGGCTGCATTCTTTCGGGGAGAAAGGATTCTGCGGCGGGGCTGGTGATTTCTCGGTACGATGCTTGCTTGCTTGGTTTGGGGAAGTTCTGGTTCCCATGCGCTGTTCATGACTTGCTCAAGGCAACTCTGCAATTCTGGAAAGAGATGACGGGAGGGGGTATATAACATCCCCTACCTTCATTTCTGCCCCACTACACAGCGAGAAAAGAATGAGAACCAAGTTGGAGAAACCCAGCCAGTTGGATGGTGGGCTTTATTCATAGCATGCTGCACAGTTTCAGGGTCGGGGAAGCGGGGTGAGAATACTTGCGTTGGATTGCTTGAATGTTCGGGATTTGAGCACTTATCACTTGGACGGTCATGAGAGATGACAACAGCGGTTTTTATTTTATTTTACCTGACGTGCAGCCCGGATTGAGTGACAGCAACCGCACCTCAAATCCCGTGTCCCCTTTACCCACCTGGTCGTGAAGAGCATACGCTCAGCAGCTACAGGCACCAAAGCTCGGCCAGACCTCGCGCTCAAACTTCGCTGTACATGTCCATCCTGGCCTATCTCACGACCAGGGCTTCGACGTCGTGCACCTAGTTACAGGTTCACAAAGAGGATGGTCTGGCTTGTATATCTTGCCCGAGGCTCGCGGAAGGCTTTCCTTGGGAAAGGAACTGAGGATCGCGAGCTGTCAGCTAGGAAGGTGTTGGATGAGGGGCTGCGAGAGAACTTGCCTTTGATCTCCTGCGCGAGCATGAGAATCACACTGCTCATTTGTATAAAAGTGGATGCTTCCCGCAAGATACGTTTCTTGACCGTGCGTGTTGTTACCAACCTCTATCAACGAAAACATGCTCTTGGGCATGTTGACCGTTGGCCCTTTCTTTCGCAGCTTGGTTCACGATACTTGCTCCTTGCCAACGATAAATGGATGGTAGTTGCGGACATGAGTAACTCTAGAGTTTAGGGATATGGAGTCGACAAGTTGCTTAGATGGAGGCGGGAATGACTGTAATTGCGGAGGTGTCGGCGCAACAATCGGGACGAAGTTTCGTTCCGTCTGGGCTGAGGTTGTCGACAGCACAAACGACTGACCTGAAAAATTTAGCACAGCTTGCTTCTGCCTCTAAAAAGTATCTCGTGCCAGCTTTGGCCATACCTCATCTCCTGCTCGCTGGATCTCACAACATCGCACTCGTTCAACTACTTCGAGGAGAAGACCGGATAGTCTGAGACTAGGTTCCACGCATCCCACAACGCCCGCGATCGCATTTCCGAGGAGGGAAAGAGGTCTGTTATACCTTGCTTGCGTTACTCTCTCTAATAACGGAACTGGCGATTCTCCGTCCCAAGTTGGGAAAGTTTCCATTCCCGCCTTTGCGTGCTGTTGTTAATTTGATCGAGCTGGCCTTGCCATGCGGAAAGACGTGACGAGGAGATGTACTTAAGAGCTCTAACTTAGCTTCTGCACTTCCACAGATTGAAATCAAAGATTCCTCCAAGGTGAAGGGAGTGCGGATGCAGATTGGACGGCGTTGTGGCATGGTGCAGAGTTGCATAGTTAGGGGGCGAGGAAGCGGATGGTTGGGCTCGATGCCTCGAGTCCAGCGGGGAAGGGCGGGCCGCGTGTTTGAGCAGTGCTGAGCTGGCAGGGGGATGACAGTGATGGGAATGTTGACAACCAAAACCCCATTCCAAGATTCGTATGGCCTCCCTCCTGTTCGTAGGAATGTGGGGCCCAACAATTCCTCCCGTCAGCACAGCAGTGGGAGATGAACTCGTTGTCACAATTGAATCCCTCTGTCCAACTTTCCCAATCTAAATAGAGCAAAAGTTCCGCCTGGTTGGTATAACGGATTGTAGGTGAAGGTCATGTTCGACGGCTTGGCGGCGGGTGAGGGAAGAAAAATGGAGGGAATACTTAAAAGAGGCTTTGGACTTGGTTCCTGGAATGTTGCAGGCTAGAAATAAATGATATTCAAGAGAGCGATGGAGTGCGAGCGTGGACACGGAACTTCAAGTGTGAAGGGTCGGAGGGCGAGCCTCGCGGGACAGAGTGCAAGCAAAGAAGTAGGGGATCTCCCACTTGTATTGTTTTTATTCTTGACTTCGCTCAAACTCAAGTAACATGTCTTTCATGGGGGGTGGAGAGGAGATATTTAAGGGCGACAAGCTTGGTTACTGAACTGTGATAGAAGACAAGGAGATGCTGGAAATATTTCATGGGCTGCAGGGGCGTGATGCTCTACTTCCTATCAGACTACCGAGTATCTGCAGATCGAGTTCTCAACTTCAGTCATGTAAATTTAGACAACAGATGACCGAGTTAGAGGGAGGTGTTAATTAGATGGGCGTTGGAATGATAGCGATGAAGGGCTTGACAGCAAGGAGGTCGGGACGAAGTTTCTGTGCGGGTTTGGAGGGGGTCAGTTGACAACAACCTCTCCCGTCACCATCTGCCCACCTTCGCTGCTGCGACAAAAGCCTGAATACATTCCAGACCCGTGTGTATGGTGATGCGGCTGTGACGTGTTGGCGGTTGAGGGGATGAGTATTGAGCAGAGAGGAAGGAAGAACCGGAGGATCTTATTCCTCAGGTACGTCACGTTACAAATGTGTTTCTAGGTATGATCGCAGAGTTATATATGAGAGGCTTGGGGAGGAAGAGGGAGGGTAAGTATTAGGAAAGTTATCTCTTTCTTATTATCTATTTTATTATCTATTGTGTGCTCTAATTCGACAAGTCAATGCTTACGAAGGAGATCAGGAGAAAGGTTATTTAAGAGCATGCCAAAGCTATTTTCACCCGCACGAAATTTTCCCGATTACTCGGCAGAATGAATGCTGGGAAACTGCCTCCTTCTCCTTTTCCACCTCCCGACATTATGTATCAGAGTGCAGATCCCATGGGTGCCGCGTTCCCGAGCTCAGTATTTCGAATCTACGCGGTGTAGGGGTTCAAGTTACGGCTTCAAAGCGCTAATGAAAGGGTGAGACGGAAAGTTCAAGTGACAGAAAGCACCGAGATGACAACAGACAAGTTAAAATGTTTGTATGAAATGGGACTTACAGCTATGAGCGAAATCGGTGTCCTCTCCTCTTTTTAAACACTGGAGAATAACTTAAGTGCACAGACCAGGTAAAGAGCGGTGCGGATTAATCTTTATCCGCACGTGCTACTTCAGGGGACCTTGGCATACAGGGAGCGCCCTTGGCGAACCATAGCCTGTTGCCGGGGTGCTACTAAATTCGACCTTCTCCGCCCTTCAAGAGGAATTTTTGTCAATGTCTCAAGGCATATCCTTCTCAACAAGGGGGTCCCAGTTCCGCGGTTACTCTCAAACATTCGATATTACTTGATTTGGGGGTTTAATATTTAATGTAGGATTATGAATAAAATATTAAACAGGAAAGGTTGTCGTCCTAAGCGAAGCAGCGAAGCTCTCACCGAGGGTAGATTACGTGGACCCATTCCTTTACAAGACAAAGCTGAGCGAAGCTGGTATTGACATGGGTACCTCCCTCTAACATTCTTCCAGGTCCGTAAATAATATAAAGTCGTACACATTCCTGTCCCCGAGTCTCTCTCATAAAGTCATCGAGTGAAGTTTTGGCGTCGACCAGCGGCGCTATCAAGTGAAAGCCATCCCTTATAATTCATACCCCGTTGGCAACTCACGCGGAGAGCGAACTGGCAATTCGTGCCTCTTCTGATGCGTTATCCTCATAGAAGGCTTAGCCATATTCTGATGTGCTGCAATTATCTTCCCGTCATCTCCGCGTCTGTTGTAGTAGTCCGACATCTCCTTAGTTCGCTCTTGCTCTATCCGTATCCTCTTCCTTCTTTCTTTACAAAATAAGACAAATAAGCCAAGAACAGCGACCCCGAGCGCTGCCCCCAAGGTAGCGCCAACAATCGTCACTGTGTTGCTATTCGCTGAAGTATGCGATGTTGAAGCCATGCTGCCTACTGTAGTGTTCGATATGGAAGCTCCTGTGCTGGAAGAAGGTATTAATGTTGACATAGAAGATGTTGCTGAGCTAACAGAGCTGGAAGTGCCTGCTCCCTGTTCTGCAAAGATGGTTCCGAAGGTGGGGACGAAGGTCGAGGATGAGCAGCAGTTGCCATTGTATGCACAGCACCATGACCCGCCGGTATTTGCTGCATTGCAAGCAAGCACGTTGACGGAGCTACTGTTTCCGGCTGTGTGAAAACGTATATGTCAGTCTCGATGTTGAAATAGCTTCGAATTATGTAATATGCAATAGGAGAAGACAGACAATTTGAGTCGGCCAAGCAATAATCCGGACAAGAAGGATTAAACCACGTAACATCTGTGCAAGCTCCACGGTAATGGTAACCTTTGGAGTTGCTAATGCAATAGCCCAAAGATGTGCAAAAGTCCTCTTCTGCACAACAATCTCCGTCCCCATTTGGCGAGCAGGGGACATAAAGAGGCGCCAAGTTGCCGTTGGGAAAGTAACACGGATTAGTGGCTACCACCGTACATACATTTAATAAGGCAAGCAATACCAAAATACCAGCGAATTTAGTTGATGAAGCCATTATGAAATGTTTGAAGAAGAAGAACGGATTCTCCTTAGAAAATACAGGGATACTTTGTCTTGTCTGTAACAGAACTGCTTGGACCTCGAGACGGAGCCTGCTCCTTTATAAGCGCTATGGATCACCTTTGGTCAGCCATGAGCATCTAAAGGCTGAACACCAGCGGCGATCAAAGAGGTACTGTTTCAATGTGGTTTGAACTATTTGAAGCAGCAATTAAGCGCTACATGAACCTAACTAGCCAAAACTAAGGCCTGTGCGCTAATTTTAACCATTTCTTGTTACGTGGCGGAATTAGTGGCGTCCAGAAAGTCACCAACGGAATTTGGGGTTGCACAGCATACGAAGAGAATTGTTGCCAATGAAAGACGGAATCTAGCGCTCCCGTCACAGTAAGAACCCAGCGGGGGAGCCCATAAACAGCTTAATTGGAGGAATTTAACTCCTAGTATGCTTATCCGGCCTATGAAAGATGAGGACGAAAGAAGCCGACAACCGCTGAGTCTGAAGCTGAAGATGGGTCTCAGATGAAGCTCCATCGAAAAGCTACAATACATCTCATTGGACTCTTCGAGTCCGGTTACCAAACTGTCACGGTCTGCACAGATGCCGTCCTATCCTTTCAAAGTGTGAGAGAGGCATGTACAATAAGCGCCGTGTTCTCTGCCTTGCAAACGGCGGCAGTGGACTTCAACATCGGCATGCTACTTGACGCAGCAAAGGCGACTGCCATTCCTCGGAACGTTGCCATTGGAGCAGGTGCCACCCTTGCAATCTCAACCGGGCAGATGATTTTCTCCGCAGTCAGGACGTATCAAACCGAGCAACAGCGTAAGAAATATGCCACAAGTAAGACATAAACTCCCCACCTAACTGTTAAGGCTAGCTCGGCTTAGCTAACTTCTTGGTTTCAGTTACTCTCTACATCGCCGCAAGCATGAAGCTTGCCCAGGGCTGCGGATGTTACCTTCGATGGACTTACAACTCGGGAGTGTCAAACGGAGAACACTCCCCTCAATACTACAATGAGCTTCGGAACCTGGTGCAAGCCTTGGAAGGGAGCGAGCCGTTGCCATGCGTGGTTTTGATTTCGCGGTGTTGGTGGTTTAGTGCTCGAGTGTTTTGGATTTTTGGATTTTGGCCCTTTACCGCCTAAAATCCTGCCTTGGGGCGGTCGTTTTACATTTTCCCCGAGTTCCTCGAGATACTTTACGACATCAAAGCACAATCAAATTCGATCACGAGCTCAACACCACTCCCATGCAATCGCCGCCGCACGAAGTTCAGCTTGCATCATGCTCTCACGAACACGAGGTCTAGAACACAGCCGCTCGAGGATGATCTTACAGATACCGGCCTTCTCCTCTTCAAACCCCGACAGCAAGTTGGGCTTCGAGTCTCAAGTGAGCGTGATGTTGATCCGACCTGTGGAATCTGCAGATCCAGTGGGAATGTCAGCTGGTACGATTGTGGCGTCACGTGTCTCAGCCCCTTATTGAAGCCCCTCGGCTTACGGCAGGCTCCATTGCTTTGTTGCATGTGATTCTCCTTACTCTCCTCCCTTGGTAGCTCTCCAATTGATCACAGTTCAAGGCATCTGATGGGGATGTCTACGAGAGGCATCTAAGGAGCCATGAGAGCTGAAGCGAGACTGTTGATAGTTGGGAAAGTGTCATTCATCGTATACTATTCTTGGAGCCATCAGGATTCAAGTCACCTTCTATCACGGCTTGCGAGAGATGGAATAGGGGCTATTTAATGCCTCCCTTATGGTCCAGAGTTCGAACACAGAAGAAGAAAAGGCGTTCTTGGAGAAATATTGAGATGTGGGTGCTCTGGGAGTTTGAATTTTGTTTTGGGCAAAAGACAGAGCGAGTTGGGAAGGGACCTCGAGTTCAGTCCCTCAAATATTTGCCGCGGACAGTCAAAAGAGCTGGTCGTAAGGAGCGGAAAGTGGAGGTGACAGCAACTACCCAGTTGGCAACAGATGAACTCAAAACTTGGGCGGTCTTTCACCCAGGAGCCAACCGGAGACTCCCGGGGGATATCCCACTCTATTACAGCTCAGGAGGGTCAGTGTTGCCGCAGTCCGGCCCGGAGTAGTACTCACAGCTCGGGGACTTGACTCCATGCCCTCGCCGTCAAGATCGATCTGGGAAATTCCGTGAGCAGCTCTCTCTTGATCTGTTTACAGCTTATATACGCCGCTCCAGCTTGTTGGAAGCGGAGCACATGGAAGTGTTGGGCCTCGCGCCTTGAGCTCCATGCGTGCATGAACCGAGAGTCCAGCTTGTAGGAAGTGCAGACTTGATTGGCTGCCTGGGGTATTGGTGTCTCTGAAGTCTGAGTGGAAGGTATTTGAGAGGCTCCTTTATGTCAAGCACTTTGTCTTGACTCGCGACGATACTAAGTCACCACCTCCTTTACTCTTCACGGATACATAAAACGCTCCTGCCATCTGTCAGATGACTCAACACCGTTTTGTACCATATGGAGGCCAATAAGAGTGTGGAGCAAGGAACTAGCAGCTGGCTTCTCATTACCTTGGCAGGTACTTGCAGATGCACGGCTTTACCGCGTAGTGAAAGTAGAAATTGTGTTGTTTTGAAAGTAGGAGGAATATCTTTTGTTGCCATGGATGTGTTTCTTGCAAGACAGGATAAAGTTTTAACAAAACTCGATAACGAGCCAGTAGCTGAATCATAGTATTGCTTAAGTTGAACTATATTATTAGTAGCGAGAATACCCTTGTGTTTTCCATAATATAATTTAACTTCCCTTACCAAAAACTATACTATACTCACTATCTTTAATAATATATAAATACTTATTCTTATTTTTAATTACCTTTAACCCCGACCGCTTGTTTCTATATTTTCGACTTATACTTAATATATACTATATTTAAATGCAAAGCAAAGAAAGCTAAGAAAATACTTTATAATTAATTCTTTTAAGCTAAAATTATTAGATACTTTATAAATATATTACTAAAGTTATTTTTATAATTAGAAATGCATTTTCTTAAGACCTGTAACGGCGGGATCGAGGCAATTGCTAGGGAATCACGTTCTCGCTTAGCCTTACTCAGATAGCAACTTCTCGCTAGACAGAATTCATCAAGCTTCACAACACACTCATAATTCCAGAGCTTGCCCAGCAGCAATGGTACAAAGGCTCAAAGATCCAGGAAAATCCCATGTATTGAGAATACTAAGCTAAGGAGAAGAAGGAGGGAGAGAAGGAAAGGGGATAAAAGGAGGGAAATACTAGCTAAAACCACTGAAACGCCGGCTAGCTAGGTGAAACCAGTCATATAATAGCCACCCCCCTTTGGCCCCCAGCCAGCGCCGTCACAAGACCCTAAAGCAAGAAAAGATTTAATATAGCTTAGATTCCATATATATTTAGTATATATTATATTAAATCTTCTTTTGCCTTAATAAGTTATATCTTTAATATTAAATATATATATATATATATTCTTATAACTTAAGCCTGGCTTATCCCTTCCTCCAGTGAGACATGGTTCTTACTAGCGGCCGCACACGAATATCCCTTAGGTAAGAATACAACCATCTCCTCCAATCAGGCTATCCGCAGGACCATGTCTCACTGGACGAAGGGATAGGAATCGAGCAGGGAGCCAAATTAGAACCCAACGCGGTCATTCAGAGGCTGTGCTCTGATCTCTCGAACCGACGGTTCGGGAGATCACTATACAAAGTGCAAAGATGAGATCTTGTTCTAAGTATCAAGAGCTTCTCAGAGAGTCGCGACGTCTCAAAATTTGTCAGCGTTGACCCCTTGACATCAGGCAGGTCAATAAGCCAGTCAGTCAGCCATCAGCTAAGGTTTTTTGACAGCTGATTGGCTTATAAGAGGTGGGTCAGCTGACTTACTTAGCTGATTCAACTGATTAGCTGCTGGTCAGTTGAAGATATAAATCTCAGAAAATTATATTTAAATTAGCTCCAAAATAATAGCATTCCCAAACGCTTCTATTATAATTCCCCCCCTCCTCTGCCAGTTTTCTAAGCATTTATAATACTATAAGCTCTTTTCTAATAGTCTAGAATTCTTAGGAGAAATTAGCTTTATATAAGATAAATACTTACTTATACTTAGAGCTTATAGCTGCCTAGAATACTAAGATTATATATTATTTTAGTAAGATAAGGCTATTTATACTTTTATACTTTCTGATACTTCGTAATACCCAAAAGATTAGTTAGAGGTTTAGCTAAATATAAGAAGAGCTCGTTTCTTGAGGGCTTTTAAGAATATAAAATAAGAAGTAATATAGAGAGAAAAACAGACTTTTATAGTATAGGGTTATAGTATATAAGTGAGACGCGAAATTAAAGAGTAAAGATTAGTTAATTTCTAATATAAAGAAGAAGAAGGTAATAATATATGAGGGGTTTACGAACTGCTGATATCCAGAGGTTAGGTATATAACTAAACCACGTGACTATTAGTAATACTAGTAGTTAGGGGCGGCTAGATAAGGGGGAAGATAAGAGCCTGAGGCATGAATCAAAGAGACTTTCAGGGCTTTGTGCCTAATTATTAAGGCGATTATTACCTAATTACCCCGCTATACCCCCCAAAACACTTATAATTGCATCCCTAAGAGACCCCAAAATCGCAAAATTAGTATGACTTAGCTGATCAGCCGCTTTTAAGCTAGTAGATTTTTAGCTGACTGACTGATATAATAATTAAAGCCCGACTGAATAGCTTAATAAACTAGCTTATAAGCTAGCTGATAAGCCGGCTGGCTTATTGACCAGCCTGCTTGACATACTAGGTAGATCCTCTCAAACTTTTCCTAGCAAGGTCGAGAAACTGAACGAGTCTGAATCGGTATCCGCGAACGGAGGTCGCTGGGATATATGGAGAAGAACGTGCAAGCGGATTCGCTTGTAAACGTTACAGAATATCACTTTAGCAAAAAGGAAAAGGATTTCGCGACCCCGAGACCAGCGCCAGCTAAGGTGCTTTATTGTTGTTCTATTAAAACTGTTGGGTTCCAATTCCTACAATCAATTCTTGTATTTAGAATCAATATACATCTGACTTAAACCTTTACGATTATCTCTTCCGTGCCGTGCGTTTTGCCGCACGGTATTCTTCACTATACGGACAAGCCTACCTGCTTTATACACAATTTGAATATACATATCATAGGTATCAAGTATTTCCCAAGTACCAAATATTTTCATAGGTACAGTATTTTTCCAGGTATATGCAAATTTCGAGGCACTAACTATTTTCCAGGTACCAAATATTTTGAGAAGCTAGAGATTCCCTAAGAATAGATATCCTGGAACAGTTCTAGAGTCTAGGCTATGTTCGGCATCTTAGCAAACTGGCGGAGTCGAGGAGTGTACGAACCAAATATTGTATCATCTTCATTGAACAACTGCGGTCTTGCTTTTTTAAGGTTGTAACACTACCTAGTCCTTCCAGAGCATCTCCTGCCGCCTTAATCCCTTTGTTTTAGGCTCTTATTCCCTCTAGTTTTGAGCCGTGTGGTGTAAGAACTCCTCGATTTGTTGGCCAAAAATTAGGCTTGATCAAACGCATCCCCAACAACATCTCTACCCGACTTTCGGGTTGTGTGTACTGGTCAAACGAGTCGGAGCGCTTCGGTAGTGATCGCTTCCCTTGAACTTGTAGGATTGCGTACACAAGCAGTTATAATGTTCCATGCTCAGGTAATTACATGAACAAAAAATACCAATGAGTTCGTCTCCATTCGCCCTGTCAGGCAAGCTCTACTCGCCGCATGAACCTGGTTTCCCTTGTCCCTTTATTTTCGAATTCCATTTCCCTCGAGTCCCCAAGGTAGCAAACTACCCGGTCAGAGTTGGCCTTTCTCCACCAAGTTTCTGATGGTTTGAAGAGTCGAGTATACCGCGGCAGCAGTTATCTGGAGTTGATTAGGTTAGAATCGAATTCCTTACTTGCGGTATGCGTCAGTCTGGCCACCTACCGTTTTATGTTGATCCTCGGCCTCCTTGGCTTCGTCACTACCTTGGACGAGTTGGGGATGCTCCCACGCGAATATAAAGGTCAGAAACAGCTCATTGTCGCCGGTTGTGCCTTTGCCCATGCTGATGATGTTTGTCGCCGTGCTACCGTCTTCCATGGCGTAGTCCAACCGGCACGGCGGGCTCAAAGTGCACACCTCACGGATCGTACGGGCGTGGGCCACGGCACTATCGGCCTTGAAGATGACGGTGGCAGTGATCACATTGTCCGTCTCCGAGTGGATCTCACAGGTCTCGACGACAGGCACAAAGTCCTGTGGTACGCGTGCTTTCCGCTCAAGTCCAGCCCAGACCTGAGCATGGCTAAGGATCGCTTGGGCACCAGGAGGATTGACAATCGTCGTGTAGGCAAGGTGTATTACCACCATGGCGTTAACTACCTAGGTAGGTATCCGCTTCCCCGCTTACGTTGCGTTATGTCCGACGGGGCTGAGATTCTTTAGCGTCCAGTATTGTGAAGAACCCGCTTCAATGATGTCTTGTTACGAACCCTACCTGATACGTTCTCTGGGATCCCTTTTGTAGCTGTCGTCGGACTTGACGCCTTTACCAGAAGCTGTTCTCATTTGCGATGTCTCAGCCCCCGGTGTACGACACTATTCGGACCTCCGGTGCTGCATCCTCAGTCTCTGCTGTGATTGGAAAGGTTAAAAAGGACGTAACGTTTCCATTCCTGCACGTTCGGGCCCTTTAATAGGCTCGAACGAGCTTACGTGATTCCACGTGTAATCTAAGATTACGTACGGAAGGGGGTTGTAAGAAGTCATGAACACCCCCCCTGTTCTGCCTCTACCAGAGTAGGTAATTTATGGGGCGAATCGAGCGAAATGGATTTTTTATTGGTCCAAGCGCCTACCACCTTGCAGGGGGGGTGTTCATGACTTCTTACAACCCCCTTACGTACAAAAGCATGATCAGAAATCACATCGCTCAGGTTGCTCAGTCACGTGCCTGCTCTCGTTTCTGGTAACCAATCATAATTTACTTTCTATTCGGATCTGCCATACGAAAGTTGTCAACTCTATACGACCTTGTTCAGGGGAACCAACTCGGCTCCTAGGGAGCCCAAATAGCCCCCCTCTCAGCGCGTATTAAAAGCCAGTGAAATTGATGTGCTAGTGTTAGGGAGCTGAATTTTGCCCCTCGATAATAGTTCTCGCGTCGTGTCATATATCGGAAAATACTATTACCACTTTCAATTATTACTGTATTAATGTAACTAACGCGAATTAGAATGGAAAATCCTGTAACTTTTGGGGGAGTAGGCTTAAGGCGATGTAATGGTGGTAGAAACCTGGTAGACCTCCACCCTTGAAATGTGAATGTACCAAGCAAAACCAGTACATTCAGCATATCCGGCAGGTTGCGGCTAGGCTGCAAAGAACCTTTGTGCAATGATGATCTTGTAATAATGCTGTTAGAGGTTCATCTAACTTTTGGACCAAGAAACTCATCCGTTGTAGGAATCTTTTAATGGCATCAACGACTCTTAGAGTTTTTTTCTTTGTTCTTCCTGCTTTCTCTATAAACTGCAACTAAGCTCAGGCATACCCCCGGTTAAGCTTGGGCAGTAAAGACATTGGGGCCCTTTTGTTGACTTAAACTCAGTATGAGAGAGTGGTTACTGTTTATACTTGAGCTAAGCTTAGTTACCCTTTTTGTCGAGGTAATATATTCTATGAGAGACGGGGTTGGCAGTTTGAGATCCGATAAAGAAAGCCGAGGAGCATTAACTCGAAAAGATTTTTCCTTACGAGGAAGTTCTGAGAACCGAGTTTTTGAAGCCGGTCAAGTGCATTAAAGCATCCATTCTCCCCGCGATTTCTCTCTAACTACGAAGCAACCCCTGCCCCCTTGTCCACGAAGCGTGGTCCTGCCAAGTTTGGTTTCAGTTTCTGCAAGACGTTCAAATCTCTTTCCCCTAAGAACTCAATGAAAGGCTTGATAGTCTCCTTCTGAAATCCGCCTTCCATAATCATCAACCTCTTTCGACATAAATTATGGTTCCGAGGAAGACAAAGCATGCAAGAGGGAAAATGCTGGTAAGATTCGACCCAAGTTACACCATCCCAGCTTCAACCATCGCCCAACCCTTGCCAACCTTGTAATCTTTCCCTTCATACATCACCTTTCAAGTTAGCACTTTTTCAAAAGAAAGAAGAGTGCTAAACATGAGCCGAAAAAGATGCAGGCACTCTTCAGACGGTTGTCATTCGTTTTCCGCCCATTGTCACTTGGTTTCAGCTTGTTATCCGTCTTTGGTCCCTTACTTCTTTTCCCTTTAGTAGTTCTTTAAGGAGAGCTCACTTGAACTGCACAATGCCTAAGTCTGGTATTGTTAGTTAGATTGTCCCAGCATCTGGTGGAACATTGTATTCAACAACATCTCCAGGTGCACCAGAACCTCCCAATTGTACCACCTTTGCCAACGAAAATCTGATTGAGCGGAGTTGTCATCCTTTTTATATCGATATTCGGAAGATTTTGGCCCGAACCATGTTTGTTTGTTTGTTTTATTCATACTCCGTTCTAGGCCTAAAAAGGCCCATGCGGGGACTAACCACATGAGTTCGAACCTCAGGTAATGTTTTCGCTGACTAATCCACTTCTTGTCAACAAGAAGACGCGTGCAAAAGAGGCCCTGGGCTTCAGTAAACAGCTCCAAAACCCTGTAGGAAAAAGGAGCTGAAGAATACCCTCTCCTGTCCTAACGTGACACCTCACCCCCTCCTTCCCTTCCTCTCCTCCCCTTATCCCTCGCCGTCCTGGCACCTCCCTGCAACGCGTAAAAGGACAAATAGCTAGGTGACGATATGTATGGGGTATGGTGCCTCCCGATAAGGGCAAATGGTTGGCTTACTCGTAGTCTTCTGCCTCGAGATACCATAAATACGCCGGGTATATATATAAACGCTCTAAGGTTCCATAGGTTGACTTAACGCATCGAAAGCTCGTAGAGATACTTGTGAAGATGCTTGTAAAGGTATTCCTTTAGGACTGCTCTTCGAGCCATTTCACTTGCTTAGAAGAGGTAGGCTATAGGCTTATCCAAGGACTTCGTATGAGGGCTTGTTTGAGGGGTCGAATCGCGTCTCCCCGTGTGTATATCTGAATTTTGTATCTTTCGACGATTGCGTAAACGCATGGTATGATGTGAATTCTCTATTATAGCCTTATAAGATTAGCCAGAAGCTCTATAACGTGAGATGGAGTGAGGTAAATAGGGGGTTTCCGAAAATTTGCTTTGTCGTTTTGAAGGTGTTTTTCTTGGCCCGAACCATATGTTTCAACGTGTGTGATTTCTGATCATGCTTTTATATGTAATCTAATTACACGTAGAATCACGTAAGCTCGTTCGAGCCTATTAAAGGGCCCGAACGTACAGGAATGGAAACGTTACGTCCTTTTTAACCTTTCCAATCACATATGGTAGTAATGCCTTAAAAGGGCTCAGTTTTATCTGAGGCCTTATACTAGAATTCTATTCCGGAGTTTCCAGAGAGATATATCGAACGAGTATTATTAATATACTCCCTATAGCCGCCCCTCGCTTCAGAGCGAGCCGCCCCCGAAATTAGAGTACCTATTATAATAAAACGAGGATATACTCTAACGACTATCTTCCTGGAAAAGTTATTCGAGGGTCGGACGAGTAATTCCCTCCCTATAGGTCAAGCTATAAGAAGTAGAAGTCTCGGCCGATCTCGTCAAGGTTCTTCTGCTTATCTAACCTATATAGCAGAGGCATTTGATTATTAAACGTACTAACTGTGAACTAGCTTCCATTCTCCGGGCCTACCTCTCCTAATATAAGCTAATCTCGGGAAAAGTAGGAACTTACCGGGCGAGTTTTTATATTCCTAGTAATAGCCGAATATTAAGAGAGATTAGTAATTTTATTAAACGAGTTTGCTAGATAGGCTAATTGAGACTTTATAGTAATAATCCTGGAGGAATTCTACTACCCGAATAGAGTAGAGAGCTTAGTAGAATAAGGCCGAGCCTGGGCCTGTCCGAGACTACTAAGACAAAGTAGAGAAATCCGTTATCCTAATATTAGGCCTTAAATAAGAAGGAGAAGGGTCTAGAAGTTAACTAGACTTACTAAAACCCTATATAAAGATATTACCGGAATAGAGAAGTTATAAACCTCTATTTCAGAAATCGAGTTATAAAGAACCTAACTAGTTCTTGGCTTTAATTCATAAGCTTTCTATATTTAACTAAATTAGGAACTTATAAAAAGAAAAATAAAGAAGGAAGTTTATCTAGATCTTAATAAATAAACTTTAGTTATTTTTCTTTTTAAATTACTTATTTCTTTATACCCGAATTACTATATTTTTTAATAAGAGGCCTAATCTTACTATAATAGGAGCTAGTTAAGATATAAATTACCTTACTAAAGAAAAGCCCCCGAGTAATACTATATAATTATTTTAATATCTTACTAGGAATTTATAAGAGTATTTACCTTATATAAATAAGATAGCTTAATAAGTTTCTAGCTTAGTTACTTACTAAGCTATTATTAATAGAAATTTAGCTACTTTATAAGATTATATAACTAGTTTTCTTAATATTATTAATATATTTAATAATTATATAATTTATATCTCTAGCTTACTTAGAGATCTTTTCTTAGCTATAGCTAATTTATAGAAATATATTCGAGAACTTGCCCGAGTTCTAAATAATATATAAGAAAATACTAATATAGCTATTAATAATTTTATTATCTAAGTTTAAGTAAAGCTTACTTTTTTAATTTAGGCTATAAATACTTATTCTTAGACTTTAATTATTTCGGCTATTTCTAAATTAGATAATACTACTATTACTAAAAAAGTATCTATTTTCTTAATTTCTAGGCCTAGAAACTTTCCTAAAGCCTTTATAGAATCCGGAAAAGCTATAGCTAAATATATATTTTATTTTAGAATAAGAATCGGAAATTGCCCTAAATATAATAAGAATTAAATAAATAATATAATCTATTTTTAAACTATAAAAGCTTATTTATAGCTTAATAAATATTAAACTTTTATTTGAGCTAAGATTTCTAAAGAATAAATATTAGCCCTTTTCTCGAATATATTTAAAGAAAAAGCCTTAAAATAATAAATATAATTAAAGAAAAATATTATTTTTTTAGGTAATCTTATTTCTTCTATTATTAATAATTTCTTTATTATTATTTATATGGAATTTTAGGAGCTTAATATAAAATATAAAAAATAATAATATTATAAGAAAATTTAGTAAACTAGTTCTATTTAAGGCTATATTATAGTATTTAAGAATTATTTTATATATCTTAATTCTTAATTATCTAATTATAAGATTCTTTACTAATTTAAGAAAGAGCTTAATAAGAAGATTAAATTTGAGATATTTACTTACTATTTAAATATTAATAGCCTAGTAAAATACTAGATACTAGCGAACTTTATTAACTAAATATTTAAAAAAGCTAGAATAAAGAATAGCTTATTTTATATGAGATTTTGCCTTATTTCTTATCTCAAATCTTTTTTTTCTTAGCTAAGGCTAAATAAAAGAATTAAATA